GTGTCTGGGGTAGTACTGTACCAGTAGTGTCTGGGGTAGTAGTTTACCAGTAGTGTCTGTTGTAGTAGTTAACCAGTAGTTAACCAGGAGTGTCTGTGCTAGTACTGTAACAGTAGTGTCTGGGGTAGTAGTTAACCAGGGGTGTCTGGGGTAGTACTGTACCAGTAGTGTCTGGGGGAGTAGTTAACCAGTAGTGTCTGGGGGAGTACTGTACCAGTAGTGTCCGGGGGAGTAGTTAACAAGTAGTGTCTGGGGTAGTACAGTACCAGTTGTGTCTGTGGTAGTACTGTACCAGTAGTGTCTGGGGGAGTAGTTAACCAGGAGTGTCTGGGGTAGTACTGTAACAGTAGTGTCTGGGGTAGTGGTTAACCAGGAGTGTCTGGGGGAGTACTGTACCAGTAGTGTCTGGGGTAGTAGTTTACCAGTAGTGTCTGGGGTAGTACTGTACCAGTAGTGTCCGGGGTAGTAGTCTACCAGGAGTGTCTGTGGCACTACTGTACTGCTAGTTTCTGTGGTGGTAGTAGTTTATTTACCAGTAGTGTCTGTGGTACTACTGTACTGGTAGTTTCTGTGGTGGTAGTAGTTTATTTACCAGGAGTGTCTGTGGTACTACTGTACTGTTAGTTTCTGTGGTAGTAGTCTATCAGTAGTGTCTGTGGTACTACTGTACTGGTACTTTCTGTGGTAGTAGTTTACCAGTAGTGTCTGTGGTAGTAGTTTACCAGTAGTGTCTGTGGTAGTAGTTAACCAGTAGTTAACCAGGAGTGTCTGTGCTAGTACTGTAACAGTAGTGTCTGGGGTAGTAGTTAACCAGGAGTGTCTGGTGTAGTACTGTACCAGTAGTGTCTGTGGTAGTAGTTAACCAGGAGTGTCTGTGCTAGTACTGTAACAGTAGTGTTTGGGGTAGTAGTTAACCAGTAGTGTCTGTGGTAGTACTGTACCAGTAGTGTCTGGGGTAGTAGTTTACCAGTAGTGTCTGTGGTAGTAGTTAACCAGTAGTTAACCAGGAGTGTCTGTGCTAGTACTGTAACAGTAGTGTCTGGGGTAGTAGTTAACCAGGAGTGTCTGTGGTAGTACTGTACCAGTAGTGTCTGGGGTAGTAGTTAACCAGGAGTGTATGTGGTAGTACTGTAACAGTAGTGTCCGGGGTAGTAGTTAACCAGTAGTGTCTGTGGTAGTACTGTACCAGTAGTGTCTGGGGTAGTAGTTTACCAGAAGTGTCTGTGGTAGTAGTTAACCAGTAGTTAACCAGGAGTGTCTGTGCTAGTACTGTAACAGTAGTGTCTGGGGTAGTAGTTAACCAGGAGTGTCTGTGGTAGTACTGTACCAGTAGTGTCTGGGGTAGTAGTTAACCAGGAGTGTATGTGGTAGTACTGTAACAGTAGTGTCCGGGGTAGTAGTTAACCAGTAGTGTCTGTGGTAGTACTGTACCAGTAGTGTCTGGGGTAGTAGTTAACCAGGAGTGTCTGGGGTAGTACTGTACCAGTAGTGTCTGGGGTAGTACTTTACCAGGAGTGTCTGTGGTACTACTGTACTGGTACTTTCTGTGGTAGTAGTTTACCAGTAGTGTCTGTGGTAGTAGTGTACCAGTAGTGTTTGTGGTACTACTGTACAGATAGTTTCTGTGGTATAAGTTTACAAGTAGTGTCTGTGGTACTACTGTACTGGTTGTTTCTGTGGTAGTACTGTACAGATAGTTTCTGTGGTATCAGTCTACCAGTGTTGTATGTGGTACAACTCTACCGGTAGTTTCTGTGGTAGTATTCTATCGATAGGTTTTGTAGTAACGCACTGAATAAAATATATCTCAAAATTCAAATACTCGCGAATAAGTTATTATTAATACAATGTATTGAATGTATCTACGATGATTCCCAGCAGAGACGTAAACTCTGTTTACAGTTCAGTAATCAGATTGTCGAGTGACATGCACGGATTGAGCTGACAAACATTGTTATATAATGTAACATGAGATTTGTAAGCTCTATAGTTACATAATTGAGTTTAAACGAAGACAGGTTTTCAAGTATTTGTCATGATTGTCTGGATATGCATTATGTGCACAACAATACATGTTTTACGTATCGACCAGCAACTGTAATTGTACACGATGTACAGGCCTGTTAAAACACAACTTCAATATAATGCACCAACAGTCTACTAAAACAACCCATTAAAACCAATTAAATACGACTATAAAGGGGATTTCACATTAGCTTACACATTGCACAAAGTCTGTATTTGTGCAACAACAGATAACCGACAGATGATCAGAGACATGTTTCTCACTGGATAGTCTGTCCAATTAAAACACTTCGATGACTGTGATTGCACGTATTATATTACATGCTTGTATTATCTTTCCATTGAAACTCTGTCTCAGTAAAAATTAATCATTAATGAAACAATGAACCCAATACTGACACCATTTAAAGACATCACGTGGTTATTATATAACATGTATTCAAGTTTATTTAATACATTTCTTGTCAGTAAACTGTTATTAGTAGCAATAAAGTCATAGTACAAATATGTATGAAAGTAATGCTACCTGTAGCTCTGCTATAAGCTGTATTATACCAGGTTAGGTAGCTCAGAGTTGGGGTATTATAGTACCGACTGTCGATCTCAGAGTTGCATTAGTCAGGAGCATGTTTGATTTTGCCTGTATTATTTTTAACATATTTAATGGAAATACCGTATTATTAGGAACACAATTGATTGGTTGACCATATTATTAGAAACACAATTGATTGGTTGACCGTATTATTAGGAACATAATTGATTGGTTGACCATAGCATTAAGAACACACTTGATTGATTGACAGTATAATTGGGAACACATTTGATTGGTTGACTGTATAATTATTAGTATAATTGGGAACACATTTGATTGGTTGACTGTATAATTAATAATTATACAGTCAACCAATCAAATGTGTTCCCAATTATACTGTCAATCAATCAAATGTGTTCCATAATTATTATGGAACACATTTGATTGATTGACAGCATAATTTGGAACACATTTAATTGGTTGACTGTACTATTTGGAACACATTTGATTGGTTGACTACATAGTTGAGAATACATTTGACTGATTGACTGTGTTTTAAGTTTACCGTGGTGTGTGTGACGAGGTTTTGATTATTGAATGATGATGCTTTTTAATGAGTTTATGATGAGGTCCCAGAGAATGTATACGGAGATCTGTGTATCCGGAAACCCGGACGAGTTGATGGATAATTTCCCTGCATAGACATGTTTATGGTGGCAACGAATCTCTGCCATACATTGATTGACGAAAATCTTGGGACCAAAAAGATTAAGTTCATAGTTATTTCCAAGAGAGCTGCACCGAAACCAGGAAGGAAATTGAAGAAGACTATTAATGAAATTTATCGTAGAGATATAATTTTATTAAGAATTGCATTTCAGTAATTGAAAAGTCCATACTTTTAGGCGTGACTTTAGGCGTGACTTCGAAATAGCCTTGTTTTAATACATTTGCGTTGATCAAAACATGGGAGATCAAACGAGTGGCCTGCACAGATATAGACAATCACGTGACAATCATGGAATTAAGTTTAGAACAATACTGAAGATGTAGTGTTATTACCACGAAGTATAAAACTAGATCTATATCGACTGCCTTACTAGTATATACATATATATATGTCTTGTTTAGTATTCTTTTCCGCTAACATAAATGGACAGATGATTGACACGTCTGTCAGCACCAGAGGTGCTCGTACTGTCACCGCACTGAACGACACTCAGTGGTCAATGAGAAACAGTCGCCGTGGTGACGGGTGGCTGGTCACCTCCAAAGTCACTGTGGACGAGTGGCCGGGACAGCCGGATGTGTGACCAATATTCTTTAGCTGTCTTTGCCACCTCAAACACAGAGGTCATCTGTGAATCAGATTGGTATTTCGTGTGTAGTATGCTGCCAGCGTTACATCTGGGCCAACGAAATGTTGCCCTCGTTTTATTCTGTAATTGAAAAGGATCATTGGAAGGAGGCTGTCAAGTTGAGCATTTCACATTTCCTCTTACATTGATTTTCTTACCACATTTCCTGTAGCGGCATGAGATAGCACAACAATCTGAAGCATGTCATGTAATGGTTAAATAATGATGGTTTTTGATAAAAAAAAAAAAATGAGAGAGAGAATGTGTTGATGATGAGTAAGCCAGCATGGTCTGTACTTGTCCGAGATATCGGCAGTAACAGACCTGCCCGATCACTATCCCTTCCATCCGTCGCCCCAGCCTCCCCCCTCAGCAGCCCTCTATCACCAACAACCGACCTTTATCTACCGGGAGGTGCTGATTTGCTACATTTCACGTTTCTTCAACAGTTCAGGATTTTACTTCCCAAGATCGGGAGAAAGAGCTTCATGCTGTCAGTAGACTATAGTTAACGTTATATCAGAACTTTTCACCAAAGAGAGCCACACATAGCCTATTATACCTAAGGGAGTTCGGACAAAGAACACATGCTTTACGCGACTGGTTGTAATTACTACTAAGTATCTGTCTTGGAAATATATTCTCCAAGGTCAGCGGATATGTATTGATAAGTAATAAAAATTACCTAATAACCCATAGTAATGTTTGAAATTACCCCCACCATAACCTATACGAAGACATTACTATTCTTTCATCAACACAACGTCACCTTTCCTCCATTACTCCAAGGTTACTTCATTACATTACACAAAACTACCCTTCTTACATTTAGCGAAGTAGCCCTTCTTAAATCAGACCAAGGTCACCTTTACGTCATATCAAGGTCACCATTTTTATATCAGACCAATTAAGGACAAGGTCACTCATCATGACTCAAACCTAATTTTCAACTGTCACAGAATTGATATAAGATGTCATTCCAAGTAAAGAGAATTAATACATGTTTACAGTATGTAAAATCTCACCTTTTATTGAGACCTGAAAAAAATCATTATACTTGAGTCTTTATACTTCTGTTATTACAGGACCCCCTGTTCAGTGATGAGGTGGACATCAGGATGGGCTACAAAACCAGGAGCATACTCAGTATGCCAATCAAGGACTGTGCCGGCAAGGTCATCGGGGTCGCGCAGGCTGTCAACAAAAGTAGCGTCGAGAACGAACCCTTCAACGAACACGATGAGAAGGTATACCATGGTGGCTGTGTCTTGATTGTCCTTCCTTGGTTATATTAAAAAAAATCCTTTGGCTACACTGTTTTCATAAAGGCTGGGGACAACAGAATTTTCACATATAAGAAGGTCTTCATTTCCTAAAAAATAATAGTTTCAGAAAACGGTTTTCCCTGGTAATTGGATTGCAGACTCCAGTAGAACTACCTGTTCCTGGCCAAGTTTTACAGCATGACAAAGCAGTTTTACGTTTTGCTGAGAGCTTGAGTTTTGGGACACTCCAGAGACAACAGTAGATTAAAATAGGACCCTACTACAAAAATATACAGAGGTGAGTTAGTAGGGAAGGTTGACCCAATCAGTCGGAGAGCCACACAATGGGCAGGTTACAACAGCAAGGTCAGACCAAGTCAGCTCTAGGTGTTGAGGGCCACCGTTACACAGATTACTCAAGTTGCCAGAAGGTACAAAATGTGATTTTAATGAGAGTTCACTGTGCTACATTTCCACTGCAGTTTGTCTGCCTGCCAGACTAATAATTCCTTCAAGCTTGTCGGGTAATTGATATCAACTTTGCCTTGACGTCATAGTAAACCTCATTGTTCAAGTCTTGGATTACTAATGGGATTACTATAAAGGTAGTAGATGATTTGCACTTTTGTATGGTGCACCACTGACCTCTACCATCAATACACAGTCTGTGTCATGTCCAGCCACTAGTAGGGCCAAGTGGTTAGTTCGGTGCAGGTTGTCAGAACATTTGAAGGGCGTAGGCAGAAGGGCAGTTTGTGTGTGTGTGTGTGTGTGTGTGTGCGCGTGCATACGTGCGTGCATGCATGCTCAAAGTCTCAGATTCAGCATACCTTATTGATTAAAGATATAAATATCTACAAAAAAAGGAACTAATTAATTCTGCAATATTTGCATATTATTTTCAACATTTCACTAGTTAAGAAATTGTGAGATGCAGTGAAAAATCTGATTTCTCGTTTAAGCTGTAATGCTAGCAGAACTGACAACAGGAGAGGTTAATGTTTTCCAGGCCGTTACCATGACAATGCTGGAGTCGGTTGGGATTCTAAATCAAATATGAAATATGAAATTTCAATATCCTGACAGCTATTCATTAATAACAGTTGCTGGATATCATAACAAAATAATCATTATAGCTATCAAAATAAATTAAAAAAAATAAGCGGGTTGGTTAAAAACTTGAACAAGTGTTCTCTGTGATGGTAATTGCGAGTTGCGTGTACAAGGTGTAAGACATTGACGTCATACGCCTTATTAGTGCAGTCATCTTAATACTCGTACATAATCCGTCTGAGCCAATGGTCGCCCTATCCTGCACCAGTCACAGAGCTACCTCCCACTGGCATCTGCTGGATCGTCTGGTTTAAAATAAACTTCCATTTTATGTGAAGCTTAAAAAACCTTAGAGTGCCTAAACCATAGTGAATGCTTCATTTATTAATATTCCTTAATTCATAAAATAACAACCTAAAATAAAAAGCAGTCAGGAAATAATAAATTAGGGAAATAGTTTAAGAGTCATTTCATGTAAAAATTAGGAAAAACAAAGTAGTTCATTTAAATACTTAAAATTCTATTTCATTAATGATGAGGAAAACATTTCCTTTAATCGTTTTGCACCATGTCTACACTCAACAGTCTCATGTCTACACTTTACTGTGTCGGGTCTACAAGTTACTGTGTCAGGTCTACACTTTACTGTGTCAGGTCTGCACTTTACTGTCTAAGGTCTACACTTTACTAAAGTCTACACTTTACTAAAGTCTACACTTAACTGTGTCAGGTCTACACTTTACTGTCTAAGGTCTACACTTTACTAAGGTCTACACTTTACTGTGTCAGGTCTACACTTAACTGTCTAAGGTCTACACTTTACTGTGTCAGGTCTACACTCAACAGTCTCATGTCTACGCTTTACTGTGTCAGGTTTACACTTTACTGTCTAAGGTCTACACTTTACTAAGGTCTACACTTAACGGTGTCAGGTCTACACTTTACTGTCTAAGGTCTCCACTTTACTGTCTAAGGTCTACACTTAACTGTCTAAGGTCTACGCTTTACTGTGTCAGGTTTACACTTTACTGTCTAAGGTCTACACTTTACTAAGGTCTACACTTTACGGTGTCAGGTCTACACTTTACTGTCTAAGGTCTCCACTTTACTGTCTAAGGTCTACACTTTACAGTCTAAGATCTACACTTTACTGTCTAAGGTCTACACTTTACTGTCTAAGGTCTACACTTTACTGTCTAAGGTCTACACTTTACAGTCTAAGATATACACTTTACTGTCTAAGGTCTACACTTTACTGTCTAAGGTCTACACTTTACTGTCTAAGTTCTACACTTTACTGCCTAAGTTCTACACTTTACTGTCTAAGGTCTACACTTTACTGTCTAAGATCTACACTTTACTGTCTAAGGTCTACACTTTGCTGTCTAAGGTCTACACTCAACAGTCTTAGGTCTACACTTTACTGTCTGTGGTGTACACTTTACTGTGTCAGGTCTACACTTTACTGTCTAAGGTCTACACTTTACTGTGTCAGGTCTACACTTTACTGTCCAAGGTCTACACTTTACTGTGTTAGGTCTGCACTTTACTGTCTAAGGTCTACACTTTACTGTGTCAGGTCTACACTTTACTGTCTAAGGTCTACACTTTACTGTGTCAGGTCTACACTTTACTTGTAAGGTCTACACTTTACTGTGTCAGGTCTACACTTTACTGTATCAGGTCTACACTGAACTGTGTCAGGTCTTCACTTTGATGTCTGAGGTCTACACTTTACTCAGGTCTACACTTTACTGTCCAAGGTCTACACTTTACTTTCCCATGTCTACACTTTAATGTCTGAGGTCTATACTTTACTGTGTCAGTTCTACACTTAACTGTGTCAGGTCTTCACTTTACTGTGTCAGGTCTACACTTTACTGTCCGAGGTCTATACTTTACTGTCCGAGGTCTATACTTTAATGTTTGAGGTCTACACTTTACTGTCTGAGGTCTACACTTTACTGTGTCAGGTCTTCACTTTACTGATCAGATCTACACTTTACTGTGTCAGGTCTTTACTTTACTGTCTGAGGTCTACACTTTACTGTTTGAGGTCTACACTTTACTGTGTCAGGTCTTCACTTTACTGTTTCAGGTCTACACTTTACTGTGTCAGGTCTTCAATTTACTGTGTCAGGTGTACACTTTGCTGTGTCGGGTCTACACTTTACTGTCCAAGGTCTACACTTTACTTTCCAAGGTCCACACTTTACTGTGTTGGATCTACACTTTACTGGGTTAGGTCTATACTTTACTGTCCGAGGTCTATACTTTACTTTGTTAGGTCTACACTTTTCTGTCCAAGGTCTACACTTTACTCTCCAAGGTCCACACTTTACTGTGTTGGATCTACGCTTTACTGTGTTAGGTCTACACTCTACTGTGTCAGGTCTACACTTTACCGAGTCTGGCCTACACTTAACTGTTTGAGGTCTACACCCACTGTTTGAGGTCTACACTTTACTGTGTCAGGTCTACACTTCACGCTCTGAGGTTTACACTTAATTGTCTGAGGTCTATACTTTACTTTGTTAGGTCTACACTTTACTTCGTTAGGTCTACACTTTATTGAGTCTGGCCTACACTTTACTTTGTCATGTCTACACTTAACTGTGTCAGGTCTACACTTTACTGTGTCTGGCCTACACTTTAATGTCAAAGTGCTTAAGTTTACTGTCTGAGGTCTACAATAAACTATCTTGGGTCTTCACCTTGTCCTGATCTACACTTTGTTGTCTCTAATTTATGCTTTACTGACTTTTGGTCTAGGCTTTACTTTTTAGATATTGTTTAGTAAGGATGATACTTGCATGTTGATTGTCAAAGAGAAATGTTTTAGTCTGGCTTCCGGCATTAATTTTTTTGTAATATGGAGAGCGTTTACAAAAAAAATAGACACAGAAAAGATAGCTTTTTGTCTTAACTCTGTTCAAAATTGTGCCATTATAAATAATCAAAGGGGACAGAGGAGAATAGATGATATGTATAAAGATAATCAGTCCAATAAAAAATTTCACTGGAATGAAAACCAAGCAGTTAAAGCAAATGTGAAAAGCACTGGAGATAGCTTCCAGCACAAACAGGCTAACGACAAGGTTATTCCTTAAAACTTCACTCCTTTCATTTCCTTCAAACCGAGATGTGTGAAGCTAATTGTGAGAGTGTAGGCCCATCACCAAAGGTTAATAATCCAAATAAAGACTGATGGATCACAATGCTACATCAGATATCAGATCGCTTTTTTGCTTCTGTTACGTCATCCTCAGATAAGTTGCATGTGCTGATGCAGTAAGTGGTACTGAGTCTTTAAATGAAACATCACAATTCAACGACACTCCTACCCATTCACTGATACTTCACCGACTTGAGTCATCAATTGGATGCTAGAAATTCAAATGTCAAGCTCGTTGATCTTGGAACACCTCACATCTTATCTCATTAAGGAGGCAAGTTGGCAAGATACATACATTACTGTTGTTTAAAGCTAGGTACTCCTGTATGCCAGAGCTTCAAATGTCAAGGTCATTGATGTCAGAGCGCCTCACATCTTCTCTCCTAAAGGAGGCAAGGTGGCAAGATCGGTACCTTACTGTTGTTATATATGTTGGCTATATGTGACAAATTGATATGGTATATACCTAATAAATTAACTTCCCATATCAATTATTATATTGTTGTTGTTTCTTGGAAATGACATTGGATGTTTATTTTACAGGTATTTGGGTATTACCTGGCATTTTGTGGAATTGGATTGAAAAATGCTCAGCTTTATGAAAAGTCACTTCTGGAAAACAGAAGAAATCAGGTATTGCTATAAATTTACTTAACACTATTTCAAACTATTCCATAATACATTTTAATTTAAATCATTTGATAAGATTGGTATGAATGTTTTAGCTCGCCTGACCCAAATGGGGAAGTGAACTTTTGCATTTCCATAGCATATGTCTGTTGTCTGGTGCCAACTTTCCTTTAAAAATGCTACTTCTCCAGAGCAGCTGAAGAGAATTTCACGAACTTTGGTCTGAAGCATCATTAGGCAAAGAGGACTTAACATAATTGTATAAAATGAGGGTGTTTCCCTTCAGGACAGAGAGTAAGAGCCCGATAGGGAGATTACAGGTGGATTAATTTAAAATCCAACACCTTCAGTATGGATACAGGAATTTTAGTATAAATTGGTCTGGAGCATGCATGGGCCAAGAGGACTCAAGGTAAATATATGATGTCTATAGAAAGATGTGGTAACATCATGATTTCCATTGAAAGGTGTACTGTTTGAAATGAATGACATGAACTTGTTGTCACAGGTACTACTGGACCTAGCCCGTGTTATATTTGAGGAGCAGAGCAATGTGGCCAATCTTATCTACAAGATAATGATGCACACACAGTCCCTTTTGCAGTGTCAGCGTTGTCAAGTGATGCTGATCGAAGACCTGTCCAAGGTAAGGTTCCATACCACTGTGTCCATCCTGATATTGTGTCCCGCTTGTAGTCCGTACACCAGGCCAAACCGTGGTCAAGTTACTTGTTAGCTACGATAAATAGTACTGTCACAGCTTGTAATTCGTTATTTGGTAGCTAGGATAGTACCATCACAGCTTGGTTAGAGAAATGTCACTGCTTTCATAATGTTGTCATTAACTGCTTAAGTTAGGTAAGAATAATTTGTTTGTACTGTTAAAACAATTTTCTTTAAATAAAAGATTCTAGATTAAATCTGATCATACATTGAATATGTGAAAAAACAGAATAGAAACTGTCTGATAAACGAGTTGTATTGTACTAACTGAGGATTGAGACTTATATTGATTTTATATTTATTTCAGCTAATGTTATTTATGTTCTCTATGTAAGAAGTGTAATCCCTTTGTGGAATAACAATCACTTTTGATCCTTGAATCATTTACTAAAGCCTCAACTATGAAGGTCACATGAGTGGGCTTTGTTTCCTAAAGAGCTGTGTTGCCTAGGCTACAGCAATGTTCATCAAATCCACATTGAAAGTTATAAAGATCGTGCTAAGGAAATAGGAATAAAGCATTATTTCAGGCTAAGAGATGAGACTTCAGTTTGCATGCTCCATTGCCATACGTTATGAGTGTTGTAGTAATATCTGTCTAGTTTTAGACCCAGTGGAACACAATATATTGGTCACATTGACGGGACAACCACCTAATTGAGTGGTGTATAGAGATGGACTATCATCTAATGTGAAAGGACTGGGGAATTTTCTGTCTGTTGCGGTTGGGACTCATAGATAGTGGCTTGGAATTGGGAATTGTCAGCGATATTTGAGGTGGTGGCTTACCAGGACATTCTATGGGGAGTTTTCCGTACCTATCAGGGACTCCTTTTATATCAGTTGAGTTAGAGCTGTCTATAATCACCTATGGGAAATTTCTGTGTCCGTTGAGGTGAAGATTCACCATGAAATCCTACAGGGGAATTTCTGTGACTACTGAGGTTTGGGTTAACTACGATAGTCTATGAGATATTTTTGAGGTTGTGGGCTCTCTATCATCATTTATGAGGAATTTCTGTGACGGTTGAGGTAGGGGCTCATTACAACAGTCTACGAGGAATTTTCAGTGACCGTAGAAGTCAGGGCTCACTTTTGCTGACTTTGAAGCATTTTCGGGGCCTGTTGGCCTATTGATGTGGCAGCTCATTAAAAGCTTGCAGTAACTGAGGGAGTGCTCCATCATGTTGCCAACCATCAAGCCCGACAAGACAGATCAGGTGTAGGAGGAAACAGAATCAATCATTTGGTGTGAGACCCCCTGAAATTAGCTGCCCATCAAATGAATTGTTATTACTTTCCGTGCCTGATATGTTGTCATGTGTATCCTTGACAGCCATCTTAACTGGCAATCAGCCCTCATAGCTTGTACAGATTTTACTTCACACCCCGCCCCACAGTCACAATTAAGCAGTGTGCTTGATGGCTTAATTAAGACATAAGGCTTGCTCACAAAGACTTCATAGATGTCGCGTGCATGAGTTGTACCATTTAGCTGGTGAAGTGTATATGTCAGGTGTAGGTATAATTAGTCAACTGTTATTAGTGGCAGTAATAACAGGGTGTGGAGTAGTTGGCAGTGGAGCATGTAACGTCCTCATCAACCATGACATGTCACACAAAATCCTTATTCTGCTACAAATATTTTCGCAGTTGTCTCCCTTTTTTTCTTTTTCTTTTTACATATATATAAATATATCTGTGCCTGAAATACTGATTTCTTCCTTGATTTATTTCATGTCACTAAGTGAAAACAAAAGTATCTGAATACATATGTTGTGAGCATGACACACCTGCAGACACATTCCTATCGTGCTTCCATGTTAATATGTAGACCTATCTAACCCTCTGTCACACAACCCAGTACAAAGGCTGGCCAAAATACAGTCAATTTGTAACTTGTTAACAAATTCAAATTTTGTTTACTTTTATTATTTTGGGGAGGTAATAATCGTGAATTTACTTAAACATGATACAAAGCATTCTTATAAATAAACTTTATTTTAGTATTATGACTCTGTTTATTTTTCCTATTTTTATTGTACATGTAAAAACGTCGTAAATTCAAATATGACTGTGATGTTGTATAGGTGGTAGAAGTATGGTAGCGGCTGTACTGGTGTGTGACAGAGATCAGGCTTGTTCTAGCCGTTGGACTATACCTATAGATAGTGTGTGACAGAGATCAGCCTAGTTCTAGCCGTTGGACTATACCTATAGATAGTGTTTGACAGAGATCAGGCTTGTTCTAGCCGTTGGACTATACCTTTAGATAGTGTGTGACAGAGATCAGGATTGTTCTAGCCGTTGGACTATACCTGTAGATAGTTTGTGACAGAGATCAGGCTTGCTCTAGCCGTTGGACTATACCTATAGATAGTGTGTGCCAGAGATCAGGCTTGTTCTAGCCGTTGGACTATACCTTTAGATAGTGTGTGACAGAGATCAGGATTGTTCTAGCCGTTGGACTATACCTGTAGATAGTTTGTGACAGAGATCAGGCTTGTTCTAGCCGTTGGACTATACCTATAGATAGTGTCAGGCCTGCATGGATATTAATGGTTGATACATGTTTGCTTCTTTTTAATTTCAGGACAAAAACAAAAAGCTTACTATCAAAAAAAGCATGGTGAATATTACACAATTTAATTTTGTCGATGCTCACTCAAACTTTGACTTATCTCACTAGTGTATTCTGTATGTGCACTTTAACAGTAGTGGGGCGGTACCTACGCCGACATTATTAGTACAGGTGTGTGGCTATAACGGCACTAACTAGTGGTATACATGTATAACTGCACTAACTGAAGTAGTACTTAGTCTAGTTGAGATCTCTTGTTTAGAATGAGTTGGTTTGCATCATTATGATGAGTCACATTTTATACTATTATGTATTTATTTTCTACTAGTATCTGTTAAAGTAGTTTTAGAATTATGCGAACAGTCTTTTGCATTAGATTTTAATACTTAAAATGACTTTATCTAATTCTGGAAATAGGACGGGAGCTTGTTTGTTTATTGATGATGGATTGGTTTGATTACTAACATTAACACCAGCTTGATAACCAATCATGTACCCTGTTATGTATTGGTGATGGAATTGATTGGTCACTTAATCTAGCCCTGGTTGCCAATCATATACCCTGTTATGTATTGGTGATGGAATTGATTGGTAACCTTGATCTAGACTTGGTAACCAATCATATGCCTTGTTATGTATTGGTGATGGAATGGATTGGTCACCTTGATCTAGCATTGGTAACCAATCATATATCTTGTTATGAATTGGTGAAGGAATTGATTACACAACTTATAAACTATACCATTAGCTGTGGTAATCAAGCATGAACTATAGATCTGTATTAAACAAGAGGCCCAGATGGCCTGTATCGCTCACCTGGAAATGTTAGCGAAATTGAAGTGTACATGTATTACATGGTTAGTCAAAGGTTATATTTATATGCAATTGGACAAAATCCTGCATTCCTAAAGTATAAGGAGGATTTCAAAATTTGCTATGTTTCCCCTATCGGGGTCTGCCCCTCTGCCCCCAAGGGGGTCATCCCATCATTGATACAAGATAAGGTCCCCTTCACCCAAGGGGGGTCAGATCAACCATTTATTCAAATTGTTTCCCCTTTACCCAAGGGTGTTTCATACCAAATTTGGACAAAATCCTGTCATTCCTACAGAAGAAGGATTTAGAAGAATTTGTTATGTTTCCCCTATTGGGCCCCACCCCTCAGGCCCCAGGGGGTTCAAACCCACCATGTATACAAAATTGATTTTCCTTCCAAATAGGATGCTACTGTTCAAATTTGGTCAAAATACCTTCATACTAATGGAAGAAGAAGGATATTAAAGCTATTCCTCTATATCCCGTAATGGGCCCCATCTCTCTGCCCCTAGGGGGGGTCAGACCAAATTGGAATGAAATCCCTTAACCCCCTATTGGGCCCTGCTTGTCTGCCCCCGGGGGGGGGGGGGGGCACACCCGCTGTTTATACAAAATTGAGTCCCCTTAGCCGAAGAATTCTTGAGAATAAATTAGAATGAAATCCCTTTATCCCTACAGTAGAAGAAGAATTTTAAAGGTTTGACCTCTATTTCCCCTATTGGGCCCCGCCCCTCTGCCCCCAGGGGGGCCAAAGCCACCGTTGATGCAAAATTTAGTCCCCTTTGCCCAAGAAAGCTCCAGGTTAAATTGGTATGAAATCCCACTGGTAGAAGAAGGATTTTCCCTTAATCCCTACGGTAGAAGAAGGATTTTAAAGGTAATACTTCTATTTCCCCCTATTCGGCCACGCCCATCTGCCCCCAGGGGAGCAACACCCACCGTTAATACAAAATTGACCCAAGGATGCTCCAGACTAAATTAGGATAAAATCCCTTAATCCCTATGGTAGAAGAAGGATTTTAAAGGTTTTACCTCTATATCCCTTATTCGGCCTCGCCCCTCTTCCCCCAGGGGGGCCACACCCACCATTTATACAAAATTGAGTGCCCTTGGCCCAAGGATGTTCCCAACCTAATCTAGTTAAAATCCACTTAGCCATTCAGGACAAGTAGCGTTTTAAAGAAAAAGTTGACAGACGGACAGACGACGGACAACGGAAGGACGACGGACGCTGCACCATGGCATAAGCTCACTTGCTCTTCGGGGAGGTGAGCTGAAAACCAGTGATGTTTGAGTGTGTATATTGATATTAAAAATTGAATCAGGTGAAATATTCCATATAGAGTTACACCAGCAGAAATAGATCTGGGTTCATGGACAGATAGACCATACATCATTGATGAGCTCTTAAAGTTGTGAATAAAACATCAGCTGATTATCTTCTGTAGACGGATTACTGGTTTCCAAAACCTTATTTTAACTCTGCAAGTCAAATTCTTAGAATTTAATCTTTTTATATTTTTATCAGAAACAAAATCATGCACAACCTTTAACATCGTTGCTTAACAATCCAAAAGAAATCTGATCAATGTTTTATTGTCTTTCCATGTTGTAGGAACCACCTATTTATTTCAATTCAGTTTGCAGTAGTGCACGGTTATTCAGTATAGCTGTCAGTCCTGGTGAGCATGTTCTATCTCAATACATGTACAGCTCCTTGCCATTCTACAGCATTGAATAGAGTCTCCCATAACCAAATTGCCCCAGGTTTCAATAACGTAGAGCTGGGTACTTTGATACCACATTGATACTGCTGAGTAGGATAAGTTTTGTCTGTAAGTGAATATCTACATTGGATGGTTTAAAACCCCAGAACAAATCAGGTTTTACATTGATATACAACACAGCAGCTCCCAGAGGGAGGTCAATATTCATGTCTCTTGCAGTGCCTTGAAGATGTATTGGAGACACAGTTATACCATACAAGTCACTAACACTGATTCTTGAGATCTGTCTGAAAACCGCTTCACATAGATAAAAGCTGCCAAAGCTAATTGTAGGGTCCTGCTATTTATACTTATTCTCCTAGTTTAATGATCAGTGTAGGATGCTGTTTTCCTTTTAATCTTATGATAAGTGTCAGGTGATGTGTAAGGTGCTGCCATCCATAGTGTTATAAGTTTAAGGTGCTGCCATCTATAGTGTTATAAGTGTAAGGTGCTGCCATCTATAGTGTTATAGGTGTAAGATGATGTGTAAGGTGCTGCCATCCATAGTGTTATTGGTGTAAGGTGATGTGTAAGGTGCTGCCATCTATAGTGTTATAAGTGTAAAGTGCTGTTTAAGGTGCTGCCATCTATAGAGTTATAAGTGTAAGATGCTGTGTAAGGTGCTGCCATCTATAGTGTTATAGGTGTAAGGTGATGTGTAAGGTGCTGCCATCCATAGTGTTATAAGTGTAAGGTGCTGTGTAAGGTGCTGCCATCTATAGTGTTATAGTGTAAGGTGCTGTGTAAGGTGCTGCCATCCATAGTGTTATAAGTGTAAGGTGCTGCCATCTATAGTGTTATACATGTAAGGTGCATTGTAAGGTGCTGCCATCTAAAGTGTTATAAGTGTAAGGTGCTGTCATCTAGAGTGTGATGATAAGTGTAAGGTGCTGCCATCTATAGTGTAATATGAGTTAGGTGTTGCCATCTAGAGTGTGATGATTGTAAGGTGCTGCCATTTGGAGTGTGATGATTGGAAGGTGCTGCCAGCTAGAGTGTGATGATTGTAAGGTGCTGCCATTTAGAGTGTGATGATTGTAAGGTGCTGCCATCTAGAGTGTGATTATTGTAAGGTGCTGCCATTTAGAGTGTGATGATTGTAAGGTGCTGCCATCTAGAGTGTGATGATTGTAAGGTGCTGCCATTTAGAGTGTGATGATTGTAAGGTGCTGCCATCTAGAGTGTGATGATAAGTGTAAGGTACCAGTGCTGACATCTAAAGTTTGGTGATAAGTATAAAGTGCTGCTACCTGTATTGTGATGATAAGTGTGAAGTGCTGCCATCTACAGTTGGATGCCCAGTGTAAGATGCTGCTACATATAGAATGATGTTATATTGATTGCTTTCCAAAGTAAAGATATTGTTTCTGTTATATGAAGGTAAGTTATCAGGCGTAAACCTTATTTGATTTAACATTTCTTCTTATACATACACTAATCAGATAACATTTATATCATGAATATCAATGACGATTTATAAAAGACAAGTTAGTCTGTATATGTGAATCAAATACTATTTTGGCGAAGAATGTCTTAATGCCAGATAAAATTCTTAATATAGAAATAACTACCAGCACAACTATAAAGCTTGCCTTTTAGACCCTGCGTATATCTACATGTATGTACATTGGATCCTGGCACATTTGATTCCATATATGTTATTGTATCCCTACACCAGCCCTTACCAGACTATCCATTAACAATTAATTAGGAAATAATTAGTCATCTGAAACCTAAACATTCTACCCAGAGCATTATTGGTTTTGTAGACTAATTCTTCAGCTATTTTGACAAAGCTGTGTATTTCAATAACAAAGCACAGGACCTGAGGATGTCAGCTGTAGTTTCCTTATTCATCCCGATCTTTATTGCAGCTTAGGGTAATGTTCTGTGCCATGTTGTTGTTATCTTGGCTCTTTATTGTAAGTGAAGGAGCATTAAACGGGATACATTAATATCTATAGAAGCGTTTTATAGAAATCTTCTGTAGATGTTGTGTACACTTTTATCAGTTTTAGCTCTATACCTATCTTCCCTCTGCCAATGCAAATCATTCTCTACTACACTTCATGTGAAGATAAAACATTGAGTAATCCTATCATGGTGTCCAGCTTCAGTTTGTTGTATGTAATAATAACTATAGAAGTTTAATCTGTAAAAAATCCTGTCCACTAAAATTCAATGGTCCGATCCCTTGTTTGTAAATGGATTGAATGATAACTCAGATGGATCTCAAACAATACAACTGGTCACAGAAAGCACACTTCAGGACACTTCAGAACCACAATGTGATTAGTTTTCTGTGGTTAATTTTCTATCAAAGAGGCTAGGTTTTAACTAACTCGTTGTATCACACCAGATTGTCAATGTTGTTTCTGTGTAGAGAACAGCTGTATCACACCAGGTTGTCAATGTTGTGTCTGTGTAGAGAACAGCTGTATCACTCCAGGTTGTCAATGTTGTATCTGTATAGAGAACAGTTGTATCTCACCAGGTTGTCAATGTTGTATCTGTATAGAGAACAGTTGTATCACACTAGGTTGTCAATGTTGTATCTGTATAGAGAACAGCTGTATCGCACCAGGTTGTCAGTGGTGTGTCTGTGTAGAGAACAGCTGTATCGCACCAGGTTGTCAGTGTTGTGTCTGTATAGAGTACAGCTGTATCACACCAGGTTCTCAATGTTGTGTCTGTGTACAGAACAGCTGTATCACCCCAGGTTGTCAATGTTGTGTCTGTATAGAGAACAGCTGTATCACACTAGGTTGTCAATGTTGTGTCTGTATAGAGTACAGTTGTATCACACCAGTTTGTCAATGTTTTTGTCTGTATAGAGTACAGTTGTATCACACCAGGTTGTCAATGTTTTTGTCTGTATAGAGTACAGTTGTATCACACCAGTTTGTCAATGTTTTTGTCTGTATAGAGTACAGTTGTACCACACCAGGTTGTCAATGTTTTTGTCTGTATAGAGTACAGTTGTATCACACCAGGTTGTCAATGTTGTGTCTGTATAGAGAACAGTTGTATCACACCAGGTTGTCAATGTTGTGTCTGTGTAGATAACAGCTGTATCACACTAGGTTGTCAATGTTGTGTCTGTGTAGAGAACAGCTGCATCACACCAGGTTGTCAATGTTGTGTCTGTGTAGAGAACAGTTGTATCACACCAGGTTGTCAATGTTTTTGTCTGTATAGAGAACAGTTGTACCACACCAGGTTGTCAATGTTGTGTCTGTGTAGAGAACAGTTGCATTAGCATCATGCCCTGTGATACAGAATAGATAGCTATACACTCAGCTATATACATTTATTGTATTGTATATGTCACACAGAACAGTCAGCTATATATTGTATGTTGTAAGTCACACAGAACAGTCAGCTATATATTGTATGGGATATGTCACACAGAACAGTCAGCTATATATTGTCTGGTATATGTCACCCAGAACAGTCAGCTATATATTGTATGTTGTAAGTCACACAGAACAGTCAGCTATATATTGTATGGTATATGTCACACAGAACAGTCAGCTATATATTGTATGTTGTAAGTCACACAGAACAGTCAGCTATATATTGTATGGTATATGTCACACAGAACAGTCAGCTATATATTGTATGGTATATGTCACACAGAACAGTCAGCTATATAGTGTATGGTATATGTCACACAGAACAATCAGCTATATATTGTATGGTATATGTCTCATAGAACAGTCAGCTATATATTGTATGTTGTATGTCACACAGAACAGTTGGCTATAGTATGGCCTCTGTCATTCAGTACACTCAGCTATATATTGTACAGTGCTGCTAGAAAATAAAATTCCACTATATATTTGCAGTTAAGACCTTTTTCTATTGTGATTGATTAGCACTTCATTAAATGGTTGTGTTTGAACATGAACACTTTATCTTTCAGGGCATATTTTCTCAGGTGTTTGATCTGGAGAATACAGATTTTGACAACAGTGATACATTTAATAGAAATTGGTAAGTACTAACACCCAAAACATGTATTGACACTAGTGACACACATAAATTGCATTGACACACCAACTGGTAATGATTAACATATATCAATTGCATTGATACACAGATAGGTAAGTTTTGACACACATCAATTGTATTAACACACATAACTGGTAATTTTTGTACACATATAAATTGTATTGACACTATTGACACACAAAATTGGTAAGTTCTGACACACATAAATTGTATTGACACTATTGACACACATAATTGGTAAGTTTTGACACACATAAATTGTATTGACATTATTGACATACATCCATTTCATTGACACACCATCTGGTAATTATTGACACTTATTAATTGCATTGACTCACAGATTGGCAAAGTATTGACACATCAATTTTATTGACACACAAACTTTTATTGACACACATAATTGATAAGTTTTGACACACTGAACAGTATGTTCTGTCAAATACAGATTGGTACATTTGTGAGTACTGACATACAGATTTGTGAGTACTGACTTACAGATTTGTGAGTACTGACACACAGATTTGTGAGTACTGACATGCAGATTTGTGAGTACTGACATACAGATTTGTGAGTACTGACTTACAGATTTGTGAGTACTGACATACAGATTTGTGAGTACTGACATGCAGATTTGTGAGTACTGACATACAGATTTGTGAGTACTGACATACAGATTCGTGAGTACTGACATACAGATTTGTGAGTACTGATTAACACCCTCTTGTTTGAAAGTGAGAACAGGGATTTCTGGTGTTCTGTTTTTAAAACATACAGATTTGTGAGTACTGACATACAGATTTGTGAGTACTGATTAACACCCTGTTGTTTGAAAGTGAGAACAGGGATTTCTGATGTTCTGTTTTTAAAACTCTGATATAATTGGCTGTGAAACGTGAACATTCTCCTTAATTGTGGAAACACGACAAATGGCAAAGTGTTGATCAGTGCTGAAGTCAGCAGCAATTTTTTCAGTGGTAGGAGATATTTTAAGTTTCAGTTGACACTAATGAGCTCAGTGTCAAAAAAAAAATCTTTTTTACTTTATCATTCTCTGAAAAGTCAGAAATTCAATTATTTTAGCAATTTGCAAATTGCCCAGAGCAGGTGAAGCGAATGCCGTTCATGTAATTGTGGGTTAAGATCTGTCTTAAATCTCCCGTAAATAGCTGGGGGCTTCTCGCTAGCTTTGACTACCAGAGATCACCTGCAATCCTGTCCATTACATGGCCAAGTCCCGAGTCAGTGACAAATTGCCCCCCTTTGTCACCCATTGTTGTTATGCTTTCACTTGCAGGCCTGCCGAGCCAAGGTTTCCAATACATATAGGAATCTCCGGCCATGTAGCCACCACAGGGGAGGTAGGTATACATGAGGATTGTGTTAATTCAAATTTAAAGTAAAAGTATCAATAAAACTATATCTAATAAAGAGCAAATTCGACACAGTTTCACTTAAATGCTTAGCCACAATTGTTTTGTAAAAATGGGCATTAAAGCATATAATATGGATCATGTTGAGATAAAATAAATGACCAAGAGTAATTGAGACAATGTTTATATTCAATTATAAAGATTCCTGTTGTCATGTTGTTTAGAGGTATAAATTGAATTGCTGACTGACAGTGCACCAACGCTGGCCATTGAATTAATTGGCTTATGTTAGATAAGGCTTAGTATATGACCTGTCAGGGTCAGGGGTTGATGAACTGTATTTCATGCCTATTTGCACCTGATAATGATTTGATATGATATTACACTGTATCCATGTTATTTGTCAGTCCCAGATCAGGTCTTTGAGCTGGCCACACGTCTATGTTAACCCTTGAGGACTAATACAACATTTAACAGGGTTAGGGAAAGTTAGGTTATCGAAAGACTTTGAAGGTAACAGATCAATAACTGGTTCAAATATCAAGACGGACCTAAATGGAGGCACATGTAGAGATTTATCTGGTCAACATTGATAGTTCATCCTCAGTAAAGAGTGTGTGACAAGACCTCTGTTGGTCAACCTTCAGTAGGGTATATCTGACCAGTCCTGTATTGGTCAACCTTCAGTAGAGTGTATCTGACCAGTCCTATATTGGTCAACCTTCAGTAGGGTGTATCTAACCAGTCCTGTATTGGTCAACCTTCAGTAGGGTATATCTGACCAGTCCTATATAGGTCAACCTTCAGTAGAGTGTATCTGACCAGTCCTGTATTGGTCAACCTTCAGTAGGGTGTATCTGACCGGTCCTATATTAGTCAACCTTCAGTAGGGTGTATCTGACCAGTCCTGTATTGGTTAACCTTCAGTAGGGTGTATCTGACCAGTCCTGTATTAGTCAACCTTCAGTAGGGTGTATCTGACCGGTCCTATATTGGTCAACCGTCAGTAGGGTGTATCTGACCAGCCCTATATTGATCAACCTTCAGTAGGGTATATCTGACCAGACTTCTATTGGTCAACCTTCCGTAGGGTATATCTGACCCGACTTCTGTTTGTCAACCCCCCCTAGGGTATATCTGACCAGTCCTGTATTGGTTAACCTTAAGTAGGGTGTATCTGACCAGACTTCTGTATGTCAATCTTCAGTAGGGTATATCGGACCAGTCCTGTATTGGTTAACCTTAAGTAGGGTGTATCTGACCAGTCCTATATTGATCGACCTTCAGTAGGGTGTATCTGACCGGTCCTATATTGGTCAGCCGTCAGTAGGGTGTATCTGACCAGACTTCTATTGGTCAGCCTTCAGTAGGGTATATGTGACCAGACTTCTGTTTGTCAACCCCCCCTAGGGTATATCTGACCAGGCTTCTATTGGTCAACCTTCAGCAGGGGATATCTGACCAGACCTCTGTTGGTAAACCTTCAGTAGGGTATATCGGACCAGTCCTGTATTGGTTAACCTTAAGTAGGGTGTATCTGACCAGCCCTCTGTTGGTCAACCTTAAGTAGGGTATATCTGACGAGACCTCTGTTGGTCAACCTCAGTAGGGTATATCTGCCCAGACCTCTGTTGGTCAACCTTAAGTAGGGTATATCTGACGAGACCTCTGTTGGTCAACATTCAGTAGGGTATATCTCTCCAGACTTCTGTTTGTCCACCTTCAGTAGGGTGTATCTGACCAGACCTCTGTTGGTAAACCTTCAGTAGGGTATATCGGACCAGTCCTGTATTGGTTAACCTTCAGTAGGGTGTATCTGACCAGACCTCTGTAGGTCAACCTTCAGTAGGTAATATCTGACCAGACTTCTGTTTGTCAACCCCCCCTAGGGTATATCTGACCAGTCCTGTATTGGTTAACCTTAAGTAGGGTGTATCTGACCAGTCCTATATTGATCGACCTTCAGTAGGGTATATTTGTCCAGACTTCTATTGGTCAGCCTTCAGTAGGGTATATCTGACCAGTCCTATATTAATCAACCTTCAGTAGGGTATATCTGACCAGACCTCTGTTGGTCAACCTTCAGTAGGGTGTATCTGACCAGCCTGTACTGCTCAGAGATTGAAGCACTGATCGAGCCTCACATCATATTGTGCTGAGACAGTGATTACGCAGAGAAGATTACTGATGTGCTATAAATAAACAAATATAATCAATCTTGTTCAGGCTAACTCACATTACTTCAATTATCGACAATCAATCTAAAACAATCTACTGTAAAGTATTTGCATGCAATTTGTAACTGTGTATTGCTAGACCATTTATTGTTCGTGATTTGAAAGTATAACCTTAAATTGAATTAACATTATCAGAATCTCCTAGTAAAAACCGCTAAAGACAGACACTTGACAAATACCTGTTATAAACCAGATCACTTAAAAAATTCAGTGTTTAATGTATCATTGTGAAAACCATGACTGTAGTCAAATACTTCAAACTTTTTTCCAGACACTCAATATTCCTGATGCTTCGAAGGACAAGCGTTTTTACACAAAGGTTAGATATTCATAGCTCTCCAAAAAAAAAAAATGTTGTAAGTTTCATAATTTTCAATTTATTTCATCCTGATAATCTTTTATTGTTAATGAATATAAGACAACATTGTGTCTATTTTATACAGGTGGACTGTGTTCTAGTAACACTAGGAAGGTATTGTAACCTTGTATAGCTATAAATAGCTTTCTGTTTTTATATTTATCAGGCGGCTGGTTCATTTCATTTACACAGTAATATTTAATGTAAACCATTGTCTATCAGCCTCCTTCAGAAGAACCCCAGTGGTAGTAAAATCTGATGTATGTATTTTCAGGCAGACGAAGAGAGCAGCTTTGTAACGAAATCCATATTATGCATGCCAATCAAGAATTCCAGTAACCGTGTTATCGGAGTAGCCCAGTTGACCAATAAACTGGATGCCACTGCCTTCAACAAAAACGATGAAAATCTATTTGAAGTGAGTTTTTCTAATTTATTGATGAATTAATGTTAAGACGTCCACAGTCAACATCTATCTCAAGGCCCTTTCTTGCTATTTGTGCTATTTGTGTCAGTGCAAAATACAATATCAATACATACATGTATATCATTTTCATTTTAGAAATGTGAAATGTACTTGACAGTAATATGGAGTGTGAGATGACTTGTTAGAAATATGAAGTTAAAGTGTACTTACCATATTAGAAATATGAAGGGTACTTGTCAGAAAAATACGAAATGTGTATTGACTTGTTAGAAATGTGTATTGTACAAGTTAGAAATGTGTATTGACTTGTTAGAAATGTGTATTGTACAAGTTAGAAATGTGTATTGTACATGTTAGAAATGTGTATTGTACAAGTTAGAAATGTGTATTGTACATGTTAGAAATGTGTATTGTACAAGTTAGAAATGTGTATTGTACATGTTAGAAATGTGTATTGTACAAGTTAGAAATGTGTATTGTACATGTTAGAAATGTGTATTGTACAAGTTAGAAATGTGTATTGTACATGTTAGAAATGTGTATTGTACAAGTTAGAAATGTGTATTGTACATGTTAGAAATGTGTATTGTACAAGTTAGAAATGTGTATTGTACATGTTAGAAATGTGTATTGTACAAGTTAGAAATGTGTATTGTACATGTTAGAAATGTGTATTGTACAAGTTAGAAATGTGTATTGTACATGTTAGAAATGTGTATTGTACAAGTTAGAAATGTGTATTGTACATGTTAGAAATGTGTATTGTACAAGTTAGAAATGTGTATTGTACATGTTAGAAATGTGTATTGTACAAGTTAGAAATGTGTATTGTACATGTTAGAAATGTGTATTGTACAAGTTAGAAATGTGTATTGTACATGTTAGAAATGTGTATTGTACAAGTTAGAAATGTGTATTGTACATGTTAGAAATGTGTATTGTACATGTTAGAAATGAGAAGCATAAATACAAGTTCGAAATGTGTATTGTACATGTTAGAAATGTGTATTGTACATGTAAGAAATGTGTATTGTACATGTTAGATTGTGTATTGTACATGTTAGAAATGTGTATTGTACAAGTAAGACATGTGTATTGTACATGTTAGATATGTGTATTGTACATGTTAGAAATGTGAAGCATGAATACAAGTTAGAAATGTGAAGTGTACTTGTTTGAAATAGGATCTTACTACAACTCATATATACTAAGTGAGATATGTACATTTTGAATTTACCCGGTAATTGTCATGGAAATATGACAATGATTGCAAATTGAATACCAAACAAGAGCACCCTTAAAAAAATCAGGAATGTCTTCTTTATTGTTATTTACCCCTTCCCTCTGTCAGTTATAAATATTTGTTGATTTGTAGGCGTTTGCGATTTTCTGTGGAATGGGGATCAACAATACTCAGATGTATGAGACAGCAATCAGGGCAATGGCCAAGCGGAGGATCGCCCTCGAGTGTCTCTCCTACCACGCAACTGTACCAGCAGACGAGGCTAACAAACTCAAGGTTGGTATGTCCATAGCCCCACCCCCTCCCAAATGGTATGTCCATAGCCCCATCCCCTCCCAAATGGTATGTCCATAGCCCCACCCCTCCCAAATGGTATGTCCATAGCTCCACCTCCTCCCAAATGGTACGTCCATAGCCCCACCCCACCCCAAACAATATGTCCATAACCCCATCCCCTCCCAAATGGTATGTCCATAGCCCCACCCCAACCCAAACAATATGTCCATAACCCCATCCCCTCCCAAATGGTATGTCCATAGCCCCACCCCCTTCCAAATGCTAGGTCCATTGCCCCACCCCCTCCCAAATGGTATATCCATAGCCCCAACCCCTCCCAAATGGTTGATCCATAACCCCACCCCCTCCCAAATGGTATGTCCATAGCCCCACCCCTCCCAAATGGTATGCCCATAGCCCCACCCCCTCCCAAATGGTATGTCCATAGCTCCACCCCCTTCCAAATGGTAGGTCGATTGCCCCACCCCCTCCAAAATGGTATGTCCATAGCTCCACCCCCTTCCAAATGGTAGGTCGATTGCCCCACCCCCTCCCAAATGGTATGTCCATAGCTCCACCCCCTTCCAAATGGTATGCCCATAGCCCCACCTCCTCCCAAATGGTATGCCCATAGCCCCACCTCCTCCCAAATGGTATATCCTTAATCCTACAAATGTATTTTATGATGACATACTTGGTGCTAACCTGGCAACATGCTAAATAGTAGCATGCTTTATGATGTCATACTTCATGATGTCGCTAACGAAATGGTAATATATGTCATGGTAATACCATCTAGGGTAATTCAAGATAACACTGTAATTGTTCTGATGTTATTTGAACTATTTGTACTTGAAATACAGCCTTGGGGAGGGTGAATTTGTTAAAAATGTTCAGTATCATCAGCAAACATTACTGAGATGCAAATTTTCTTTCACCTCTTGAATTTCTAAAGCAATTTGGCAGCCATTTATATTCATTTTGGAAGACATGTTCCTTTTGTGCTTTGGAAGACATTTTCCCATGGTGCTATTTACAGTTTTCAAAACTGTCTTTTGAAATGTCTTCATTGTAGTGAAATGCATCAGCGTGTCTATTTTTGCTGACAATGTTATTGATATATGGTAAATTCAAAATAAAAAACCCCACTTTATCACGATTTGAATACTTCCCATTCTGTTCTCTGTGCCAATTCCATTTAATGTTATGGTGGCCCACTGGATGTTGAAGGTAATCCAATTTTAGTGAAAACCTGCTCAGCCACATGGCAGGCTTCACTCAGCCAAAGGGGATTGACTCTAGCAAAAAGCCTTCCATTATTCAATTCTTTTTTTTTTTAAATGAAATGGTTCCAAGGAAAAAATAGATTCAATGCGAATTATCAGAATAGCTATTTCTACAAAAATATCTGAACCATTCCAAGTCAGCTTGTGCTACTTGTAATTCTATCAGGTATTGATATGAAATTGGCAGAAATTTTATCTAAAAAATTGAATTTTATTACGTTGAAATTGGGGAAAGTTTCCAGGATTGCCCAGTGATTCATTGTCACTGTGGTTAAGTATACCCTGGTCCCCGTGGTTAAGTATACCCTGGTCACTGTGGTTAAGTATACCCTGGTGGCTGTGGTTAAGTATACACTGGTCACTGTGGTTATGTATACCCTGGTCACTGAGGTTAAGTATACCCTGGTCCCCGTGGTTAAGTATACCCTGGTCCCCGTGGTTACGTATACCCTGGTCACTGTGGTTAAGTATACCCTCGTCACTGTGGTTAAGTATACCCTGGTCACTGTGGGTAAGTATACCCTGGTGGCTGTGGTTAAGTATACCCTGGTCACTGTGGTTAAGGATACCCTGGTCACTGTGGTTAAGTATACCCTCGTCACTGTGGTTAAGTATACCCTGGTCACTGTGGGTAAGTATACCCTGGTGGCTGTGGTTAAGTATACCCTGGTCACTGTGGTTATGTATACCCTGGTCACTGAGGTTAAGTATACCCTGGTCACTGTGGTTAAGTAAACCCTGGTCCCCGTGGTTAAGTATACCCTGGTCACTGTGGTTATGTATACCCTGGTCACTGAGGTTAAGTATACCCTGGTCACTGTGGTTAAGTATACCCTGGTCCCTGTGGTTAAGTATACCCTGGTGGCTGTGGTTAAGTATACCCTGGTCATTGTGGTTAAGTAAACCCTGGTCCCCGTGGTTAAGTATACCCTGGTCACTGTGGTTAAGTATACCCTGGTCACTGTGGTTAAGTATACCCTGGTCCCTGTGGTTAAGTATACCCTGGTCACTGTGGTTAAGTATACCCTGGTCACTGTGGTTAAGTATACCCTGGTCCCCGTGGTTAAGTATACCCTGGTCACTGTGGTTAAGTAAACCCTGGTCATTGTGGTTAAGTAAACCCTGGTCCCCGTGGTTAAGTATACCCTGGTCCCTGTGGTTAAGTATACCCTGGTCCCCGTGGTTAAGTATACCCTGGTCACTGTGGTTAAGTAAACCCTGGTCACTGTGGTTAAGTATACCTTGGTGGCTGTGGTTAAGTATACCCTGGTCACTGTGGTTAAGTATACCCTGTTCACTGTGTTAAGTATACCCTGCTACAGCTGGGGATAGGAATGTTCACAGATGTCGGATATTTTTCAGTCAGAGCCTTTTGGCCTTACGCTTTTGTTAGAGTTTTCTTATTCAATGAGACATCTTGAAGTTTTAACAGTTGAAACAGACATAGTTGTTGAGATAATTGCCCCAATCTACTGAGGTATTTCACTTTTTTGGTAATCAATACTGGCACAGCAGGGATCATTGGCACAGGATGGAAAGGAATTTTCAGCACTGTGATGCTGCTACAAAGGTTGTCCTGGAACTCTGATAAAGCCCCATTTCCTTAATGTTGGTGGCGTGTGTAGCAGATTTGTCTTTCTATCTTCTCAGCTTCTTGTCTATGTTATGTACGATTGCCACGACCAGTAGTAGGGGTGAGATATGGAGTACTGTAGTAATTACAGATCCCCCCCTGGATCTCCTCCATCTTGTCTGCACAGGGAACATATCTGTCTCACTTCTCTGACAATTGGATTGTAGTGATCAGGTCAGACCCCACTAGGCATCATACATTCATCAGTTACAATGATGATATGCTACTGTAGAAGTAAGTTTACACATTTGTAATAATTTGATATGTACAAATAAATGAGAAGATGCGTGTCACTGACAGTTCCTTTGACAGAACAGGTCTGTAGACTACGATTGATTTGTCTCCAGATGAACCGTAAGCTGTGTTTATTGTCAGAGGATTACACACAGCCTTAACACAGGAACATTCATTTTGACTTTAGGGACCCCGGCTTCAACTTTTTGTCTGATATGTATGTAGCCTGTCATCTTTGTCTAGATTCCATGACAGACCAGTATCGGTGCTGTTAGATCATGACCGGCTAGACCAGCTATTTTATTTAGACCCAGTACTTGTAACTGTGAGACTAGGCCTAGTCAGCCTATCAGACCCAGCAGTAATACTGTTAGACTCTACCAGACCAGATCGGAGAATCAGACCCACAAAAAGTAACTGTTAGACCATACCAGGCCAGAACCTCCTGCCAGGTCAGCCTATACTGTGAGGTCAGACCTACAGTGGTACTGTGAAGTCAGACCTACATTGGTACTGTGAAGTCAGACCTACAGTGGTAATGTGAAGTCAGACCTACAGTGGTACTGTGAAGTCAGACCTACAGTGGTACTGTGAAGTCAGACCTACATTGGTACTGTGAAGTCAGACCTACATTGGTACTGTGAAGTCAGACCTACATTGGTACTGTGACACCAGTGGTACGACACTTGAGTAGATCAGACAGTTAGACATGTCTTTCACAGGTATCCTAGGCCTTGGTTATNGTCAGACCTACATTGGTACTGTGAAGTCAGACCTACATTGGTACTGTGAAGTCAGACCTACATTGGTACTGTGAAGTCAGACCAACAGTGGTACTGTGACACCACTTGAGTAGATCAGACAGTTAGACATGTCTTTCACAGGTATCCTAGGCCTTGGTTATTTGTGGTCAGAAATCATTAATCTAGTACCAATATCACTGACAATCACACAAAAAGGCAATTGATTAGGACAGGCAAGTGTAATATGGTGACGAGAGTTCCTGCTCACAACGCCATTAGTTTCAGCTGTGATTTGAATTGGCTGAAAGCCGATTACTTGCCTTAGATGTCCTATACTCTGGCCTGACCAAGCTTGCATATCCTGCTGATGGATTCAATAAAACCCTTGTTCTTTAGTAAGGATTAACACCCTGCTTCTTACCTGGGGTTCCTTTGTAGGCAGATACAAATAAAACTTGACTTTGATGCAGTGCCAGACTCACTCAGGCATGGGTTTATGTAAATGTGGTATGTATAACGAGGACTTATCAAAGCTTCATTTACGGTCACATGCCTACCATTGTTATACCTTGCTTTCTCTGAGAAAAAATGAAAATCTCATATGTTGAATATTGATTTCATAATCTGTTTGTGTGAAATGTTATTCATTATTGAAGATTTGTTACATTTTTGTACAATTCAATCTGACATGTAGAAAATGTGTTTGTGTGAAATGTTATTCATTATTGAAGATTGGTTACATTTTTGTACAATTCAATCTGACAGTGTACGTGTTTCCTTACCCTCCTTCTCACCTGCTGTTATTTTTTTTTTTATCTATATTACAACAATAACGAAACAAGTTCTATCAACTTAAATACATCACTCTGGTTGGCCTGGATGGTAGTGCAAATGGGGTCTTGATGAAAGAGGAAACCAGAATACCTGGAGAAAACCGTCGTGGTCGGGCAGATGACCTCATACCTTTTCATTTGCAATTGGGGAATCAGACCCCGACAACTTCATGGAAGGGGAGTGCGCTATCCACTGCACCCCGACCGACCCATCTGTTCGGCTCGTTACAACACTTGGGGCCAGTGTTTTTCTTTTTTCTCACTTGACTGCTGTTTCTTTTCAGCAGTGTGTCCTTAGTCATCCATCTTCATATGACCTTATATTAGCTGTTACAACAGTTACAAAACATATTTTTTCCATTTCTTACCTTTCCTGTTATTCCTTACCCTTTCTGTCATTCCTTACCTTTCCTGTCATTCCTTACCCTTTCCGTCATTCCTTACCCTTTCTGTCATTCCTTACCCTTTCTGTCATTCCTTACCCTTTCTGTCATTCCTTACCCTTTATGTCATTCCTTACCCTTTCTGTCATTCCTTACCCTTTCCTGTCATTCCTTACCCTTTCCTGTCATTCCTTACCCTTTATAACATTCCTTACCCTTTCTGTCATTCCTTACCCTTTCTGTCATTCCTTACCCTTTCTGTAATTCCTTACCTTTTCTGTCACCTTTCTGTCATCCTTACCCTTTCTGTCATTCCTTACCCTTTCTGTCATCCTTACCCTTTCTGTCATCCTTACCCTTTCTTTAATCCTTACCCTTTCTGTCATTCCTTACCCTTTCTGTCATTCCTTACCCTTTCTGTCATCCTTACCCTTTCTGTCATTCCTTACCCTTTCTGTCATTCCTTACCATTTCTGTCACCTTTCTGTCATCCTTACCCTTTCTGTCATCCTTACCCTTTCTTTAATCCTTACCCTTTCTGTCATTCCTTTCCCTTTTTGTCATTCCTTACCCTTTCTGTCATCCCTTACCCTTTCTGTCATTCCTTCCCCTTTCTGTCATCCCTTACCCTTTCTGTCATTCCTTCCCCTTTCTGTCATTCCTTACCATTTCTGTCACCTTTCTGTCATCCTTGCCCTTTCTGTCATCCCTTACCCTTTCTGTCATCCTTACCCTTTCTTTAATCCTTAACCTTTCTGTCATTCCTTACCCTTTCTGTCATTCCTTACCCCTTCTGTCATCCTTACCCTTTCTGTAATCCTTACCCTTTCTGTCATTCCTTACCCTTTTTGTCATTCCTTACCCTTTCTGTCATCCCTTACCCTTTCTGTCATTCCTTACCCTTTCTGTCACCTTTTTGTCATTCCTTACCCTTTCTGTCATCCGTACCCTTTATGTCATTCCTTACCCTTTCTGTCATCCTTACTCTTTCTGTCATTCCTTACCCTTTCTGTCACCTTTTTGTCATCCCTTCCCCTTTTTGTCATTCCTTGCCCTTTCTGTCATCCTTACCCTTTCTGTCATTCCTTTTTCTGTCATTCCTTACCCTTTCTGTCATCCTTCCCCTTTCTGTCATCCTTACCCTTTCTGTCATCCCTTTCCCTTTCTGTCATTCCTTACCCTTTCTGTCATCCTTCCCCTTTATGTCATTCCTTACCCTTTCTGTCATCCTTACTCTTTCTGTCATTCCTTACCCTTTCTGTCACCTTTTTGTCATCCCTTCCCCTTTTTGTCATTCCTTCCCCTTTCTGTCTTCCTTACCCTTTCTGTCATCCTTACCCTTTTTGTCATTCCTTACCCTTTTTCTGTCATTCCTTACCCTTTCTGTCATCCTTTCCCTTTCTGTCATCCCTTACCCTTTCTGTCATCCCTTACCCTTTCTGTCATCCTTACCCTTTCTGTCATCCCTTAACCTTTCTGTCATCCTTACCCTTTCTGTCATTCCTTACTCTTTCTGTCACCTTTTTGTCATTCCTTACCCTTTCTGTCATCCCTTCCCCTTTCTGTCATTCCTTACCCTTTCTGTCATTCCTTTCCCTTTTTGTCATTCCTTACCCTTTCTGTCATCACTTACCCTTTCTGTCATTCCTTACCCTTTCTGTGATCCTTACCCTTTATGTCATTCCTTACCCTTTATGTCATTCCTTACCCTTTCTGTCACCTTTTTGTCGTCCCTTACCCTTTTTGTCATTCCTTACCCTTTCTGTCATCCTTACTCTTTCTGTCATTCCTTACCCTTTCTGTCACCTTTTTGTCATTCCTTACCCTTTCTGTCATCCTTCCCCTTTATGTCATTCCTTACCCTTTCTGTCATCCTTACTCTTTCTGTCATTCCTTACCCTTTCTGTCACCCTTACCCTTTATGTCATTCCTTACCCTTTCTGTCATCCTTACTCTTTCTGTCATTCCTTACCCTTTCTGTCACCTTTCTGTCATCCTTACCCTTTCTGTCATTCCTTCCCCTTTTTGTCATTCCTTCCCCTTTCTGGCATCCCTTGCCCTTTCTGTCATTCCTTACCCTTTCTGTCATCCTTACTCTTTCTGTCATTCCTTACCCTTTCTGTCACCTTTCTGTCATCCTTACCCTTTCTGTCATTCCTTACTCTTTCTGTCACCTTTTTGTCATTCCTTACCCTTTCTGTCATCCTTACTCTTTCTGTCATTCCTTACCCTTTCTGTCACCTTTCTGTCATCCTTACCCTTTCTGTCATTCCTTACCCTTTCTGTCATTCTTTACCCTTTCTGTCATCACTTACCTCATCTCCCTTTATAACTACACTATAAGTTGTGTATCTCCTGTAGACCATGCCGTTGATGACATATCACACTGGTACAATGATGAATTTTATTTCTATTGTGGTCTGCACTGTTGGTGACATAAATAGACTTGTTTATTGATGAATTGTATATTTCGCTCCCAGACACTGACCATCCCCCTGGCTAATGACTTCAACTTACTCGACTACACATTCAGTGACTTTGGGCTGGATGATGATGACACTCTGAGGGCCAGCATCAGAATGTTCCTTGACTTAAACCTTGTGGAGCGTTTCCGAATCAATTATGAGGTCAGTATGACACCACAAAACATCACAGCACTAGGTTAGCCAGTGGTTTTATCAAGTGATATAGTTAATTATACATTGTACCTAGCTACCAATTTTACACCTAGGTAGATTATAACATGATACCATTCACCTCTTCAGTCACATTTGAACCCTCCCAAATCAAATACTGGGCAAGTCCAGTTTAAAAATGTAGGGGTGAATGAGTTAACAGTATCAAGTAAATTTAAAAATATGAAGCTTATTTTGAATTTTAAAAAGAAAAGGAATTTTAATGGATTTTTTTTCACAATTTGGCAATTAACTTAAAAGAGTAAAATAATCATGATAAACTACAGCCACAGGTTGTGAAACTTCTTTCTATCAAAATTTGTATGACTTTGTTAAGTTATAGACATACCTGGTAAATGTATACACAAATCTATTTGACAATATTTCAAGTATTTTGGTATTCTTGGTGAAATTTTCAATTATAATCAATTTTGAGTGTTCTTAAGGCTAACCTCTGTAATTATAGTACCGCATCAGCGATGAATGTCACTAAAAGGTGCACCAGTCTTCTACCTGCCATGTCCCATGATCCATGATTATTACAAATCAAAGTTAATAACACTTTTACCATATAGTGATACTGTGTACAGTCTTGGCATTATAGACAGTTGTGGTAGAGACAGGATCCTTATACTTTATTCAGTGTCATTTTCAAGATTTTGACTTATCAGTGGTGACAGAACATTAGTTGAAAATAGATGACCTATCATCAGTTAAGATCTGTTAGCCGCAACAATGCCGTTAATCGCCTGTTTATTTGCTTTGAACACTGGTTGGTTGTCCTGTTACCTAGTAACTTGAGTTAGTTAATTTTCAAATTGTATTAGGATATAAAGTTTACTGAGTGTCATTTAATAATCTAAAAATCAATTGTATGTTTATCCAGTACTTCTGGAGTTGGGGAATAGTGGTTATGGGAGAAATGTAATTTTATAGCAGAATTAATGTCTAGAATTGGTATGTAGTGCAAAATAACTGATAAAACCCACAGGAAATACTTCTCATACACATTCGGAGTACCACACAGGCATAACTAACGATTGATAATAAAACAGAATAATTGATTATTTGGATCAGTTGGGTATTTCTAGTCATTAACTCTAAATATCTGATCATCAGCCCATCATTACAGGACAATGAACATTTCTAATCACATAACAACACCAGGGGTATATAAAGACAATGTCAAAACTGCATTTTCACACAAAAATAATGGTGTATACATTTTATGTAGCTGGTATATGTATTTAGTTGACAAACTGCTATAAATAGTTTTGGTTGTCTGCAAACAAAGTGCTTTCAGGTGTTTGTATGTATACAAACTTTGCTTCCAGTAGATACTAACACCGAGCTTTTATTGTAAATATTTATAGTATGCAAATATTGGTTCAGTGACCTGGACAAACTGTTTAGTTTCCCAGAGAAATGTGTCATATTCCTTAAACTTTCTACACAGCTATTGATTTTTCCCTCATTATTCTTAGTTAATTCCACTTGGTAACTATTTCCCCGTAATGACCAGGCTTTGGGCCAATTTAGTGTACTGTAAGGTCACAGTATGTATGAGAGCCGTATTCTGTTGCGTTCAACGGTTGAACTTTTTTTGCCATCAGTTGATACGTTTGTATTACTCCGTCATTTCTATTAAAAATAAATTTATCGCGCTGAACTTAGCACACCTTGTTAGAGTGATTGGCTGGTTCAGAAACTGCCATATGGCCCTCAGAAGTTGGTAATGATTGTTATGTATTACAATATCTGTCCCAGCATGCTGTTTACCCTTACTTTGAATAGAAAGAAGCTCTAAGGCCAAAAGGAAATCGGGGTGAAAATCATTTATAGCACTGAGCGTATACATTGTGTATAGGAAAACATCACTGAGAGATTGTTTTCTCAAAGTCAATGTTCAAATTAATTAAGATGTGAATGCTAGAGAGGATATTTATTAGGTGAAACATGTAAATAAAAAAATATATGACACCAAATCATTTTGAAATAGTACAAAGAGTTAGAAGTTTATAGAGAATTACCAAGGGCCACCATGTTTTCAGTAATCTGGATAATTTAGACAAATCTCATAAATACTGCACAAATTCCCACAGTAGATTCTGATGTAACTGGTATGAACATAAGCTGATTCGTTTTATTTGTGTTGCCTTGTCAGTGTTGCAGTTTTTATATTGATGGTTGATGGTATATACATATTGTAGATTTTATGTCGATGGTTGATGGTATGTACATATTGTAGGTTTTATGTCGATGACTGATGGTATGTACATATTGTCGGTTTTATGTCGATGGCTGATGGTATATACATGTTGTAGGTTTTATGTCGATGACTGATGGTATATACATATTGTAGGATTTTTGTCGATGGCTGATGGTATGTGCATATTGTAGGTTTTATGTCGATGACTGATTGTATGTACATATTGTAGGTTTTATGTTGATGGCTGATGGGATATACATATTGTAGGTTTTATGTTGATGGCTGATGGGATATACATATTGTAGGTTTTATGTCGATGGTTGATGGTATGTACATATTGTAGGTTTTATGTCGATGACTGATGGTTTTTACATATTGTAGGTTTTATGTCGATGGCTGATGGTATATACATATTGTAGGTTTTCTGTCGATGACTTATGGTATATACATATTTTTTGTAGGTTTTATGTCGATGACTGATGGGATATACATATTGCAGGTTTTATGTCGATGGCTGATGGTATGTGCATATTGTAGGTTTTATGTAGATGACTGATGGTATATACATATTGTAGGTTTTCTGTCGATGGCTGATGGTATGTGCATATTGTAGGTTTTATGTCGAGGGCTGATGGTATATACATATTGTAGGTTATATGTCGATGGCTGATGGTATTTACATGTTGTAGGTTTTATGTCAATGGCTGATGGTATATACATGCTGTAGGTTTTATGTCGATGACTGATGGTATGTACATATTGTAGGTTTTCTGTCGATGACTGATGGTATATACATATTTTTGTAGGTTTTATGTCGATGGCTGATGAGCGTGAAGAAAAATTACAGAAATGTTACATATCACAATTGGAGGCATGCATTCAACGTGGCACAAACAATGTTTTGTATGCTCAAGGTAGGTAGAGTTATGTCCCTTGTTCTACTTTTCAAATTTGTTTGGCTTAAAGCTAACAGAGCAAGATAATCACTGTAGCGGAATGCAGATATGATTTAATATCAGTAATTAAGATCTCCCTTTACAGACAGAAAGCACATCTTAAGACATTTTCTTAAGATTTTAGTAGTGAGTAAATTATCTGTAAAGATCATTTTGCTGTTGGCTTTACAGTGTATAGAATCAGCACAATAAATTGCAAATTTATGCATCAGCAACAAAGAGGATCTCAAACAAGTTTGCAATTCATGACTTATTCATATGAAAAAACTTCAATTCAGTCAAATTTGTTATATTCTATTTGCTGTTTCCTTTATAGAAGGGACAGATGGACAATGTGTTCACTGACAGGGAGAGGCTGGCACTGATGGTGGGCTGTCTCTGCCATGATCTCGACCATCGTGGAACCAACAATCAATTTCAGAAAGAGTGAGTTTCCCATTATACCTTAGGACCTGCTTCTTTCCTGTAGTGGAAAAGTCTTTTATTTGTTAGTTAATTGACAAGAAAACTTACTCAACAGAATTATTTATTCTTCCCTCATTGCGATGAAGATATATTCTGCCCTCCCAAGCTTGTAAACGTTTTGATGAATATCTTTAATGAATATCAATGATGCTTCCTGAAAACTTAATGAGGATCACTCATCTTGTTCAGCCCTAGTTGAACACTTACTGTGAGATCATGAAGCAAGGGTCCAACGGGTTGACATATAATACTGTAAATATAGAAAATTATTTATGAGGTAATTTAATGCTTATTACAGATCTCCCTGTACACTAAGGATATTTCAGAACTCCTAAATTAAAACAATGTGAAAAAGTTCTTCAGTCACGTCAGCTGTAAAATCATAGTACTGTAAGCTCTGTACCCATAGTACTGTCAGATATAAACCCATAGTACTGTAAGCCATGTACCCATAGTACTGTAAGCCATGTACCCATAGAAATGTAGGATGAAATATCTGTACCCATACTAGTACTACTGTATGATCTGTACCCATAGTACTGTAAGCCATGCACCCATAGTACTGTAAGCCATGTACCCATAGAAATGTAGGATGAAAGATCTGTTCCCATACTAGTACTACTGTATGATCTGTACCCATAGTACTGGAAGATGTAAACCCATAGTATTGTAAGCTCTGTCACCATAGTACTGTAGGATGAAGTCCCATAGTACTGTAGGATGAAAACCCATAGTACTGTAGGATGAAAACCCATAGTTGTAAGATGTAAACCCATATAATTGTCAGATCTGTACCCATACTGCTGTAGGATGAAAACCCATAGTTGTAAGGTGTAAACCCATAGTACTGTAAGATCTGTACCCATACTAGTACTACTGTAAGATCTGTACCCATAGTACTGGAAGATGTAAACCCATAGTACTGTAAGCCATGTACCCATAGTACTGTAGGATGTCAACCCATAGTACTGTAAGCCATGTACCCATAGTACTGTAGGATGCCAACCCATAGTACTGTAACAGTATGGGTTTACATCTTACAGTACTATGGGTTCATATCTTACAGTACTATGGGTTTACATCTTACAGTACTATGAGTGTATATCTTACTGTTACAGTACTATGGGTTCATATCTTACAGTACTATGGGTTCATATCTTACAGTACTATGGGTTTATATCTTACATTATTATACCTCTACTTAGTTTTCCCTATATAAAAACAATACGATAAAATCTGCTATTTCTCTTAAATCACTAAAATATCTCCATCTGAGAGCTACTCCCTCCCCAAATTAGGTCTACTCCCTGCAAAAAAGGACTACTCCCTGCCAGAAAGAGGACTACTCCCTCATGAATATTTGTAGGTGGAGCTTATAAGATTTCAACCAACGAAAACATTGGTAGGAGGAGCTCATAAGATTACAACGAATGAAAACATTAGTAGGCGGTGCCTTCTCCGTGACGCTCGTGACGTCACATTTTCAGAACCAAATGACAACAGTGAAAATGGCCACCGATGAAGGCGGTTTTGTTGTTGTAAAGAGGAGTTACAGCAGATTTTGGACGCTACAGTAGCTTAAATACAAAAGCTGTTATAAAGACTGCAGTGAATTCACTTCAAACTTATTTAACAGAACGGAATGCCGGGAGCGTCGACGAGTAGGGTCATGCAAGCTCTTTTAAAACAAAGTGGATAGGACTAGATCTAGATATGGTAGGAAAACAATGGTGACTATGAGATTCAGTCTATAAAAACACTTCTTGAATGCTAGAAATGAAGTTATCATCAACGACGATGCATACAGTACTTCCAATTGTATTTTTTTCTCTTTCAGTCTTTGAAATTATAAAAGGAAAGGAATAAATAAATTCATTTGTTAAATTGCCTTTACTGGGTGAATAATTTGTTTCAGTATAATAAAACAGTTATAGAATGGGTATGAGGGAAATAGCCCATTTATGGTCCCGCGATGTGCTATTTCCCTCATGCCCATTCTATAACTGTATAGTACTATGGGTACAGAGCAGTACTGTAAACTGTAAAACCATATTCCTGTACACTAAAACCTCTAGGCTATATCATGAAGTTTAAACACCTAACAAAACATTTTACAATATCTATCAACAGTAATCACCTTTCAATGAAAAGTGTGTCATTTTGGTCGAAGTGATAGTTTCCCTGTTTTCATGTGAAGATGAATCTTTAAACTTAACATGACAGTAATAGCATTTCTAGTCAAAAAGTATTGGACACCCCACAAATTTGAAACTGCAAAAGCAAAAATCTCAATGCACGAAATTTAAAGAATAAAAACATATTGCTTGCTTCTCACAGACACTGCTTCTCAAAACAAAGAACTGTGTTTCCATCTTGCTACAGCAATAACTATATCATTATACCAAAAAAGACTAATAACAACGGTAAACATAATCAGGCCTAGTACTCACCGTTTTTTGTCATCTTCTTTAAAAACTTAGTAAATGATTTTGCTAGAGAGGCCCTGAATCAGGAAAATATGTCCTTTTGAAACCTGAGCATGAGAGGGAAACACAACAATTTATTTCCTCGTCATGAGATATCTTCACTCAAGTCAGATATGTTGTTATCATATACAGTTTAATGATTATGTTGTAGGTCCATGTCCCCCCTAGCAGACCTGTACTCTACCTCGACACTGGAACACCACCATTTTGACCAGTGTATTATGATACTCAGTACCAAGGTGAGTATTTCATCACTGACACTGTAGGAGACATCAGTGTTTGTGAATGGTAAAACATAGGTTTAACACACAGTGTAGCCAAGGACTAAACAAAACAAATTCCCAGAAAAGATAAGTTTAGACTTTAGAGCAGTTCTTATTAAAAACCGACACAAAATCTCAATTTGAAGTGAGCTATCATAAGGATCCCTGTACCACTGCCAATAAGTGTAACTATTAAGGATCCCTGTACCACTGCCAATAAGTGTAACTATTAAGGATCCCTGTACACTGCCAGTAAGTGTAACTATTAAGGATCCCTGTACCACTGCCAATAAGTGTAACTATTAACTGGACACTTTATATCCGGTATGGAAATAGCTATGATAAATCAGTTCTGAAAAGAAAAATCATACCTTGAAAAAGTTAATGAAAAAATGATCATGATGGAAAATTATTTCTTTTTAAATCAGTTCCCTTTGAAAATTATGAATGTGAGGTCATTTTGAAGTGTAGATGGTAATACAGTGATTTGTGCAAAGTTTGCTGAGGTTACTAGAGGTAACAATATTGATGCTTGCCATCTGGTTTACTGTGTCTCTTTGTCAAAAGTGTGCTTTCCTTTCAGGGAAATGATATTTTATCCAACTTGAAACAAAACGAATATGAAGACGTGATCAACTTACTAGAAGGAGCAATACTATCGACAGACCTCGCCCTCTACTTTAAGTGAGTGTGATATAAGACAATACTGATAAAAGCTGGCTGATGTTTTACTCCTCCAACAGTTTCCCGAGAATCATTAATCAACAAAACTCTCGATGAATATTTTGGAAACTGAAAATAACGCAGAGTCTTCAAGTTACATTTACTCATGAAATTTCCCACAATGTTTCATTTAATATTTTCTGTTCTTTATATCTGCCAGGTTTAGAGGAACCTTTTTCGACCTTGTAGGCAGTGGGAAGGCGAATTGGAGTACTCGCGAGGACAGGGATCTTCTCAGGTAATACATTAGTTCTCAAATGTTATTGTGATGTCACAATGACAACAGTCACCTGCACCAGTTCTCCAACGTATTGGGATGTCTCAAAGACAACAGTACAATTCTTAATCAAGTGATGTCACAATGACAACAGCTAGGGAGACTGGCACAGGCAGTCAAAAACCACCTTATTAAATTTAATTATTTTTTAAGGCATGACTATGCTTTCGATATATCATTACTGAAAAGAAAACATATCTTGCAGGCCTTTATGAAACAAGTCAAAGAGACTGTATGTACAAAAAAATAACATCATTGTGTTGAGTGTAAAAATACAATATGGTAAGACCAAACCAAGGAGATATCTAAATGTCACTACAACTACCTGACCTACATGTCAAGGGAAGTGTCCTGGCCAAATCAAGCTACAGCTATATCCCACGCAAGATGTAAGGGAGGTTACTGTGTGTATGAAAATCTACAGTGGAATTCTCTAGTGTTGTGTCAGCTAGCAGTGGGACAGGGACCCTTAATACAGGAAATGGGAGAGGAAGAGACATTTGTTATTGAGGTCGGGTGGCAATGGAAATTATACATTGCAAGGTGGAATTTCTTAATCCTTCGACCTTATACATGATAGTATATTGTATTGGTTATAAGCAATCATTGTAGTTGAAAAGTTTCTGCCGTACACACTGGTCACTCACTAATGACCTTGATTGACCTTTGTTACAGGTCAATGATGATGACTGCATCTGATGTATCTGCCATCACCAAACCCTGGGAGGTCCAGCTGGCTGTAAGTGACCACGCAATTTTAGGAACAAATTTCATGTGGACGTTTTTTTTAGCTTAATTAAACATTATTTCAGGATTTTGACCACATGTTTGAAGTAGCAATGCAGTTGTTACTTGTGAGCAGGCACCCATATAGTCACATCCTGTAGCATTGTTTTGTAAAAATTCCATGGTCGTGCCCTGTCTCACAGGGGTGTCTTGTATCAAACATTCAAGTGTAACAGTGCTCAAAGTTGGTTACCATAGAAACAGAATTCCTGTAATTCCAGAATTTCCCTTTGAAAATGATGCTAACTATGATGCTATACCGAAGGTTAAACCACATTAAGAAACAGAATAATTTAGTCTCTTACAATATTTTGGTTTTCTTTCAGGTTGCTGATCTCATAGCAAATGAATTCTTTGAACAAGGGGATATGGAGAAAGCTCAGTTTAAGATCAAACCAATGGTGAGGTGTTTGTGAATTTGTAGTGCAAAACTTTAACAACATCTTTGTTATCAATGCAGCCAACAATTAATTATAAGCAAGCTAAAAAGCATCCAGATGTCCGTATTAAATTGATTTTAAGCAGCTGTCTTTGATTTTGACAGTTTTTATTGTTATTTCTCAAGAAATATACTTCTCATATCCTTCTCAAATTTCATAAGTAGGGAATTTGAAGAATAAGATGGCTGTGAGTCAGCCATCTTAGATTGTGTTGGTTTAAGTTCGCATCATTGGATTTTGACTGTTTAGTACTGTTCTGATTTCTTAAGAAATCATGGAAGGATATTCTATTTTGAGACTGATTGGAAGGACAGGATGGTATCTTGGATTTTGACATTTAAATATTGTTATTGCTATTTCTCAGGAAGTACTTGATATATCTTTCTTAGATTTCAAATGAAGCTTTTCATTGGTACTTGGTTATCCATGTTTTATCATACCCCCGCTTATTGAGGGGGTCGTAAATCCTTTTTCAATGAGTTTGCTGTAGTAAAAAACATGTATGCCATATATTTCATGACTCCCTAAACACATACATATGTATACGTATAGTTCATATTATTCTGGTGGTCATCAGTCAAGGTTAAAGGTCAAAGTCATGGTCCAAGATAACACTTTACCACTTTTAAAGGAAAAAGTTTGTGTACACAAATGAGTCGACTGGTTACGATTATGTCTTGTTGTGGGTAAATCTATGTGAGCCTCCGGTTACCTTGTGTTTTTAAAATTTGAGAGTGATGTCTTGGATTTTTGCAGTAGAGGATAATTACAGGTAAATGGGATATTGGGATAGATATATGCTGTGTACTTTTGTAATGGTTTGATGAGAGATTTACTTGACTATGCTGTGTACTTTGGTTTGAGATGTTGACTTTGGCTGTTCCAGGATATGATGGACAGAGACAAGAAGGACCACCTACCAGACATGCAGGTCAACTTCATTGACGTGATCTGTATGCCTATCTACAAGGTTAGTACATCTCATGAAAATTCTCCACCAATAGTGTCTACTTTAATCAAGCTCAGTACAAACATCGTAGGAAACAGATTCAGTAAAATATATGGTCAGCATGTACAGAAACATATTTTCATCACAAAGTTTTGAAAAATTCTTTTGGTTATTGAATTTATTTGTGAGAAAATATTGACAAGATATTGATAAATGCTAATTGTAGGCTATGTCAGATGTGTCGCCTCACATGAGACCGCTGTTAGACGGCTGCAAGAAAAACCGAAGCAACTGGGAGAGTATGTCAACCCAAACGAACAAACACTCAGAGGATGAGAAAGAGAACGAAAAACATGATGAGGAAGAGAAAGTCTCCGAGGAAAAAGACGAGATGGCATCGTCATGACACCAGTGGACCAGTTCCACATGTTCTGTAGTCCCATTCTATTTACCACTATAAAAATGAGGCACCATATTTGTTCACATCAATCTTTCATGTATTTTAACTATCCAAGAAAACCAGACTAAGTATTCTGTGGTGTGCGCTGTTGTCAGAAGAAAATAATGTGGGGTTATTATATGAGCAGTGTACCCCCTAACACTGTTATCAGTCGGCAATTAAGTGTGGCAGTTACATCAAGTGTGTACCCGTGAAACAGTTACCAAAACAAATTTGAGTAAGGGCTGTCACACCAAACATGTACCTCCCGAAAAGGTTGTTTCTGCATTGGAAATGTTTTCAGTTTTCAGTGGACTCCTTGGTGCAGCTGTCACACCAAGCTCCTATCCCCCTTGGCACTGTCACTTCTACATGTTTAAGTAACCAAGCAACCCGCTTGTAATGTAGTTTTTGAGATCTCAGGATTATTTATGAAAATGTTATTTATTTTCGTTTGCTATGTTTTAGCTGTATTATTTATTATAAAGAACACAAACATGTTGTGAGAGGTATATGGAGTGTGTTTTAGGAGTTGTGTGTCGACTTCTCGTCAAATATCCCTGGTACTCGTACAAACTTTTAGCTTTATTGCAATGAAATTCAATTGTTGTGTCCCAGAAGTTGTATCTTCAACTGCAATTCGAAGCATTTTTGTGATGAACGTGATGAATTGTTGATCAAATGTATACAGTGCGAACAGTTATAGGCCTCGATATTAAACTGCATTTATTTCACTTTTATGATTGTAAAGGTCTATATCTTAACCTGATATGTGTAATTTAACAATAGATTATTAAGACTAAGCTTTATTAGAACAAAGATAGTGTATATATAATTCTGAAAACAAAAAAAATGCATTGATATTACTGGAGCAATTCTTAACAACAAACTAATGTATGCGGATGATATATAAGGTATTTCTGTGAGTGATATGAAAATTCTACCTTCAGCATGCCTCAGTTGTGAACTTATATTCCATATCCATAGAGTTTCATTATCCTCAGTACCACATGACTGTTTTTCCCCCACCTTTTATCCAGGATTTTGGAAAAAAACAGCAATGATATTTTAATTTAAACAATTATCATGGTAGATTTTCTAGGTATGACAGATTAGCCGAGAACTTGTTTGGAAAGAGCAGAGCAATGAACTTCCTCCCGAAGATAAAGATAAACGAATGAGGTCTTTGAGCGCTATAAGGTAACTACACACGCATATTTCACAAGAGTTCTGTGTGGGATACATGTGTCACAACTACATATATTCAAAAATCTCTCCGGTATTAGATGAATCATCAGGCTGATTTAGTATAACATTCTGATAGTTACCAACACAGTTATCTCAGTATGTACTAAGCTGTAGACACTATATACATGTATGAAGAAACAGGATTAAAGTCATTGTCTGGTGAATTAATGCCATTTGCTGCTGGATATATGCTGATCCACTTTTTAAAACAAAACAGGTATTCCGATACAGGGACGATTTCAATCAACACTAGTGTCAATGTTTTTGTATAATTGGTTGCCATTACAATTGAAAGTACATATCCTAGAAAATACACAGCCAACTGGACAATTCAGTTTTTTTGTTTGTTTGTATACAGATGGTAAAGATCTGTAATAGATCTGTTAGTACTAATTGGTATTTTTTCCTTAATAGCGTTTTAAAGATGAAATACACATGTTATGAGTAATTCTTCAGTTGATTCTCCTAGGTTAAGTAATGTTATGATAATAGATTTTTATGTATTTCTATATTTTGTCGAGCCATGGTTGTGCACAGCTACATAGTATCATAATACCAGTGTCTGATATTATACATTATAAACAGTCAGCAACTCGCTGATAATCATTAAAACATAAGTTACTCACGGATAACCATAAAATCATTAACATGTCACTGATAACCAATGCTCTCAACACTTCATAACTGTGTCATTACGAGATTTAAAAACAGTATAATTCAGAAACCAGGGGCCCCGTTTGAAGTGCCATTAACTTAAGGGCCTTTCAGTTCTCAAAATTATTTTATAACCAGCTGAAGTTGAGCAATTGGTTTTTGAATTTTATTTCTGCAGGTGATCATTTAAAATCCTGACATAGTTTTCATTATACATTTTAATAGTTCTGAACATATTTGAGATTTTTTATTTTTTATTTCTTGGTAACATCCCATTAAGTTTAGTGCTTTAGACAACCAGGTCATGTTATTTGTAATTAGGCAATTTATTTTTTTAACAACCCTCCATGTTCTTTTTAGTTTTGATTTAAAAAAACAGACCTTGTTATTTGTAATTTTTGGTTTTTATTTTTTCCAACAACTAGGTTGTATTTTTGGTAATTTTTTAAAGAGTTCTTTTTTGAGCAAAATCTGTTTAATCATTTTATATGGATTCCTGTCACATGTGTGATTCTTGTATATAAGTAGCCCAATTCTGTTGTAGAAAGGTTCATTTACCACAACCAGCAAAGTGATTATGTGTGACGTTTTGACAAATAGTACAATTAGTACTCAGTCACCTTCCATTAAATGACCAATGAAGCATATATGTATGCAAAGGTGTAAAATATATACCAGTTGGCACTATACATTTTCTTACAATGTTTCTCATTTCCCCATATCAAAACCAAAACATGATAAATACAAAGTATTTATAATTTACTGGCAATACCTGGGATACACATCTTCATAGATGACACTTATAGGTACAATTATATTTTATGTATGTGGAAATTGTTCAATTATTCACAATTTACTTTATCATCCATGATAAAGTCCAAAGATAAATGTGATTTAGTCTGCACGTCGGTGGAATGTTGAACAGTCCTGACTTCCCTTTCTAACAAAGTATTAAAAAGCATTGTTCCTAATATGTTCATTTTTACCTGCAGGACAGTTTGGTGCACAATAGAACCATTTTCTTCTCATTGATTAACTTCCTGTTCTAGGTGTTGGTATTCTACTTACCTCCGTCAAGTATGACCTGTGTATGAAAATACCGTAAAACAGGATTTCTTTTACACTGATTAAACTGATTTTTACCCCTTAACTCATTCATCCCTGAAATTTCATAATGAACTTTTACAACCTTTGAATTGGAAGAGTTCAAATGTGTCTTCAGGGTTGAGTGAGTTAACAAACAGGCTAATTCAAGAAGGGTGATATGTATATATTATTACCTCTATATTGCGAAGTAGATGTGGGAAAATTCCAAATCGTATGAATTATTTCCAAAGTTCAGAGGATAAAAATTTGACTGAAAAATTTGTTTACAGCTAATTTTACAAACTATGGATACAGTTACAATATCACACCAGTAAGATCCTTGTATTTTAACAACCAAATACATCCTGGTATTAACGGTTTATGTCCAAATATCAGTAACATGCAGTGGGTGGAAACTTAGATATTTCTTTCCAGTTAAATGACATTACTTTGTCAATCTTAATACAAACAGTAGTTACTTTATATCCGTCTTAAAATGGCATTTTGATTTTGTATATGTTCCCATAAACGAACCTTTCATATCAGAATATATGGAATAGAAAGTTGTAGAAAACTGTTCCAATTTCTCATCAGTTGTTAGCATTGACCATTACCTCTGTAGCTTAGGTTGTCGGGTTTTCTTTTTAACAAACTGCCATGTTTTAGCTGTTTTGATTAATTTCATTGCATTTTTCTATATATATATTGATTTCGTAGAGAGTTTTATTTTTAAATTCTCACCTTTTTATGTACATGTATAACTGTTAATAATTTTGCAAGACTTCATCCTACATTGTGAGGTATTTCTCTGTGATAAAATAACTATACATATTTTGCATCTTATTTTGTTATTATCCATACCATGTCTCAAGAATAAAATTGTCTCTACTTTTTGTTGTGCTTTGTTTTATGTTAACAAGGAAATGTGCTGCAAAATGTGTCTCCCTCTCAAAATTAATTTTAAGTTTCCTTTAATTTTAATCCACTTAGATCTGTTAAAAATTAACTTCCAACAGGATTATGACAGTACAGAATGTTAATTGCACAAGGAAGCAGTTTTTCTCTCCGGACCCTCAATATTTTTAGCCCACCATCATCAAATCACCCTGCGTCTGTGGTCCGTCCGTCGTCCGTCCTTAAACAAAATTCTTGATATCGTTATTTCTCGGGAAGTACCAGAGGGATCTTTTTCAAATTTTATATGTAGGTTCCCCTTGGTCCCTTGTTGTGTAGGGAAGCTTTTGAGACTGATCGGATAAACAACATGGCGGACAGGCAGCCATCTTGGATTTTGATAGTGAAGGTTTGTTATGGCTATTTCTCAGAATGTACAGGAGGGATCTTTTTCAAATTTTATATGTAGGTTCCCATTGGTCCCTTGTTGTGCAGTGCAACTTTCGAGATTGATCAGATAAACAACATGGCGGACAGGCAGCCATCTTGGATTTTGACAGTGAAGGTTTGTTATGGCTATATCTCGGGAAGTACCTGAGGGATCTTTTCAAATATTATATGTAGGTTCCCCTTGATCCCTTGTGTGCAGGGCAACTTTTGAGATTGATCAGATAAACAACATGGTCGACAGGCAGCCATCTTGGATTTTGACAGTGAAGGTTTATTATGGCTATTTCCCAGGAAATAATGGAGGGATCTTTTCAAATTGTATATGTAGGTTCCCCTTGGTCCCTTGGTAGAAGGATTATAAAGTTTTTACCTCTATTTCCCCTATTGGGCCCCACCCCTCAGGTCCCAGGGGGGCCACACCCACCTTTTATACAAAATTGGTTCCCCTTTACCCAAGGATGCTCCACACCAAATATGGACCAAATCCTTTCATTCCTACAGAAGAAGGATTTTGAAGAAGAATTTGCTATGTTTCCCCTATTGGCCCCGCCCCTGGGGGGCTAGACCCACTGTTTATACAAAATATGTTCCTCTTCCCCCAAGGATGCTTCAGACCAAATATGGATCAAATCCTTTCATTCCTACAGAAGAAGAATTTACAAGAATTTGCTACTTTTCCCCTATTGGGCCCCACCCCTCAGCCCCCGGGGGGCTAAACCCACCATTTATAAAGCAAATGTTCCCCACCCCCCAAGGATACTTCTGACCAAATTTGGTCAAAATCTGCTCAGTCGTTTATGACTAGTAGCGATTTTTAGGAAAAATTGATGAACGCCAGACGATGGTTGCAGCGCCATGGCATAAGCTCACCAGTCCTGTGGACCAGGTGAGCTAATAAAATCCCTTTATCCCTACGGTAGAAGAAGGATTTAAAAGGTTTTACCTCTATTTCCCCTATTGGGCCCTGCCCCTCAGCCCCCAGGAGGGCCACACCCACCATTTATACAAAATTTAATCTCCTTGGCCAAAGGATGCTCCAGTCTAAACAAGAATTTGTTTTTGTGAACAAAAACGTCTCCCTTTATTAGCCAATAGACAAACTTCGGTATAAAAAATTAACAAAGGGCCATATCTCTTTATTAGCTCACCTGGTCTGAAGGACCAAGGCAAGCTTCTGCCATACCGTGGCGTCCGTCATCTGCCGTCTTCCGTTTTAACGTCAACAATTTCTTTAAACGATTTCTTAATTATTATTCTTAACCACCGATTGGAATTTAACTAAATTGACTGGAAGCATCCCTGGAAGGTGGTGGGGATTCAAAACTGTACAAACGGTTCGGCTGATCCCCCAGGGGCTGAGGGGCAGGGCCAAATAGGGGCAATTTGGCTTTATTGCTACAAACGTCTTCTTCTGTAGAACTATGCACTGGATATCAATCATATTTGATCAAAAGCATTCATGGGAGGCAGGGATTCAAAATTGTACAAATGGTTGGACCCACGCAAGTAGTTTTTTCCCCCTTAAAACCTGTCTTAAATTAAATATCACCTACTCTGTAACAGAAATACTCACGTTATAGCCCAGAGTCCAATTCATCATGTATATGCCAATTTTAGAGCTGATTTTTTTTAAAGTTTTGATACATAATATTGGTAATATTATTACAGGGGTTATTCATTGAACAAAAACATCACGGTACCACCGTACACTGCTACCTGAGTGGGGGGGGGGGGGCATCAAAAAGGGTTATTTGGCTTTTTTGCTTTAAGTATTTTATTCTGTAGAACTATGCACTGGATATCAACCATACTTGACTGGAAGCATCCCTAGGTGGTGGCGATTCAAAATTGTATAAAGGTTGGGCTGACCCCCCAGGGGGCCGAGAGGTTGGGCCAAAAGGGGGCAATTTGGCTATATTGCTATAAACGACTTCTTCTGTAGAACTACGCCATGGATATCGATCATACTTGGTTGGAAGCATTCATGGGAGGCAGGGATTCAAAATTGTACAAATGGTTGGACTGACCCCCGGGCTAAGGGGTGGGACCAAAAAAGGTTTATTACTTGGAAATGGTTAAGATCCCCACCGTATAACCATATATTCAATTGCCGAGCATAAAGAGAAGAAAGCACATTTGCTTCCTGGATGGCCCTAGGGTCTGGCCCCACCTATGGAGACATAGTCCCCGAGTCATAACTTCAGATCAGTTGAGATGCCCACCACAAAACTATGTATACAAAAGCTTGGCATAAAGAGACAATGCAGTCATGGTATTAGAAAAGACCCTGGGGTCTGACCGAACCCCTAGGGACCTAGTTTCTTAGTCACAGCTTGAAAACAGTTGAGATCCCCACCCTATTACCATCTATACAACTGCTTAGTATAAAGAGATGAATGCACATATGCTTCCTTTATGGCCTTGGGGTTTGCCCCACCCTTGGAGACTTAAACCCTGGGTCATAACTTCGAAATGGTTAAGATCCCCACTCCAAAACTACATAATATATACAATTGTTTGGCATAAAAAGACGAATGCAGTCATGATATTAAAATTGACCCCAGGGTCATAACTTTTAAACAGTTGAGATCCCCACCCCAAAACTATAAATACAAATGCTGGGCAAAAAGAGACGAATGCAGTCATGATATTAGAATTGATCCTGGCCACAACCCTCGGGACCTAGTTTCTGAGTCACAGCTTAGAAACAGTTCAGATTCCCCAACCCATAACCATACATAAAATTGCCGGGCATGAAAAATCTAATATAGATATGCTACAAGGATTGGCCTTGGGTCTGGCACATTCCCTTGGATCTCATTTGGAGAATATTTTGCAAAGGTTGCTTAGATATTCATGTGAGTGATACAGGCCCTCTGGGCCTCTTGTATAGAGCACGAGAGCATGAGACCCGAATTTAGAATACAACACTCCGACTTCCAAACATAAATTAAAAATATAGCAAATTTGGTCAACGTAGGTGAAATAACATGAAAGTTATGCCGTTGACAAACTTCGGTATTAAAAATAAACAAGCAAATTCGTGGAATTTATATCCCCCGCTTGCAGGACATATTGTAGGTTAACATGCATCAGAAAAGGATCGCATTGCCATAGTACACCTACAATGAACATACTAATTTGAGTGAAATTGAGCTATTTCTAAATTGGAACTAATCAGAATACTCTTGTGTAATTGCTATGGCAACGAAACGTATTGAATTTGCAGTCCCCTAATACCCCTATATACCAATTTTCATCGAAATCTAACAATATCTAAATCGCGACCAATCATAAGCCTCTCTGTGTAGTTGCTATGGTTACGAAAATTATGCGGTTGCATTCGCAGTTCCCTCATATTCCTATATACCAATTGTCATAAAAATCGCAAAAAATCTAAATTTTGACAAATCAGAAGCCTCCATTAGGTTGCTATGGCAACGAAACATATGCGGTTGAATTTGCAGTCCCCTTATACCAATTTTCATTAAAATTGAACAATATCTGAATTTCCATCAATCAGAAGCCTTCGTGTGGTTGCTATATGGTTGCTATGGCAAAGAAACCTATGCGGTCGAATTGGCAGTCCCCCAATATCCCTATACCATTTTTCATAAAATTAAAAATATATCTGAATTTCAACCAATCGGAAGCCTCCTTGTAGTTGCTGCTATGGCAACGAAACCTATGCAGTTGAATTCGCAGTCCCCTTATACCAATTTTCATTAAAATCCAACAATATCAATATTTAGACCAATCAGAAGCCATTGTGCGGTTGCTATGGTAACGAAACTAATGCGGTTCTATTTGCAGTCGCCTAATATCCCTATATATCAATTTTCATCAAGTTTGAAGAAAATCAGTTAACATTTGTTGTAGTTATGGCACCGAAACAAAACCCAGCAGATAATTATGTTTTTCATTATTTAAGGGGCATACCTACGCCAAATGGGGTCCGCTGAAAGTTGTCACTTGGCCGAGCCCTTAAGACACTTAACCTGTGACCAAGTTTGAAGAAAATCGGTTAACATTTGTTGTAGTAATTGCACGGAAACAAAGCCAGGCAAATAATGACGTTTTTCGTTATCGAAGGGGCCATATCTCCGTCAAATAAAGTCTGCTGAAAGTGGTCATCGTATTTGGAAGAGCCCTTAAGGCATTTAACCCTGTGACTAAGTTTGAAGAAAATCGGTTAACATTTGCTGTAGTTATTGCACAGAAACAAAACCCTACAGATAATTACGTTTTTCTTTATTCAAGGGGCCATAACTCTGCCAAATGGGGTCCGCGTAGGCGAAATAATATGGAACTTATGCTCCGGACAAACTTTAGTATTAGAAATTAAACAAAGGGCCATAATTCTGTATATAGAGAAGCACGAGACCTTATTCCAGTGCATTGCACACCTTCTGTAAATGATGCAGGTATAAGTTTGATAAAGACATTGATTTGGCGAGACAAGAATTTACTGAAAATGTTGCACTTATTTGACCTTGAGGTGAAGGGTCAGTGACCAGATTCCAGTGCACTGCACACCTAAAGTCAACGGTTTAAAAGTTATGGCTGGACCAATTGCGATAAGAAGAACCAGAAGAAGAGAAAGAATAAGAACCAGTACTAATACATACGTCTCCCTTCATTGGAAGCGGAGACATAATTAGAATAAAATCCCTTAATCCCTACAGTAAGAGATGGATTATAAAGGTTTTACCTCTATTGGGCCCTCGCTCCTCTGCTCAAAGGGGGGCCACACCCACCATTTATACAAAATTGAGTGCCCTTGGCCCAAGCATGCTCCAGACCAAATTAAAATAAAATCTCTCAATTCCTACGGTAGACTATTTCCCCTTTTGGGCCCCGCCCCTCTGCACCCACCATTTATACAAAATTGAGTCCCTTTGGCCTAAGGATGTTCTAGACCAAATGTAGTCCAAATCTACTGGGCCGTTCAGGACTAGTAGCGTTTTAAAGGAAATGTTGATGGATGGACGACGGACCGACGCTGCGGTATGGCATAAGCTCACCATGGTCCTTTTATTTGATCCAGTTGATTGAAATGTGTTACAAGATTGTTTAATCACATAATTTAAGTTTGAGCATGAAAACATATGAATATGGGCATGAATCGGAAGCATCTAAGAATTAAAACACAAACTATTTTTATAGTTTTTTTTTTATTTCTTTTTTTTTCAAAACTTGTGCAGGCAGACAATACAAATTTGTAAACATACGCCATCTTATTAAAACATGGAATTTGTTTAAATTTTTTTTGTTTGTATTTTGCCAATATTAAGTCAACATTTTTTTTCTAGGTGGCTGAAACACCTGTAAGCATATGTAGCTGTCCTTCTTTCAAGATGAACATCAGAACACATGTGCCACAGCTGTGTGAAAAAACTGAACAAATTATCTACACCACATACACAATGACTTGCACACATTTAGTCACATTCACAATTGCCCCGGTCACTTGTAACACTAGGACAGGCAGTGCCAGGTCAGGCTGTGATGTTGTTACCGGATGATTACCAACATACCTTGGGAACGAAGCAAAATGCTTTCTTAACATGATGATGGGCTTCAATATACCTCCCTGATCAAATTGCATTGGTGTTGCAAGACAGAATGCGCATTTAAAAACGGGATAATATTGAAAAAAGGACAAATTGTTCTGTTCAATATTGTGTACATTCCTCAAGGCAAATAAAGCAACCGTTGTTGGAATTTGTTGAAATAATAGTAAAAGAAACCTATATTTGTGTGACATTTGGCACTTCTATGGTGATGTGCCCGACCTGGGCTTGTCTGTCCCGAGAGCGTAGACCTCCTTTCATACATATAATACATGGAGTGTACATAACTGTCACAATTAGAGTAGGGCAGTATTGTAGAGAGAACCTCCATCACTTGACTATATTTATACTTGTTCATGGCTTATTAGTGGAGCAGTACTGCGATATTAACTCAACAATAGTACCAGATAGCGTCCACAAACAGTGTTTATACTGTGTCTTCTTTTTTTCTACTATAAATATGCGAGATTTCATCTTGAAAGACTATTGGTACCAAATAGCAAAGTAGCAGACACCAGCCTTATCCCAGTGTTGGGAGACTCACCACTTCTTAATGTCCTTAGCAAAACTTAGACGATACTTCATCACATCGTTACATCACACATGCTGCCATGTAGGTAGCAAGTTGCACCACAATCGCTGAGGAAAATAAATATTCTGATTTCAAGATGTAAACCAATTTGGAATATCACAATTAATGTGAATATTATTCAATATAAAATCTGCATATTTTTCCTGACAGTACCCTCCGACTAGCAGATGACTCCACCTCAAAATCAAGAAAAAAAAGGAAAAGGAGAAAAATATCAAAATGCAAAAATAGCATTTTAAAAATTCTATTGTTGTATCCTGCACTTTCGGGACTAGTAAAACTTGTAATATTCAGAAACCAGGAATGTAGACATATTAAAGTTACAATAAATTAATAGTTATATTTCCTAGTCTCTGTTGCATTATGATATTAATGGAAAACAATTTCTGTAGAAAATTTTTCCACAAGATATGAGAATCAATTTAAACATCCCAAATTCAAGTGACGCTTTGCATAGTACTCTCTTATCTGAGGGAGGGACAAAAATTCAAAAAAAAAAAAACCAGAAATAAATTAAGAAATAAATGTGACCAATATAAAAAAATCACTTTCACAAAACATTTGAAAATGGGAGATCTTTCATATCTGCCTTGCGTCGTTTGATTTCGTCTGACGATGAAAACATCTATGCCTTGATGGAACAACGACATAAGGCATATGTTATATGTTTGACATAAACATGAAGTAGGAAAAATGTAAAAAGTACTTTTTTACAGAAAATATGCAATTCTGTTATTCAAAATCTATGTATACAATGCATTACTATATATATACAGTGACCACTGTTGACCGATTGAGACCCGTTCTGCACAAAGATGCTGCACTGTACATTTATTTACAACAAATACATAATGTCAGAAAATCGGCAACAATGGTGAGACCATCATCATGTAGGAATGATTCTATTTAATTTTTTATTTCACATTAAAGAGATTAAGAGTCCGTATGAAATTAAGGTCATGGGAACCCCAGCCCATTCAACATGGTCAGTGTCAGCTGGTCAATCGATGTTAAAAGTCTTTATACGTCCTCACTCTCTTTTACATGAAATAAATATTAAAAAGCACGTTCATCCTATGCTTCAATCAGCACGTTCAGTTAACATTACTGTACACACAAAATGTTTGATGGCACTAGTACATAAATGGGACAGTTCTTAATACTAATCGTATCCCTTGTGTTAAAGGTTTACCTGCTTTATAACTGATTTCACATGCCAGTCAGAATTGCATACTTTCTAGAAGCACCAACTGGACAGACACTGCATCAGCGTCTTGATCCAGCCATCATGCCACCACCTCCTCCTCCCCCTCCTCCTCTCCCCCCTCCCACGCTGCCTCTATCTGCCCTGGGACCACCCATGCCTCCTCCGCCTCCACGAGACCCTCCTCTGCTGCCCATGCCTCCCCCCATTCCGCGTCCAGGGCCAGCCATGCTGCCACGCATTCCTCCTCGACCACCCTGTCGACCTCCCTCACCACGGGCCTTCTTCTCCTCAACATTCAGACGATGTTCACCATTGTACATAATTGGCTGGTAAAAACAAAAATACAGAGTAAATAAATAATTTTGTTAGAAGAAGACACAATCTGTAATATATTTTGTGTAAACTTCATATATATGGTATGCTATCAGCATTAAAATATTTTCATTTGAAAATTGATGAAAAATTGATGAAATGTTAAATCAAAGTAAACTTCTGTCAATTTAACTACTTATTAGCCTAATTTGAACCTTAACTTGTTAACATTAATGTTAACACAGCTCATTAATAGCAACACGACAATAACTTGGTACACTACCTTGTTATTCAGGATGTGTTTAACAGGATCAGCAGTATCGAATACCACAAAGCCAAAATTCTGGAACAAAAAAATGAAAAGAATCAAATAAAAGCTTGTCCTTTGAATAAGTGAAAGATGACACAAAACAGGGTGATCACAAACACTTAATATGAAAAACTATGATTTATTTTTCTGCAGGGTCATTTTCATCATTTCTAATGAGCTTCAAAAATTATAACAACAATGTCTTTCTTGTTAAGATATATTATTGAAGACTGATTGATTAAAACACTGTGAGAAAGGGTGTTTTTCACAGAGCTGTTCATTTTCCATATAACATATGGGAGAGGAGGTATAGACTATCTTTGATAATGGAAAGTCATCTTAAGATAAATTAAGGGTATTATAAAAACAGAAATATGTTCTTCCAGTTAAATACTGCTAACCCATGAAAACAACAACAGATATTGCAACTGAAACAAGAGGCCCAACTTTAGAAACATTCCATAAAATGAAATACTTTGACATGGTTTAACATTGTAGCCTCTCCAAATAATCACGAGTTAATACTTACTGGCAATTTTCCACCACTACCCTTTGTGTTGATTCTCAATTCCACCACATTACCATATGCTGCAAACAAACAAGGTTAACAATTTGGTTGTCTTTTCCTGACTGCATCATCAACAGATGAAAACGAGCATGATTATAAATTCTATAAGAGGAATATATTGAAAATCATCAGAAATGTTAAATAAAGCACATGTACATCTTATTTCATAAATTATTCTTTTAATCAAATTTACAAGCTTAATGCAAACTGTAAAGAATTGTAAATATTGAGTTTGAACACATCTACTGAAGTGTATTATGAGTAGCCTTGAATGTCCTTGGTGCAAAATGTCAGCTTCAATTGATCACAAGAAATTTAAGCTACAGGGTAATACCCCAGCTACTGTTTCATAAAAGCCTGTTTTAGGTTTAAGGAACATTATTTTGGATATAATTTATATGCAAATTGGAATTCAGAAGAGGGCTGTAAACTTCGCAGTTGGGGGTAACTCCCATAAAACAGCTTGAGCGAGAAAAAAAACCACAGGTGCCAAACTTCAGTCTATGGTGATTTCATTTGTCAAGATTCACAAAATTTTGAAAGAAACTGTAGCAGGAGTTGTACAAAAAAGATAATGTTTACAGGCAGACTAATGGTTGGATAAAAAGACCTGTTTCAGGGTATACTACTGGTATCAATACTCGAATTGCTTGTTAACCTGTAGACAGTTTGCAAAATGAGATTAAACAAATATAGATACCATTGAAGAAATCAATCAATTCTTTTTCTGTGATATTGTGTGGAAGATTTCCAACAAACAACTGATGACTGTCTGGGTGTCGTGAAGCGCCTCCTCCCATGGGTCCCCCTCGTCGGCCACCCTGGCTGTCTGCGTCACCATCTCCTTCACCACGTCCAAAACCACCACGATCTCGATCACGGAAACGTTCACCCCGCTGTTGCCTGCAGATATAGTTCACTACATTTTTAATTTCATATTCACATTAAAATCCTCAAACTTCTACAACCCAAATCTTGCATGAGATAATTTAGATCAGTACTTAAGTTTGTTTTGTTGCTTTTGTCTATGCTTACACCTTTGGAAGAGTTTACTTGCCATGAATTTACAACAAGAGGCCCATGGGTCTCAACAACAGAAACACGAGTAAAAACCTGAAAACTACTATTAAGAAGAAACTAAATTCATAACAGTAAAAACTAAGAGGGACAAGTGACCCTCTACACAAGGCATCAAGTCCATAGAATGAGTTCAAAGAAGTTTGGTGTAAACCTATCGGTAATAACGTCGTTTGAAGGTTACGCACTAGGTGACCCCTTATTCTGCCTCTCGGATATATATTTTGATTTGCATAATCTTTGAATCATTTCATGAAAAAAGTCCTACTTCATCCTTAACCTACAAAGATGTAGTTTGAAAGTTTGCACAAATAACATCTATCAGCATTCCCCTTGAATATAGATTAATAGCTCACCCCTCAGCCCCCTGGGTCATTTTCATAAAAGTTGAACTCGATCAAGTTCCGAGGAGATGTACTCTCTTAGCCTCTGTCACCCCTTTATTTTTGATCCGTTTCATTTGACTTTCACACCTATATCCAGTAAAGTTCAGCATGTTGGCTTTCTCAAGCTGCCATTTTAAACTAACCAGGAGTTATTACTTTCTAATGTATATAAATTTGTAAATAATGACAGAGTTTTTAGACTGCAGTGCACTACGTCTTGTTAAGTGCTTCATGACAAGGATGCCTGTTTCCTGCTAAATTACCAGGATGTGATGCCCACAAATGATTATAGAGATTAAACAGAGCAAAGATTATTAAATTACTATCCTATCAGTCAAAACATTAGGAGGCCCAATGATCTCCCACTGAGTCATGATTGAGTAAGCCTTCCCATTATTCAGTGGACTCTGTGTACTGTCACCCGATAGTGTTTAACTCTTCTTAAATTTACCCCCTTCATCATGTTCACAGTTTTTCCCACAGGCTTTGTTGTCGCACATGAAGTTAGGACCTCATTTGGATGCATTGCTACATTTCTATAATAATTTCCTGGATAGCACCTTTGGTAGAATTGGCAGTGTAAAGGTTCGGAGTTTGACCCCTGCATTTTTTTTTTTATATATCTCACTGTTCAAATATTCAAAAGAACTACATCAAAACTGTGACAATTTTTACCACGTTGGTACCCTTTACTGTAAGCTGAATGATACATATTTGGCTTTTGAAGCAAGACAAATTGGGTGAAAGCATGATGTGCTGCTTACCTTGGCGCCCTCTGTGGCTGAGGGGCACCTGTTGGAGCACTGGAATCTTGTTTGCTCTCAATCTTTGGGAATCCTTGGGCTGAAGTAGCTTTGTATGCAACAGATGGTGCTGGGGGCATGGATGGGGGGACTGTTGATGAACTGGTACTGTTTGCCTTCTTCCCAGCCATGGCAGCCCATGACAAACTCTTTGGTTCTGCAAGGGAATTAAGTCTATTCATACTTGCTCATATGTGAAATATTTTGAAGTTATTACAAGCACTGTAACATGTGGACACACATTTACCACTGAACACATAACATGCGACGATATATTGTTTACCTTCTGTGAACTGTGTTTCAAGATGTGCTGGTTCTTCAGGTTCCTGCGGCTCTGGCTCCACTGGAGTTTGTTCTTCTACCTTTTCCTGAAATATTTCTTCAGGTAGCTCAGCTTCCTCTTCTGGCTTCAGCTCTTCTTCCTCCTCCTCAGACTTCTGCGAGGCCGAATCCACACGCTCTTCCAGATGTGCAGTGCCATTACTAGGAGAAAGACCAGGCAAAATACAGTATTTGTTATTGTACAGCAAAGACGGACATATTTACTTTCTCACGTTAAGAAGATTTCTTGCTATGCATTGATCATACGAAGGAGCTGGAATAAAGAATGACAAAATATTTTCAATATATAACAGTCAAAACAGAAAAAGAAATCTGTAATCAGCATCAAACCATGAAGATAATTATGCAAAACAACACACAAGTTATTTCCAACAGATTTAGAAAAACAATAACTATTTATTGCAGACGTAATTTAATCAACGGTTCTAAGTAATATATTTTCTTATTAATAATATGATTTCTTCTTTTGAAAGGTTAATTTCAACAATGCAACAACTTGGCCATTAGTAAAAACCCAAAGTCTACTCAAAAGTAATGCTTTTTGTTTATATTGATTAGAAAGTCTTTAATATTTCATTCCACACAGGCATCGATTAAAATCTGGACTTAATTGAAACTGTTAAGTGACATACTGGGTATCTATTTGTTATCCTTAAGTTTTCAGTTTTAACTCTTACAATCATATCTCCTGTCATTGGACATGCAACATACATATAATATACACAAAGTATAAATATTGTTATCCCTACTGAATTTGTGACTCCAGCTGGAAATCTGTAGTTGAGGTAGACACCAACCTCAAAGCAGAAGGGGGCTCACTATAGTATGTGGCTATGCCCTGGTCTGGGACCACTTCCTGCACAGAAGAAGGGTTAGAGTCCACATTTTCTACATCAGAATCTACAACAAAATAAACAAAGTTCACATCATTTAAGAGCAAAAATTACTTTTCCACACGTTTACAGCTATCACGAGTGCTCTCGTTAAAAGACAGTTGCCAGCAAAAGTAGCCCGCTATTCTTCAACTTTGAACCTGCTATTTTTTTCAGAATATGTATTGGTGAATGCAACATTTTCAACCAGCAATTCTTTTAAAGTCAACCACCTTTTTCAAAGCTTAGCCAAAACACTGTATCAAAGTATCAATTTTCTTGGAATGCTGTTGTTCAGTTCAGCATATAAGCAGTAAATGATGTTACAACTTTCTGAAATTACTATAAAAGCACTTAATATAACCATACAATCACACTATTGAACATGCATAAACTTGGTTACTAACAGGTCAAAAAGTGTGAAGTCTGCACTTAAAACTAACACCGACCAGTGATCATGATGGTCGAAAGGTAATAAGCTCCTTTAAATAATGAGGAGCTGTTCTATTTAGAGTGCGGTATGTATTACATCAGATTTTCGTACAGAGACCTTTATCATACAGACAACAAATGGGGGTAATATAGTGATGGTGTCATATGCTTCCTCTTTTGAGTATGATTTAACAAGCCTGAACTCTCGTTAGGCAGTAGCCATATTGAACATTTGAATTGGCCAAAAATGTGGCATACAAACCATTCCTTACCTCCTGAGAAATAGTGATAACGAACTTCAACAGTCAAAACCATAAAATGGCTGCCAGCAGCCACAAAAAATCACACCAAGCTTAAAATGCTGCATGTATAAGGTTCCATACTAAACATGCGTAGTAAGTTTATATGAAGATCTATCCAGTAATTCCTGAGAAATAACAGTAACAAACTTCAATTGTCAAAATACAAAAAGGCTGCTTGCAACCATCTTGAAAAACTGTGGCATGCAGAACAACAGTACCGTGGGGCAGAACAACATACGCCCGTCGAATGCCAGCGTTATATAGTTTCTTACATTGAAATAAGATCTACATCATTCTAAGAGTCGCTAGCTGACATGCTATAAAAAATGTAGGAGAAAATCTGTAAGACAAAAAATCAAATACTAAAATAAACAAAGGGCAATAACTTTTGCAAAAATCTTTGAATCAAAATTCTTTTCAAAGGAAACAACAACATATCACGATTATTTAGCCTACTAAGTTTCAAAGAAATCCGTCAAAAAATGTAGGAGGAGATCTCTGAATAAATAAAACAAATACTGAATTGAACAAAGGGCAATAACTTTTGGAACAATTGTTGTATCAAAATTCTTTTAAGAGAGACGCAACTTCATATCATGATTATAATGTATACTAAGTTTCAAAGAGATCGGTCAAAAATGTAGGAAGAGATTGCCAGACCAACTAAAGTTTAAGCCGGCCAGACGACACCATACCGTAATACTCTTATAAAAAGTGAAGTCAAGAAAGTTTCATGAACATCACTCCAGTAATTCCAAAGAAAAGCGGAATTCCAAAGAAAAGCGGAAACAAGTTTCATTAAAGGACTCATAATCAGTTTAATGTACCTTCATCTTGGTTTTCTGTGTCCGTGTCATTGTCATGGAAAACCTCATCCTGGTAGCGAAAGATGTCATTGTGAACATAATACTTCTTTGGAGATTGAGGAGCAAGAACGAAGGTCTGCATGAAACGACGCATTGGTTGTCCGTTGTTGGAAAGCTCTCCAGTCACCTGCACCAAAAAATTGTGGGTATTTTTGTTTTAGGTGAAGTGACAATTAAGTAATTTTACAATATATATACTCCAGACAACTGACAGAAAATGGGGTGTTATTTTTTGTAAAAACATCATCCTATGTAAAAAAAAAAAAAAGAATTCACACCTAGCAGTAAGTACCATCTTGCAGTTTTATCTTCAGTCGATGCTACAAATATTTAAATTTAATACATCTGAATATTTCTCAAAGGCCTGTACATTTTATCATGGTCTGCATGATTCCAGTGCCACACTCGAAGCGTATGTATCTATTACAAATCCCACTTACAATTACCCTTAGGTACCCTAACGATGATGCTATTACATGTACCTTGTATGACCAAATGAACCCCCTCCCCTCCGGATTTAACAAATATTGTTTGAATTTTTATTGTAAAATTTCAGATGTATTCCATTCTAGTCTTCATAATTTTTTGTAGTCATCTGGTAGGTTTTGTTGGACAAATTCTACTACAAAATGCACTTCAATGGCATAAAGTAGGATCAGACATTAATGAATTGAATAAAAAACAAAAGCCATTACTTAACTAGATTTTGTTTTTGTGAACAAAAACATATATCTCCCCTTATTAGCCAATAGACAAACTTCAGTATAAAAAAACAACAAAGGGCTGATCTTTTTATATAGTGGGGGCACGAGACCCTAGTTTAGAATGCGACACTCCTACTTTCCAAACGACATTCAAACTATAGCAAGTTTGGTCAACGTAGGTTAATAACTTGGAAGTTATGCAGGGGACAAACTTCGGTATTAAAAATAAACGAAGGGCCATTACACTGTATATAACTGGGCAAAAAAACAGATTTTAGTCAAGAAATTCCATCTTCCCAAAATACATAAATATGGTAAGTTTGGTCAACGTAGATGAAATAACATGGAACTTATTCTCAGGACAAACTTTGGTATTAAATATAAACAAAGGGCCATGACTCTGTATATAGTGGGGTACAAGACCTAGTTCCAGTGCACTGCACAACTTCTGTGTGTGATGCAGTTATACTTCAAGTTTGATCAAGATATCTTTAACGGTTTGAAACTTATGGGTCGGACAAGAATTTATTGAAAATGTTGCACTTTGACCTTGAGATGAAGGTCACAGTGACCTATTTCCAGTGCACTGCACACTTTCTGTGCAGAAAGCATGCATACCTCATGTTTTATCAAGATATCTTTTAACAGTTTAAAAGTTTTTGCCCGGACAAGTTGTGATTAGAAGAACCAGAAGAAGAACCAGTACAAATACAAAATGCCTTCATTCAGACAAGTTTTGTCCCTTAAATAATGAGTATTAGACATAAGCTGGTGTGGGTGTGCATGTGTGTGAGAGGAAAACGAATCACAACATTTTCTATATTTAAGCATTGAACATAGCTACATGAAAAAGAAGAGGACTGAAATAGGCATAGCCTGTTGTCGAATTCTTTTGTCAATACTGTTATAATATCTTCTTTAATGTTAACTTATATGTTTGTATTATTAATGTATTGTCAATAAAATACTTTTGAATTGAAATTGAAGGGGAGACATAATTAAGTTAACATTATCTGTTGATAAGTAGTAGACCAATGCAATTTTTGAGAATGATATACAGCTTTATTAATGTTACCTGTACAACAACTGCATTGCCTACTGTTGCCTGGCTATCAACTTGTCTGATCTTTGCATGACAATCACGGAAATTGAGTGACATGATCTTCTTATGAATATCCTGAAATTATAAATCAAATTTATTCATTATAATAAATATAAATGGATGATATTCATTTCAGGTATGATCCAATCCTTTGATCAGGGCTTTTAATTGAACCTCGAAAGTATGTTTTTGACTCCTGAAAAAGAGCTTTTGACTCTTAAAAGGTTTGAAAAGATATGTCTATTTTGCTCATGTTTTGACCCTCCAAATTTCAGGGACAAGAGGCCCAATGGGTTCGAATCACTCACCATGTAGTAATCTCACACTTGTAATGTTAAAGTGGACTAAAATACAGCTACAGGTAAAACATAAATGTTTGATTCAAAAGAATCTATTAAAGATTTCAACATATTTGACCTGTGACCTGGAAAATAGGTGAAGATCATCCATTTGAACAAACTTTGTAACACTTTCAGAAGAAGTTGTTTAAAGGTTTTACACTTATTTGACTCCTGTGACCTTAAATCTGAGTCGAGGTCATTTATTAAAACAATCTTGGTAGCCCTTCGTCCCAGCATAACACTGGCCAAAAATCAATACCCTAGGCCTTATTCAGAAAAAGTTGTTTCAAGTAAAAAGTTGACGCAGGACGGCAACAGGCCAGGTGAGCTAAAAATGTTATTTGACCTCTGAAATTTCTAGAAGTCAAGAGTCAACTGAAAACCCTGCTTTGATCTACATTTCAAAACAAAATTTAATATCAAATGGAGCAAACTTGTGTTCCAAATTTTCCACAGTTGTTCATTTATGAAATTTGGTTGAACCTAGTTATCTGATACTGCTTTCAGGCAAGCCTTGACAAAGCCTTGCAGGACCTGCATATATCCAAAAAGTAATGCATTCAAAAACAAACAGAAAGATACGTGAAAGGGCCCAATTTACGTCAGAATCTTTTCAGTAATATATTTTTACTGAACATGTTGAAATTCTGATTGATAATATTTTAACAAATTTATAGAGTATTATAAATCATGCTATATTTACCACTTGTCCCATGACTGGAGGCTGTTCTTCGCCAGGTTTCTCAACGCCACCATGTACAAAGCTGGAATTGTGGCTATAAAATCTGTAACGATAATTTTTTTGTCACAATCAACATTTCCTGGCTATTAAATGATGGATAGAGGTGAAATGTATACAATATGTTTGTAGCATTCAGTTGGATCGCAAAAGAGATTGTCATGTGATAATGCCAGTGAATTATTTTTATGAAGACATTGGCCTTAAATCCTTATTACCTGTACAGACTAAATCAATATCGCTAATTGCTATATACCATTTTGATAGCTTAAATACCAGTTCAATATATCCAAATAACAAATACGAAAAAGTGTCAAATTCGTGACATACCGCCCTGACAGCATGGTGACGGAAATTGATCCAAAGTTTACGTTATTGTCATACACAACTTACAACGGCTGCTTTATTTACAATTTACACCATTTTCGTTAAATACAATATTTGATTATTGTTAAAAAGGGAATATTTTGTGTTTTTAATTGTTATTGTTTCTTTGCAAGTTGATTTCACCAAACAACTTGCAAAACAGGTAAATCATGACTATTTATATCACTTCTTTCATCCTGTTGACTGTAACATTACGATATCATTAGGTACAAGTGTAGGATGCTTTATAAAGAATATGTTCTTAGGAATATGCTCGCATTTATTTGAAAGTGGAAGTAGAATTTACATACTGATCATTACGACGGCAAAACGATTTTTTCCAACACACTGATATAAATAACAATGAACAAACTATTTCAATTATTAATTTATATTTTACCATGTTTATATTTTACCATTTTACCATCAATCTATGCCCGATTAATATAGGGCATCTCACTTCCGTTTCAGACAACATAAAATCGATCGAAAACAGCTTGATTGGTTATTATGATATTTTTCTCTGGCAAATAGAATATCCTAATAAGTGGATTCCACTGACTGTACTATCTTTTTGAGACTTGTTGAACCTTGAGCGCTCTCAGCTGAGGCTACTGCATGACAGAGGCAGTTCATAGAGTACTTGGCATTAGAAAAGCAACATTTTTTTTTGAAATATAGATAACAAACCAGATTATTTAATTTACTCATTCTAAAAGAGCTTTCTGGTTTTGAATAAATATTATGTTAGGCAAGTAGCTAGAACCCAAAGGACTTATCATAGTCATCAAATACCTGTGGAGATGCAGTGGGGCCTCATGAAGCAAGGTGTAGTACTGCCTCACAAACTCGCGGCCAACACACTGTGGGCTTGGGGTTTCCATGACCATGACTTTTACTTTATCAAGTAATCTGTAAAAAGCAAAAGTAGAAAAAGTTATTAGATTTTGCATTTTTATTCTACTCCTAAACCTGTTAACCTAAATATGTGAATACTAGACATTTCAGTACCTAAAAGTAATATGCTTCTGTACTTCTTTATAAAACAAAAAAATGCTGAAGAAATTCAGCTACACACAGGACAAAAAAAGCACAAACTAAAATTAATATTCAGTTAAAGATAACTTTAAATAACGAAGACTAGTATAATTGGCTAGCGCTTTCGCCCATCTTGGGGCTTTTCAGGTGATTTAAATTTATTTGCGACGTCATAAACAAAGTAAACATAATGATTACATGAATGTACTTGCATTAAATGCGTCAATGAAATATACGGAAAAAGAAACGGAGCATATTACAAATGCTCAAATAAATACATTGTTCAATAGTAAAAGTTAAAAACATCCGATAGTAAAAATGAATTTTAAAGCACAACACTTGTTAGTTCATCAGAACATATTAAACATACAGAATTTGTAAAATTAACATTTATAAGAGGTGCTCGAAATTTCCCGCGTTCAAGCAATAGTATCTGATGTGTTCATCATATATATATAGGCAATGTAGAGATTCAAAATTATATATTTTATTATGAACACATCGATACTGTTTAGGTTTGAAGACAGCATGTTATGCGGAAGATTTTTTTTAAGGACATGTTATCAGAATTTAATTAACACATTATGTATACTTGTGAGTTGTGACGAGTTATCTCGAGTATGTAACTGACGAGGGCATCATAATTGATGGAGCCCCTGTGCGCTAAAGAAGAAGACAATGGCTGAAATTACCATGCTGCATGCATAAATACTCTCAAATAACATTTAAACAAATACATAAATCACGATTTCTATGTGTAATACAACCACATTACACTGGTCATTTAAAATAACAGTACATACATGAATTTAATTTTGATTATTAAATAATCAACAAATTACAGATTAGTGCAATTTTTACATTCCAAATTTGGAAAAAAATGGGATGTCGAATGACCAAATAATTTAAAATACACAACAAAATGAACTTGTTTATGTAAACGCGACAGGGCCATACATATTACTTATAATAGCCGATACATTTGAAAAACAAAGTTCATGATTCTGTGAGTACATGTCCAAATGTTTTCTCGGGCTTTCAGTTTTGGCCTGCATTATCAAATTACAGAGCCACGTGATAGAACATGCATTGTCCATACAGACAAATTTACAACATAATGGTGTATAATTTTGGATTATGTTGTATTATTAAACACTAGAAAATTATAAACATTCATGATAGATATACAAAAAGAATCGCTTGCTAACAATGAAACTGAAAAACACACGGAAGACATAGGAACCATGATACACGAGGTAACCCGGTACCGTCATTCAATTCGATAAAATACAGTTTCTTTGACAAATACTCACCTCAAAAATTATGAAATGCGATTTCTAGGTGTTCTATCCTCATAAATACATTAGAATGTTTTAATAAGGGCGTCTAAAATAGGTGAAGAGTTGATGAAATTCTTCGTAGAAAATTTGTTCTGGCACATGCAGTTGCGCAGAAGTGGTCTGAATTTACGCCAATTTTAGCGCATTTGACGGGGAACCCATGCATCACAGAAAAAAGCCCCCAAATCCAAATCATGTCGCTTAAAACACAATTAAAAAATGCATTGATTTTATCCTGCATAAATATCCCAGAAAGTTATACGAATGATCAGTAAAATCATTTTGGTTGAGGAACATATTAAAAAGTAAAGGCTCTGAACATATATTTCTTAAAAGTATCATTGCTAAATCTTCACTTCCGTTTCTCTGCTCATGCGTGTTACTCTTAGTTACCAAAAACGCTTTGGGGAAAGACTGGCAGTTGGGACATCACAAAAAAACAAGTTCCAACTGACTTAAGCAGTCATGGCAGAGTGTGCTTTCCATCAAGAGGCGCGAAGGCGCCAGGCGAACCTTGATAGGCAACAAGAAGCAAGGAAAAGGTTTATAGCTAGACAGTCGCAGGTATGAAACGAAGAGCCAACATTGTTATCTGTTACAGCATGTTTCAGGCTATGACCACTTCGTCTGTATTTGACGTCCATATATATGATAACAAGAGTAAATATGACCTCATTTAATACCATTTTAAATCCTTTTGACTTATTTATTGTTCTTAATAAAATATGTGGTTGTAATCAGTGTTTACTCAATGGCACAGTAGTGTCAGTGTGTGCAGTGTTTCTTTTTTCCCCCTTTAAATTTCATTGCGTTTTCCCTTTCCTACTACAGTATGAATGATACAGAATATTTCTTTATTTGATAAAATTTCATATATTATGTTTGCATTTACTGATGGTATCATGTAATGATGGCTTGACAGTTAGTTGAAGGACTTGCTTTTTGACATATCACTAAACATTATGATGACAATGGGAGTTGGGGTTTTTTCAATGCAGAATGAAAAAATACTTCATGATTATGTATAATGATTTTATGGTTAAGTAGTTAGAGTTTAGGATTAGGATTAGCAGTTACGTTTAGTAGTGGTTAGGTTTTAGGGTTAGTGATAAATGCTGCTGATTAGAACAATAATTTCATTTATGTTAAAAAAGATAACCAAACTTAATTAGCACTAAAATATTTATCAAACAACTATATATTAATGGAAAAGATGTATGAGGTTTGTGAATTTCAAAGATAAAACAATTAATGAACTCTTTGCATTTCCTGAACAATTTGATAATATTTACATGTGTGTGAGAATGAAGAGAGATGGTAAAAATATTATCTGTATGCGAGTCGTACAATCTGTGGGGCACAATAGATAATTTTAACATCATCATTCTATGTGACAAGCTTGTGTAATTATTATAACAGTAAATGGGACATGTCAAAGATCTTTGGTCTGTGTTTTGTTAAAAAGACCATTGTTATTGGCCGTGTTTCTTATTTTCATTTTCTTTACCTAATACTGTATATTAATGTTTGCTTTGCCCAGAACATGAGTGGTGCACTGGATCCAAACCTTTCAGGCGGTAACGACGCTATAATGTTTTCAGGAGCTGATAATTTTGACACAAAAAGGTGTGTATGAATAGTTTATTACATTGAAATATCTTCTCATATCGTCTTAAAATTATATGGTTATAAGCTGTCCTTTTATCTAAAAAAAATAAGTCCTCACTTCTGTCTTTAATTTCTTTAGAAATAAATCAGACTTTGCTTTGGAAGTAATTCAATGTAAAGCAGATTCATGAGAACGATTCCAAATTTGAAAATAAATCTATTTTTAATATTACATTAAATTGTGCATGAACATGTGCTATGATAAATGATAAATATATTTCTCAGAATTTTGTAGATTATTTCACAATATCAGTTTAACTTTGTATGATAATTAATAAATACATGTTGATTAAATGTAGAACTCTTAACATCTTGGTAATGTTAATTCTGCATGCAAGCATTAACTGTGTAGTTGTAGGTATTCATTTTTGTAGTTAAGTTCCATGTTTGTTTTTGTACTTTTAAGTAGAGTTATATTAATTAATGGAGAGTGTGAGATCGTTTCATCCTCACCTTGCCAAGTTCAAAAATTATTCTTATTACTTGTGCTGACCATAAATAGTTTGGGTTGGCATGGTAGTTTTGTGGAGGAAGGGAAGTTAGCAGTCAAGTTGTCAACTGAAGTTGTGGTATATAGTGCAGTAGCTATAGCTCATTTCATTTGACAAACTGGTTGTTATAGGGGCAATCAGTCATCCTCTGTACCAGCTGTACTGTGTATATGTTGTTGCTATACATCTCATGTATCTAATGTCATAATATAATTTTACATTCGAAATAGAAATTCTATCAATACATGACCATTTACAGATCAACTATCACAATTACGTCTTATCTCACAATACACCTTACTGTACAGCACATCATTTACAAGGACACTGTACTGAATCTATAGTAATACTGTGCAGCAGTGAATCTATGCACTATCACTGTACTGGAGTAAGCTTTCACAGAAATATTTTACTATTCTCACTTCTCAGTATGTTGCTATGATGCTGACTCCAGACAAGTTTTTGCTTTGACAAATATCTAATGCTACCTCTGCTAAACACTTTTGGATGAAGTCAATTGTTTTCTTTTTTTCTTTTGAGTACAACAATTTGATCTAACATGTGATTCTTCCGATGATCACAATTAATTTAGTCTAAATGAAGATATGAAAACTTTTGACCACAAAGAAATGAAAGAATGCAGGTACTTTTTCAATGCCTGACTCTTGTTGTTTCCAGAATATATCAACAATCCTGCACTAAATCCAAAAGATGTGTTCTTCCTGTTTTGCCATTAGGCCTGTTTTGCCATTAGGCCTAATTGTAACAGCTAGATTTTGTGAATTAGCAGAGCTAGGGGTAATGGCTTTGCTATCAATTTTCAATCCATGTCAACACAAATTTCTATCATATATAAATGTGTTCAGTCTCCTCCTATCTAAGTTACATCCAGTTTACATGTCCTGCAGCTAATTAACTCTGTCATTATTTACCTAAATATGTGAACTTAATGGTGATCAAAACATGACTTGAAAAAGCCTGCTGACATATCTATAGCTTAAATATGAATGATAAATGTTCTCCATTCTCCACTCTCTAACCTCCAACCCCAGTTGACAGGTAACAGAATGACACAAAATAGAGAAAACGTAGGTATTAATACAAGAGTGCAGTTTTTAAAACATTTTGAAAAATGATTGCAGGATTAATATTTCATTATTATAGATTCCCTGTGTTGGAAAATATGTTTGCAGGGACTGACATTTACATCTGTATAAACAGATTTTGCTAAGGGAGATCCAAACTTGTACATGGTTTTGTAACATAGGATTGTAAAAGAACTGTTGTTCACTCGTTAAATTTTATATGATTAGGATGTATCAGAAGCCCCAGGTTTCCAACCATTACATCACATTTCTAGATCTGTATGAAGAATTGTAATGTTAATACCCCAAGCTTACTGTAACCAAAACCTAACTGTTCAGCACTCCATCACAGTCTCCCCTTCCTCCAGTCAGATATATAACAAGTACTCATTCATGATTCAACATACCATGCATGATAACATTTGCTTTGATTTGACATAATTGATATGAATGTTATAAGCTGACATTTGTCAGCACTCTGTTCATGCTTTTATAATCCTAATTCATCATCCCATTAATAAAACACAAACAAAATCTATATATATATAGTACATCAACTAGATTTTAGAGAGTTATTTTGATTCCTTTTTTTCATTTCCGATTTTATGGATTTTTACTAAAGTTATTTTCTTGATTGTGTTGCTATTTTAGATGCAGTAAGATTGCACTGCAATCACACAAACCAGAGGATGGTGTGGTTTTCAAGGAAGTGGTTCATGATCCTAATTTTATGTATAGATCCTTGAAGGAAAGTGGTTGTGACCCTTTACCCCTGCATGTTGATCCAATTTTTAAAATAATGTACCCAGGATTCTGAAAATAATGTACGTGCTTTAAACATTTATGCTGCTAATAAACTGTTACAATATATTTGCTTGCATAGAGTAGCTTATAGTTGTGGTATTCAATTCCTATATTTGCTTCACTTTCTATATATGGGAGTATCTAATATATATATATAATCCATTAGTTTTCTTCACATTTTTTTTTAACTTTTCAGTCCTCAAACTAGCTTCTAATATTTGTCACATTTTTGTAGGTCTTTATTAAAGTTTACCACCTGTTCTCAATTATCATTCATAAGTCATTTCACTTTAGGTAACTGATCAGTATTGTTTTTTGATGAAAAAGTGAAGACTTCATGTTTACAATTTTTGTAAAACTAACTCAGTACAATGTGAGTGAAAACTTGCAAGATAATTGAATAATTAAAAAAAAAAAATGCCTTTTTCATTTGTCATACTTTAGTCATTTACATAGTTTTGAGGACACTATTGCCTTACTATGAATATCATAATCAATAATCTGTTCTGGTTCAAGAGAGATGTTGATATTTAAACTGTTACCTATGACAAGTCAACTTAACATTTATTTAGGGAGCAATGCCAATCTTGTGTTTAATAAAATCATATGTAAGATGTCACATCTGTTTAATATCTGATATATTTGTGTATATAATGATATGATATATCCTATATAATACAGTGTTGGATAATCTCATTAAGTATTTCAGATATTATAAAAAAGATATATCCCATAATTTTCTTAATAATATACATTATATGTATAACCAATAAAAATACATACTAAATCATTTAATGAAACACATTTTTTTTTTTACATTACTCCTTGAATAGATATAAGCCTGTAAGATGACTGGTCTTGTAGTTCTAATGATTGTTGAGATGCCCATTTGACATGGTCACTCAGACATAACTTTTAAATATATGCTTTTGGGAGAGGCAATAATAAATCCACTAAATCATTTTTTTTCTTTTGTAAAAGTTTGAAATGAAATTCGGTTTCATAGATTATAAAGTCAAACACACAATGCAGATGATTCTTTCATGCATTTTCACAACCTTGAGCATGTCTTCACATGTTCTACCTCTATAAGTAATAGGTCTGTAGGAAAAGATTAACCCTCAAGCACCGTTAACAGATGGAAATTAAACATAGAACTTTTCAACAGATTTTATTGAATCAACAAATAGATAAAATTTCTCAACTCGCAGCAGTCTTTTCTAATCCACCAGATCTAGGTGGCATTTGTATAAAATGTAATAGAAACAAAATTGATTCTTTATAGGCATGTTTGGCAAATAGGGTATATGTAGGGAAATAGGGTATATGTTCATATCCTGTATTGCAACAGACACATAGATGTACAAACTAAGTTTGTGTAAAACGTGGTTTAAGGTCTACCGCTATAATCATGAACACTGATTAAGAATCTCTGACACTGGTGCAATACTGAACTTCATCATTTCACAAGACATTTTCTCACATTAAGATGTTAAACACAGATTCTACTTGCCATTTCTATATTCAATATTATAGCCCCATTTTAATATCTCCCTTCTATTGTAGTTCACCCATGCTTACCTATAGTTCTGCACTATTAATCCTTATTTTTCTGTAGATATTATTGTACCCAGGTAGATAAACAGCCAAGAGAGATATAGTAACAAATATATATTTAAAGCAGTACATGTAACAGTGGTTGTCTGGTAAATTTACCACATGTCTGATAATACAGTAGGAATACATTTTCTTACACATTTTTCCAGGACTTCTCCATAACTGTTTTATGTTTGTCTTTTTTTAAATGGCACAGCTATATCTTTCTTATTTGATTCAGACTTAATTCAGCATAAACCAAAATCAATGAGATTTATTGTTGGGATGGACTGCACTGGATGAGATACACAAAAGTAGCTGAATTTGGAAAGGTGTATTTGACTTTAAAGGAAAAAAATATACCAAGTTACTCAAAACATTTCAAGATTTAAATGTTTTGCCCTTTGAAATTTGCTTATGGAATGAGGTTATTGGTGTGGTTGGGTATATCGGTGAATGGGTTATGGGTTATGCAATTTGACCACCTTAGTTAATCTAAATATCCATACACTACTTATTTATCATTCAATGCTCTTACAAAAATACTACTAAAGAGAAAGTTAACCATGCTTCTAACGTGTGTTTGTGTGTGAGCATATGTTGTTTGGTGCGCCCCAAAAACAGTTTGGTGCTAGTGCTTGTCTGTATTATATTTTAACAACTAACATGTATTGGTCAAAGCAAATGTCAAGCTTTAATTGTATTTTTTCTGTGTTTACAAATTGCAGGCCAGTTCTTGAAATGTTTCGGGTCAACAAAGAAGGTTTTAACAATCGTTATCGAAATCGAGAGAACATGGCACCTCATGTTGATAGGGCTTATCCTGTGATTTATCCAGGAAAAGATAACTGTGATTACACTAATGACATCAACCGGAATAATAGAAAAATGAATGCCATGCAAGAAAGATACGATATTACTCGTCGAGTAAATGGAGATTTTCATGTGCAAGTTTTGTCGGAAACTCCCCCGTGATTTAGCAGTGTGCGGATCTGTGGTGTATCTCATCCACGGCAGTACAAGACCATCAGCAATCATGCACGTGTTCATGTTCCTTGATTCTGTGATGTTTCTGTAAACGTAGTTATCACTATTGCTGTAATCTATGTTTGTGTTCAAATGGATAGTTTGCCAAACAAGATTCAAGTATCTTTTATTCAGTGTTGAGGAAAATCCAAAGAAATTTGTACAATCTTCTTTCAGGGAAAAATCTTGTCACGACACAAATGCAGTTCCAAAGAACTTGCTGCATGAATTGTCAACAAAGAAGCTTGCTAACACTCAGGAACAGAAATCCGATTCTCAAAAGAAAAGGAAACAACGCAAATTAGATATAGAGAGGGACCAAGTTTACAAAATTTTACATCCATATGAATTCTAAAAGACCTTCCATTTTTTTTGTTTATTTTTCAAATATATTTATTGTTTTCTCATTTTTATAATTGTTCTTTACACTATGAGGTTTGTTGATCCATTAAATGGTGATGATCATATTGGGTGCTACATCTGTAAGATAGTATCGTTTTCTATTGTTTGTGTGCAATTGTGGGAATACACGGAGTACTATTACTGCTAAATGTATTGTTTTTGTTTGTCTCTGCTCTGAATATGGTACGCTCATGCATGTTCAGCTGTAAAATGGTCAGGAGTACTTATTGGACACATATCTGTAGACACTACCACACATTATTATACACCATGGAAGTAGTGGTTCCCTGTCAAAAAATAGACAGCAGCTATATTCATGTACAGTTGGAAGCTGGTTGGGGAGTATGATTGGTTTGCCCCTTGTTAATAGTTTCTGTTATAAGTTTAGTTATTTTTGTTATATTAGTTGTTTTTTTACAATGGAAATATATTGCTTGTACTTTCAGCTTTCTACTTAGAGTAGAGAATTATGACTTGGCTTTAATCTCTTGTTGAAACTCATCGTAGATTAATGTGTTTCAGTTCCGGTGATATGTTGGAACCCTCAATGCACAGAATTTTTCATAGGAAAGCTGACAACAATCCAGAGGATAAAGTTTACCCATTACTACATCCTCAAGGATATGTTAAAAAAACAACTCAAAGAGAACTTCCTCCTCGAAAACCACACTTCAAAGTCTAGGGTTCATTGCTGTCAAGGAAATGCTTTGAAATGAAGGAAATTGGTTGTCAACATATTGAAGTTTTTAAAACTGGAAAAAGTATACTTTAGGTTCGATGTATGAAAAAAAGGAATCATACAAACGTTCATACCAAATTTTCTGTATTTCATAAGCATTACTTCCTGTGCACTTTTTGTTGATATGTTTATACTAATATTTTTGTTCCGTTTATAAACTAATACATTGTACTGGTATGTTATAGTACATTTCAGTTTTAGAATCAAATACCTCATCAAACAAAACCATAAGTTATAGATACTGGTAGAAGAAACGCGTCAAATTCAACTATAAACTTTTAAAACCACATACAGGAATAAGAACAATTGGATGGGGACAGAAAGGGACAAAAGGCAGTATGACCACAGTCGTAACGGCCCTCTGTTAGACAGCACCTGGCACAACCTGCGCCGACAGCTGTTCAACATAGGAATGGTCACTCCCATTACCACCACTGGCAAACCAACCAGCTTCCAAGACTTGCAGCAAGTCCGTGTGCTCTCCCCAAAGAGATAGGTTCCATCTATGTAACCAAAGACCATAAGACAATATCCTAACCAAAATACTATTACCCTACAGCTGCTGAATATTTGTACAATTCTAGAGCAGAGCTTTTAATGTTATTTTCAAATAATCTTTGAAGTCATTATTTTCACCTTTACACAGTAAAATCCCAGTTCACCTTACCGTATTCCCATGTCTTATCAGTATTAACGTTTACGCTGTCACTTGCTGTTGTGTTTTTGTTTTATAGTTTCACAGATATATATATCAAAGTTAATGCTATTTATAGATTTATATGCCTGCACATTTTTATCGAATATTTTGGTTGCATTCTTGCTTTGTTATCTTCATATTGTTAAAATTTATCACATTTATAGTCAAGACCAGGTGAGGGATTAGTTAAGAGAGAGAGAGAGAGAGAACATGAAAAAGTGAGAAGGATGAGGACTAGCAGGAAATTTTGTAGTTTCGTTTTACTAGATATCAACCGATATTCATTTTTAATTTTAATATCTGTCAGACACATCTGCTGGTGTTGGTGTTTATTTAAAATTTATCAAACATTTTTACTGGTGTATGTTTACTACTTGTATAAACATTTTTTTTTATTATTTTCAAAAATAAACACTTTAAATAATTTTGCATCCATTTTCAGCCCACCCGAAATGGTGGGGTACTAGTCTTTAGGAGGGGTCTATGGAGTGTGAAGGGGATGTCAGTGTGACAGATCCAAAATTTAGAGAGATGAAGTAGATAGATCGCCTTTTTGAGGTAAAGCTAGGGAGACCTGAGAGATTTCTAACTATTAGAGTGGTGATATGAGAGAGAGAAAATAAGTCTGGTGCTGTCTTATAATTCAGAATCTCAAAGGGCTTTTATGTAATTAGTATCCAATACTGTTTACATACAAAGATGCATGATGCAAAGTTTTCAGTAGTAAATGTAATTAATTACATGTTATTTATTTCCTCTGTTGATTTTATATATAGACTATACAGAATATATTGTAAATGTTAAATAAGAGAATGTTAAGATTGGTTTGGTTCCTGCAGCCAGCAATGTTATCCAATGTTACTGTGTTATTCTGGGAATTCACTAAAGTGTATTGTATTTAGTCCATAGTCGCCTTTATACTGACACTATTTGCTCAAAGTTGATTAGATCATCAATATATCTATACACACTATTTATTACACGGCTTTATTGGTGTGAGGTGTCTTGTGTTAAAGGAATATTAAAAACTTAAATGTTGTTATTATGTTTCCTGTTATTTGTTAAGATTATAAGATACCTGCACACTCTAGGTATCCTGCTATAACAGTTATTATAAGCACTATACTGATTTCTCCCACGACCGCTATAGGTTTCCTAACTCCCGACTCTTCTGGGAATTCACTACTTCTTCTTCTTCTTCTCTTCTTCTTCTTCTTCTTCTTCTTCCTTCACAATCATGTGCATCATTCATAAGTTGGTAAACATTTTTGATAACCCACTAGTGGGTAACACTGGGTTTTTATTGGTTAATCTTCTCTAATTATGATGTCAAGTGACAACTCTTTGCAATGTCATCTTCCATTGTGACTTCATCGTCCATGGCAATTGTTTCCCCGATCAGCAACAAGAATAATGCAAAAAGTCCCCAAACTTGTGATGGCTGATTATCATGTTTCTCCCACACCCACTTGGTTTACTCGCTCGAGCTCACGACTCCTTGGATAAACCTATCCCCCGCCCCCCCATGTTATCATGTGTATCTAACTCTTATTAGTCAATCTTCAAATTGTAAGACACTCGGTAAACCTCATGAATATTTGTACAATTTTCAAATCAACTGAATTGAGTAAGATGAACATGATAATCAACCATAAATCGTTGGGGAACCTCTATATTACCATTATTAAAGTGTACAAGCGATAAGCAATCCTGGCAGGCTGATATGGGCACCTCCCGAACTTATCCCAATCTCATAATTTCAGAATGAAGGGATAACATATAAACGTGTTGGCCCCCATCTTCAATGATTGCGATCGTCATTGGTACTTTTGCATTGAATACACAAAACACTAAGTTGGACCCATTACAGGAATAATTCACAAAAACAATATGGTAACTCGACTAGGTACCAACAGACTACAATAGAAACTAAAAACTAATGTGGAAAATAGCAGCTAGGAAGACGCACAAACACATACAAGAGACCGATCACACATGTATCTCTCACTAGTCGTTAAACTAAATAGGGTGCTGAAATATCCCCTGGGACAGCGAATGGAGACCATGGTGTTTGCCTTAATTATATTTCATATTGACAGAAAGTATTAAAACAACAAAACCTGGTAAGATCAGTGGCAGAAACGTTTGTACGATGTTTGCTTAAAAATGACCTAGCGAAATGAGGAACATGATTTTTCATGTAATTCGGGAATGCATTATATATATATATGTGCATAGCAAAGAAGTTGCAGTCACAAACTGTATACTACAAGACACTTGTGCATGTATGTATACGTTATAGCGAAGGGGAAAGTTAGGGCTATAACTTGTGAAAAAAATGATTTGTGTGAATCATTATATGATACATGTGACACTTATGAAATTTCATTATATTCGCGGTTGTAAACTGTGGGACATGTTGCGCAAATAATCTAAGTTGCAAAGGGCCACAACTCTTGTACAAGTTACCGCAGGATCCCGATGATAAAAAATTTAACAACATTCGTTAAGAAATGTGATATTAGCTAGTTGCGCTTACAAGAAAGTGCAGGTGTTAACGAGTGCTCCACTTTGTGTGCACCTAATAATTAAGTATAGAATGTTTTAGCAACTCAAGGGACGAAGGCAAAACTAGCCCCAGTTATACAGATGCCTTTAAACGTCAAGTTTGACTTGTGGCTCCTGTCCTGAGGGCGAACTTGCTTGGAATGGCAATATAGCGTCTCCGGCACCCATCACGGTGTCCGTCTTCCATCAAATAAATGTATGATGGTCACCAACGATCTATTGGTTTATGTTCACTGTGTCTATTATCATTAACTAAAAAAGCTATAAACAACGGTTACATGTAAGAAGGACAAACTGGTTAAAGGTATCAAAGGAAAGAAAATTAAAAATCGTTAATTTAGGGAGTCCTCTTTATTCATGGGAGTTTGGCGCGATTCATTGTCATTAAGTTAATAAAATATCAACTAGCTGTTTCCTTTGACGGTATATACAAAAAAAAAAATTAAAAAAAATATATAGTTCATGACAACGACTGATTAAAAATATTCCACGCCTTTTCCCATCAATTTCATTTATACACAAAACAAAACACTCAAAACCAGGAACTGTGGTCTGGAAACCCACTGTTTTCACTATATCTCACTGGTACATAAAAAGGTACAATCTGTTATTTCACTAGCTCCTTTGTCAGTATAAAATATATAGATATCTGTTAGGAAGTCATGAAATCAAGGTGCGCTAGTTACTCCACTATACCTGGTATACAGGTATATCTACGATGAACTTTAGTTTGCGGTTAGTTAAAAATGCATCGGTTATGCAATTCACTATTCATCACAATATTATGTACACTTCTTATTCTTTTTAATGTGCATGGCTCTTACTGGGGCATTTCAGGGATGGCTCTCGTTTTAAAAACAGGTTAAAACAGATTCATACTCTAAAATGACTGAATCAGCTGTGACCATAATGGTGGCAGGGAGTGTCGGCTGGGAGGAAGGAGTCCTGGTAACTCTTGGTGTTACAGTAAGGCTGAAAAATATCTAACTCTTGGTGTTACAGTAAGGTTGAAAATATATCTAACTCTTAGTGTTACAGTAAAGCTGAAAATATATCTAACTCTTAGGATGACTTTATTTTTAGGGAGAACATCAGTTTGTGTTTAAATATATGTTGATAAGCTATGCCTTTGGGTTACAGAAATAACATATGGAGCGTCAGAGTATGATAAAGTCTTACTTCTATTTTGTTTTAAGTTATACATTAAATTATTTGATCGACCATAAATAAATAGGAAGCAAAGAAAGTACGAAGACGTTGGAGTAGCATATTTTATTTGTATGGTACATTGTTACAAAAGGGTTCTTGCAATAAGGTTCTTGCGATTTCCAATTGATTAAATGGCAATGATTAAATAAACATTTTTTTCAGTAACTATAAGTTTCCCTCTAGCTTGTAAATATATAAAGAATTTGTACATGACTCTTTGTGTCTGTTTAATCCTCATACGTTTTACTGGTATAATGCTATTATTTGAGATATCCTTGTCCATATGAATGTTTTTAGTTCCTATTCGATATCATATATTTGATGACATAGAACAACTTAAACCTCAAACATTTTGCTAAAGTATGTCCTAATTTGAAGCTATAGCTCTCCTTCTTACGGTTACTGATTGAGACTATATATCCATGTCGATGTTGGTCGAAGTATAAGGAAATTATTGAGAGAAACAACAGAACGTGTGAATTATTTAATGTGATTCATATATTGTATTTAGGATATTGTACTGAATTTATTATTTTGCATAATGTGTGTTATCATTTATAGCCGGGATAAGTAACCTTAATAGTAAGGTACCGCTGGGCGGAAAAGCGTCACGGGTAGACGTGCACGGGGTGAGCTGTTTACAGCGACAGATATTGTTTCATCGAAATACTACGGCATGTGGAACAGGCACAGAATACAGACTGAGCTTCGCAGGACGCGTTAGCAGTCTCAACTAGTGCTACATGGGAAACATGCGTTGGCAAACATCACATGAGCGACATAAACGGGTAACGTCTGCTTGGACCCCAGGCCAAAAGAACTCCGCCAGAATCCTGCTTGAAGTTCGTTTCGCTGCAAGATGACCGGACATTATCGACTCGTGCGCAAGCTTCATGACCATTTGACGATACTTCACCGTGCCGAACAGCTGTCGAAACATTGAGGATGGTGGAGATGATTACATACACATTATCTCAACGCTACTACCAAATTGTTAACGTGGAACAAGCTTCGGTTGTTGATCCGGAACAAGAAAAACTGAGAGAATGGATTACAAAACTATGATGAAGGTTATATACAATGAAAGACAAATAAGCATTAAATATATACAAGACACCCTCATAATCTCACACACTCTCTCCAACAAAGTAATAGATTGCCTATGTAGATTCAATCTTTGCAAACAGCCACGTCAATGATGGATACAAAAGTTCCAAGGAACCACAACAAAGTTCCAACAACAGTCACTGAATCGTGACTCAGCTCAATCCAGAGCCAATACACATTGCCGGGTAAACGCACTAGTGTCAATGACACGACAGCACACCCCAACGGTTGATTGGTTCTCAGAAGCACAGTCGCTAATAAAGTCGCCGACCTTGGCCTGATGATGATCTTCAGACATAGCCCTCTAGCATAAGATCTGTCAGTATATTTTTTGTTGTTTTATTTTGATATCTTTGAAAATAAGTATGTTACAATATTTTATAGTTTGCTACTATAAGAAGCTATTATTGTTATTTTTTCTTCCATTTTTAAAGGACCCCATTTGAAATAAGCCACTTTGTTGCTTTTATGGGTAATCCTAGATAAATGGCACTCACCACCACTCCTATTAAGCGACCTATTTATAACTACCTTCATTTACTAAGATAGTCTGTCTCATTTTATAGTAATATCTGCCTTTTTTACAGTGTATCAGACTCTTTTTTTTAGAGTTTTATACTCTGTGATATATGTCAAGGATTGAATTAAAAAAAACTTTTATTAGGACAGATCTATTATTATTCTCAGTCTTATTATAAAATACTCTTTTTTATTTACAAGCTGCATTGTGATCTTTATTATATGTTTTATTCTAAATTGTGATGTCTTGTAACAAGAAAACATGGCTATTTTCCCTGAATAATTATTATTATTATTAAGAGTAAGATGAAGCATTTATCCGTAACGGAAATTAACAAAGAAAAAGAAAAATCACATAAGGTAGTAGTAGTATAACAATCAAAATTCTAGGTTATCTCCCTTTAATGGGTATAGGAGTATAATCTTTATCTAAATCAATAGATTTAGTCATACAGGCTTATAAACAAAATACGCTAAACATAATTTGGCATAATGTGTTATAAAGCCAAACGATAGGATTATAAACAAAATACGCTAAAGACAATAAAAATAAGAAGGGTCGGCGTGGTCTCAAATGATGCTGGGCTACATTCGCGTTACCGGTTGAAACGGTATGTGTGGCGCAGAAATTTTCCACGATAAACGAACACACTTGGACCGTTCTATAAGCAGAGCTAAAAATGCACAGTTTCGGAGAATAAAAAACAATGTATCAAGAATATTATGCCCTTCTCTCACGCGTCCACTAAATTACATATCGTATCTTAAAAACTATATGTGGCTTGACATTGTTTTAGAAAGAAATAACGCAAACTAGCAATATTCAGCAGTTTAGTTTCGGCCAGGTACGTCTGGACCCCTCAATCTACACGTACCAAATTTTCCTGAGGTCAGCCTCGGTCCAAATCTGTACCTGTCGTTTTCTTTACAGGTTCAACCGGTTCAACCGTTTCAACCGGTAACGCGAATGTAGCCCTGTTCAAGCTTACACAGACAACGGGAATCGAACGCGCCGTTCATGGATAAATAACAATGGCGGCCACAGGTGTTCTGCCGTTTGTTCGAGGAGTTGATTTTTCTCGAAATGACTTTTTTGTAAGTATTTAGAGAAGAAGTATTATCTTGTGCTATCGACAGTTTGTTATTTAAACACAAATGTATCAGGTTGCGATCTTTATTTCACGAATAAGACTTGATTGGCCATGCCTTCTGCTATCGAATCTCTCGGTCCGAATAATGACAGCGGAAGTCATAAAATTTAACAATACAGAGTTTTTACGTTTGTTTGAAATAAGCAATGTTTGGCATCTTCGAATTACAACGTTGTTTTGTAAATATATTTTTTCGAGAAACCATAAGGATTGGATACTGGCTCATGAGTCTGCAATTCTGCCAATGATGGATAATGAAATGAATTTTGCCAACTCTCACTATTTAGGAGGGAGACGAATTTTGTCAAATCTCACTATATAGGAGGGAGACTCCCGATTTTCAGGTCCAGTACACTCTGCCGATTGAGCTATATAGCTGTAAAGACCTATAATAGCTCTATTGACATATCTGAAATAGGTCTTTTTCATGTGGTTTTCTTTTTAAAGGGAAACGAAACAAAGTCGCTTTTAAAAGGAGATTGTATCATTAGGTTGATAACAAAAGACATCAAATATAAGTATTCTTTTTAAAAAATAATGATGTAAAAAAATGAAAATAAACATCTAAATGTATGCTTTTTGTTATCAACATTACTATAAACTTTATTGTTTTATGCGACTTTGCTTTAATTTAACGAGAATTGAAATCTGAGAAAATATAGCTCAATACAGCTATAATTTATAGGTAAATATAGCTATATAGGTCTTTATAGCTATAAAGCTCAATCGGCAGAGTGTACTGTCAACCAATGAATTTGCTGAACTATTCCTAATTTCTAAGATCTGCAGTTTCATCTGAAAGAACAGCTCAAAAGATGCCATTTAAACGTGATATTTTTTTCCCTATGTTGTACATAAACACATTTTATTTATGCTTTTAATTCTGAAAACGCGTATTTTTACCCATGTCGAGAAAATTTTGTGCATAACAAAAACTTGTGTACATTAAATGTACAGGGTCATGATGGGGATGCTTTCCCAAACCAAGTTGGTGATATGTCTGGATTAAGATGGCTGCGACTGAACAAAACAAAACTTCAAAAGATCCCGGAGGAAATAAGTAAACTGAAAAAATTGGTAGGTATAATATGTTAACATTATTCAAAATTGATAAGTTAGGTGTGTTACACAAAGGTCCATATACCACATAGCCTGATAAGACCTGTATTGGTCACTTTCTAGGAAGATAACGTGTTTTTACATGTAGATGTTACTTATTATTGAAAATTACACTTGTACACATAACTTATTCTGTTGTAATAACTTAATGTACATAGAGAGACAGAGAGAAGTTGAGAATCTAGTGTAATGGAACTGGACTGGGTCGATCCTCGGCGACCAGGTAGCTCAATTGGTTGTCTGTCTATCTGTCTAGAGTTCGGAAGGTCCCCGGTTCGAACCCAGGTCTGGCCGTGCATTTTGCCTCTCCTGTTACACTGGTACAATAAGTTTTGCTGTCTTTACTGTTCAGTTTTTGAAAACAAGATATTTTCAAAACTTCTAGTTCTCTCTATAGAACAAGTTATCTGGCTTGAGATGTTATTTCATAAGGTTCTTTTTTCAAATAGATTTAAAGAATATGCTTAATGGGTTTATTTGTAATAAAAGCTCTGTTGACATTACAAACACTTTTGTAGGAGCACTTGACCATCATGCATAATGACCTAGTAGGCCTAGGAGACAGCCTGGGGTCATTGCCAGCACTCCGGACTCTCAACTGTAGACACAATGAACTTAATGATGATGGTATCCCAGGCAAAATCTTCAACCATGAAGATCTGTCTGTTGTGGTAGGTTTTTCACATTTAATTTCCGTCCCAGATGATTCACTGTAAAGTCACACTATAGGCTAAGATTACAAACTGGAATTGTTCAGTGATGATCAACATTACCTTTTTAGAAAGGCGGCCTGCCACACATACCTGAACATACACCACTCATAAACAGGCTGAGAACCACTCTGTTCCATAGATGTGATTTCATACCAGGTGCCCAAACACGTTATTTTGTATCAACAAACAGTTTACCTGGTCTGTTTCTCGTACTTTCTACACCAATAAAGGTTATCTTACCTGTTCATCCTATCTATAATGATTTGTTTCATACTTTGATTTATTCAATGTGGTGAATCCTAATACTTGTTTAGGAAACCTGCTGTCCTTAATTCATCAGCATTTTCCTGCCGAAGATTATGCATGTCATTACTTCATTCTTTGCCATTATTAAATATCAATAGAAATACTTGTTGATGCCTTAACAATGAAGGGTGAATTTATTAAAAAAAAAAAAATGATATTATTTGCAGTTTACCCAGTATGTTTTCTATGTCCTATTGACAGTTATTGTTATTTGGCAGTTTATTTGTTCTAGGTCAAAATCAAAATTTCATCTATGTAAATCTAGCCAACATTTAAAGATAACTTGTTTGTAACTAAATTAGTACAGAGAATAACGTTGGGGCAATCTTATTTTAAGTATTAAACATGATGTCATACTAAATGATGTTACAGGACCTGAGTCACAACAAACTAGTAGATGTGCCACCAGAACTAGAGAATGCCACCAACGTCATTGTTCTCAACCTCAGTCACAACCAGTAAGTATGCTTATCACCACTGTACCACACAAATACGAAGAATCAACACAATGTTCCTTCAGTGTGTTTTATCATTATCATGTAAATTATGTACAGTAATTTGGATATGTTTATGCTTTCTTTGCAGGATTGAAATGATCCCAAATCAGCTGTTCATCAATTTGACAGACATTTTCTTCCTAGACCTCAGTAATAACCTGTTTGGTAAGATTTGTACAAGGTGATGGTGATGTGTTGGCTTGTACATTTAAATAATACTCACATATATATACACTGTATATATCATCTGTCGTATGAATAGTGTTTCACGTTACACATATATGACCAAAAAAAGGTTTCTTGTATCATAGACTGTAACGACTATACTGGTAAAATCTAGTTAGTAAATGCTAATTTGTTTGTGTAATACTGACATGTTGTCTGGATTTGATATATGTTCTGTATAATTTGACATTACAATTAAATTGAAGTAATCCTACATATCGCCTTGTGGCAGAGTCTTTCCGATATCCAGCAATAGTTGGACTGATGTAAATATGTTTTTGATCAACAGAGACCCTGCCCCCACAGATGAGGCGACTGACCAACCTTCAGACACTCATCCTAAACAATAATCCCCTGGTCCATGCACAGCTTAGGTGAGAAATAAAACTTGTACCTGTTCAAATCATTGCTAAAGATGGTTACTACCCTCTCATCTATTAAAAATGGTGGTCAATCATGAGTATATTGTTGATGGGTTGTTAAGCAATGAAGAAATAATGTCATCAAGCTTAAGTGATGTATTGTCTATTCTGCCACATCAGCGATGTAACAACACTTTGCATTGGGAAATAACGAAGTATTATCAGACAAAAAATCATTCACATGCAACACCCTTCCCCGTATTGCTGATGTTAACAAGTGCATTGTGTGTGGCAGATGTTGGATGAATTCGCTTTGTTGAACGATTGTTGACATACTCTTCATGATGAGATGAATCTCTGTAACCATGCTCATCATAATGGTATGTATTTGTGTGTTGCAGACAACTGCCAGCTTTGCTGTCCCTACAAACCTTGCACATGAGGGACACACAGAGAACCCTGGCTAATTTCCCCTCTGGACTGGATACACTCACCAACCTACAGGGTAAGGATATTCCACATCAATTCCTTTGCTTACATTAACAATTTTCTTATTTCAATACTCACAAAGAATAGTTCATGTCACAGGTCTAGTTAGATTACTTATAGCTTTAAGGGTGTTCACAGCAGAAATGATGTTACCAACTATTCAAAATTCCTGTGACTTTTTATTTTATGTTTATTCACACATATAAAATGTTTTATTTCATGTTTTTGTCATACATATACAATGTTTTCTTTGAAAAGTGTCATATTTTTTGTTATCTCCCGCTTTCACCGAAATGGGGGATATTAATTTGGGTCTGTCTGTAGTGCTTCATTTCCGTGCAATAACTACAAAAAATATTAACTGATCTTCTTCAAACTTGGTCACAGGGTTTAATGCCTTGAGGGCTCTGCCAAATTCGATGACCACTTTCAGCGGGTCCCATTTGGTGGAGTCATGGCCCTTTGCATAACAAAAATGTCATTATCTGCTGCGTTTCGTTTCCATGCAATAACTACAACAAATGTTAACTGAATTTCTTCAAACTTGGTAGCAGTGTTTAATGTCTTAAGGGCTCGGCCAAGTATGATGTTATGGCCTCTTGAATAATGAAAAACATCATGATCTGCCGTTTCTGTTCATTAACTCTCACAAATATAATCCGATTGTCTTCAAACTTAGTAACAGATTCAACGCATTAGGGCTCGGCCAAGTTTGACAACCACTTTAATCGGACTCCATGTGGCAGAGTTATGGCCCCTTGATTAACTCCAGCAAATATTAGCCAATTCCTTCAAACTTGATAACAATGTTTGTGTTCCTCGATCTTTCTACCCATCTGGGGCACCCTTTGGTTTTCGTGTGATAATTGCTGTAGATATTGTTAACATGTTTCAACCAAATTCCTTATGCACATCCAACTCATGCTATAGGGCTTTTTTCTTCTTCAAGTTTCAAGCTTTACATTATGTCTCAACAGCACTATACTCACACGTTGAAACCTAACCTCAATAATGTTAACCTACAATATGTTCTTCAAGCGGGGGATATAAATTTCACAAATTTGCTTGTTGTAATTTGTATTTGAGTCCACTATTCAAACACCATGCATGAATGGGTTTTTTTTTTAGATGTTGACTTGTCTAACAATGACCTGCCACGAGTGCCAGAGACACTGTACAAAGTCAGCTCCCTGAAGCGTCTCAACCTCAGTGGCAACCAGATCACAGAGCTCTCTCTCGTCATTGGTGAGTTTCTCTTAATGAAGTTTACATGAAAAGCATTTTTTATGTACCAAATTTCATGAACGAGGTTTTACATACAATAATGTTTTTAAGTGCAAAATACAGATATAAATCAGTATAAGCTATTAAACCAAATCAGTTTATGTTTTAGTTTAGAACTTACTTATTGTCATAATATTAATAATTTATCTGCAGACACATGGGTCAACATGGAAACACTGAACCTGTCCCGCAACAAACTCACAGCTCTGCCGGTAAGTGGGCTTTTAAACTTTGATATGAGTAATCGAAGTATGTGCTTTAAGACATTGCTATTCTAAGGGTGCCATTATGGTGTGCTGACTGTAATCTGGGTTTTACCGTTTATAATTGTATTTTGAAGACTTGATAGCAAATATTTCAGCACATGTCAATGTTAGACAAATTATGGCTTTGTGAATGAAATAGTTGTTACCAATGGATCCAATCAACACCCCACATAATCTGTCTTTATAAAAACTGTCAACACCCAATATAATCTTCTCAGTCTCTAAAGATCTTATCTGCACCTAACAGATTTTTTTTTAGCCTTTATAGTGCTGTATATTAGGTATTAAAATATTTATTGTAAATCTGAATTAAAGAAATGATAATGAAAATGGTTATCACAATCACTGTATTTCAGTCCTCCCTTCACAAACTGGCTTCTCTGAAGAAACTCTACCTGAATTCTAACCTGCTAGACTTTGAGGGAATCCCAGCCAACATTGGCAAGCTCCATAACTTGGAAATATTCAGTGCGACTAACAACCAGCTGGAGATGATTCCAGAGGGACTGTGCAGGTAATAACATCCACCCTAGTTACTGTCAAACCCTGTAACCAAAACCACAGAATTTAATTAACTTCATATGTAATAAGACTTTAACCTCATATATGAAAAAACTCATTGATAATACATGTATCTATTATTATATGCTTGAAAATTTCGCACAATCACATTTGCTGGATCCTATACACGTGACCAGTCCTCAATCTAGACTGGTTATCCGGTGAATATTGATTTCTAAATATAGCCTATACGGAAATTCCCCACAGCTGTCGTAGCTCATGTGCAGGTAGACTGGAACGTGATCTGTCAGATGACAACAAAAGTTAGCTGCTGGCGAACGCTTCACCTACGTTACATATGAAAATGTCCAAAAAAATTACTTGAAGATAAATATGTTGTTAACACATATAAGGACACTGTATCCTCTGTGTTTATCTAAAGTAAAATAACCTTGAAGACGTCTTCGAAAGCTACAATGTCAACCTGGCTAAATTTTACACGGAGAACCTTTAAGGATTTTGTTTTTTAATTATTGTTGAAGCATATGACAAAACAGTTATGGGCTTTTGTGCTGGTAAATATGATGTGATATGAGCATGAAAAAGTGATATTGACCGAGACGATATTCACCAGCACAAGAGTCTATAATTGTATAATATGCCATAAAATAGTAATTCATAATATCTCATATGTCATAAGACTGTAATTGATAATATCTCATATGTAATTAGAATTTAAACTCATACATGAGTCTTAACTAACAAATAAATTGTACATTCACATATTGTGTTTATATTCATTTCAGATGTGGGAAACTGAAACGGCTCCTTCTGAATGGCAATAAACTTATTACACTTCCTGATATTCTGCATCTATTACCTGAGTTAGAGGTAAACCTTCAGTGTATATAACACAGATTATAACATTTTCTTGAAATTGTTTTAAAATCGTACTGGCTTAAATTTGTCATAGTGATTTCGTTATAGGAATATTTAAACATACTGGTATCTTGCTAATGTACTACTGTAAATGACAATACATGTAGTATTATATTAGAAAATTCTGATTCTATGCTTATTTGTAGTCTTCATTCTTGGGGTATTTGAATTTGTCTCTCAACTCTGTTATATGTAAAACATGTTCAAATTAAGACATGATTGCTCAACTGCAGCATAACTGAGCATAAAAATAAGATGCATATCAAAATATGTACAATTTACGATATGATTTGTAGAACAATATTGGTTTATAACTTGGAGATTATATTTATTCTTGGGTTTCAATATCTTGACGAAATGTAGTAGTACTGATGATTTATTTCTATTTTAATCCCAGACACTGGATGTAAGGGACAACCCAGGGCTAATGATGCCTCCCAAACCTGCTGAGTTGAAGAAAAACCTGGAGTTCTACAACATCGACTTCTCCCTCAACAATCAGCTACGTCTGGCCGGTGCTCCTACCGCCCCCTCAGCAGACCAGTCTCCTCGTATGTTATATCTCATTATTGAAGTAAACAGATTTTCGGACAAAATGTGTGAACTTTAAGATCACCATTTTGGTATGTCCAACTCAGCAAATGATGAAATGAAGGAACTTAAAGATCAGCATTTGTTCAAGTTCAAGTCAGCAGAGAATGAAAAGTTGCAATCAAATCAAACATCTATCAGGTTAGAAAATCATGGAGGTGCTATTTTATATTTGTTAACATTTAATTGCAAAAACAATTTGGTTGTTATTCAGTTGTGTTCTAAACAAATACTTTTGTTTACAGAACAGAAAGACCCTGTGGCTCGTAAGTTAAGACTGAGGAAAAGACGTGATGGCCAGCAAGAGAGTGAAAAAGTTCTCAAGGTACTGAGTTAAAAATTGTAATGTTTGTCTACGAAATAAGTATTTACACTCCTCACCTATCCTTTTTAGGTCCAAGGCCTGGATACCTTTTCTCCAGTGGACTGTTTTTACCGCTGTCTTACAAACTGCAGCTGATCCAGCTCATTGTATTCCTTTCCTTCTCGACTCCTCCTTTCCAACTTGATTTGGGTCTAACAGATATTCATGTCCCATTGGGCTGTCTTGTCAATGAAGACACACAGTGTCCTTTTTTTTAGTGTCGCAAATTGTGTCCATCCCATTTCAATCTGAGTATCAATTTCTTACTCTTAATCTTCCTCTTCCTTGTATTAAATGACATTGGTCATCTGATCTGGACAATTTTTCTCCTACACTTGCTCAGGGAAGTGTTTATGGTTTCCTCTTTCAGATGTCTTGTCCATATTGCAGACCTCATTTCGGTATTAAACACATATAATGTAAGGTATCTTTGACATCTGCAGAAAGCCTTTAGCTTTTGTTGATATTTCTTGTAAATAAGTTCTTCTATTTAGTGAAGTGCATTTAAGTGCTCAAGTGGAACTTGTGATTATCATTACGTGCATGTAAGTGAATAAATACAGTATCATGGCTTCCCCTAAAAAAGACTGTCCAACATAGAGATATGATTCTTCAAGTAGAGTACCTTCCAACACTGTTTAGAAAATATTACAAGGAACACAGGGAGAGGTTTAATGTGGGTTGTGTAAATTGACGCTAATTCTGTTGACCTTAGTTAAGGGTTAGACTGATTCAGTTGTTGTGTGACACAGGGTATGAGGGATGTGGCAAAGGATAAGGCAGATGGTGCTGGCCCAGAATCTTCTGACAGTCAAGAGCAGAAAGAACCTCTCAAGTAAGTTTTGAGTGAAGTTTATTCTACACAGCTAGATCATCATTGTTTTATTTCTGCAACACATGATCACTGCCCTGAAGTCAGGTATATTTTTGTGTGCTGCAGCTATTGTAAAATTATATGTGACAGAAAGTGTTGTTTTATAAACAGTTGTTTAATAGAGGCATTTCCAGAAGAGAATATAAGAAAGGGGACCGAAAGAAACTTTTTATTGATACAAAGGTAGGGGGGGTCTAACTTGGTTTGTTTGTGCTTTACGTCCCACGAACAGCTATGGTCATTTAAGGACAAGCCAGATTTTGTTGTGGAGGAAAGCCAGAGTACCCAGAAACAATCCTATTGTTATTTTATGTAGCCAGGAAGATCAAAAATAATTGTGAGTGGTGGGGTCCCACATATATTCATATCTGGAAAAGTCCAAAGTGATTTGATTTGAGATCTGATATATTATTTAAGCTCAGAACGACTGACTAGTGTTGTGTTTAAGACTTGACTTCAGACACATTGTTACAGGCCAAAGCGATGGGATGAACACTTGACACGACCCCAGTTGAACTACAATGAAATCTTTGACGAAGATGTTGGACAAATACCTGGTAAATATCAATCCAGCTTGGGGTTTTTTCTGTCGCACATAGCTTGCTGTCCTTCATATAGATTATAGTAAATAATTTTCTCTAAAAAGAAGTATTCAAATAATTAGATACAAGAATGAATGCATGTAGGTGAATCAGGACAGCTGGTAGTCTGTAAATGCACTATTCATGTTCACATAAACTTTATATTTTACTGAGGATATGTAGACCTGAACAGAAAGTTAATCTGTTTAAAAGATGACTGTAGAAGTTTTTCGAACAGTTGATTATCCTTCCTATAAACTATATCAAGGGATTTAAACAATGATTGCAAATATTCACACATCAATGTGTATTTAGATACGAAGGATATATAGATTTTAGAACCATTGCCAACGCAAAAAACGTCCGCACCATGATCAGTGTAAAGAGTCGCAACATTTCCTCACACAAGAATTCCTACTTTTACAGTACATGTACAAAGTGGAATTTGTTTATCAGATTTGTTTATAGTAATGAGATGGACAGAATCAATCATCAGTGAGGATATTGATACATCCCTAATTCTGATGGGCAGTCCAAACATTCATTCTTCTGTTTTATTGACAGCTCAGATAATGGCATTTCGAAATATTGAATGTTATGTTTTCTGTTACTATACTGTACTTTTCTGTTTTAACAGGTATCCAATGTTGGGAAATTGAAAATTTTGTTCCAAATCCAGTAGAGGAAGGTAAATATAACTGTCTATTGTAAATGAATAATAAAAGATCAGCGTCCCAAACCTAGCTTACAATTAACCCTTTCACCCCTATGTAACTGTAGTAAACTGTACCATGCATTGATGTGGAAAAATCCATTTTTGTCTACAGTGGTGAAAGGGTTAAAGCTCAACCCTCTGGTAAGTTACACTATCATGGTTCTGTGAGATTCTGATCATTGCTGTTGTATAATGTGATATGCTTGTTGCATGACCATTCTGGTGAAACAAGTGATCCTGTTTGTCCCTGTTTCCACACAGGTGAAAACAATGCTTATCATGAGGCTGTCTGTGTTCCCAGTCAGTTTCTTGTTGGTTTTCTGATCAGCAGGGCTGTTGTATTATGTGGCTCTATATTGTACAATATGCAGATGTAGTGGTATCAAGTTTCATTATCTACTAAAGGCAAAAGTTGAACAGTGCATCATCATTTGTGATGATATGGTTTGTAAATAACGAATCTAAGTGTTCACTTTGGTTTTGTTAGTTTTGATTGGGAAGTTCTATGAGGCTGATTGCTACATCATCCTGAAGACCTTTATAGATGAGTCGAACAGCATGGGATGGAAGATCTGGTACTGGATTGGTGAACACTGCACTGTGAGTACATATTGCTACCAGAAACAGGAACTATAGGTATCCTACACTCACCAGTTTTTATCTTAGCTCAACAAACTTTGGGACAAATTTAAAAGTGGTCATACAGGTTTAAAAAGTGTTTGAAAAAAGGTCTTGAAAATAAAACTTGTCTTAAAAGATACCTGAACTTTGACGACTGGTCCTGAAATTCTTCTTTATTTCTAACTCAGTATCATCTAGTTTTTCCTATTAAAAAGGTCCCTAAAAAGTTCTCAAGTCCTGTACAAAATATTTTGTCAATCTCATGTGGAAAAAAATCGGAATACTTTTTTATCATACAACCAAGAATTTATGCTCATATCCTAAAAGTTAAAATGTCTTCTCTGACCATAGTAAAGTTTACATGATCCCATCTTGAAATCTATGACAGCATATTTATTGTCCTAAATCTAATAAATGATACTAAATTGAACCCCCTGTCATGTCACAATAGAAAAGTTATATTACACTAGTTGCATATTTTTACTACAAGCGACTGACATTCTTCAGGCGGGTTTGAGGCCTATGCGGGGCAGTCGCCAGGTACTGGCCGTAGGTCGGTGGTTTTTCTCCGGGAACTCCGGCTTTCCTCCACCACCAAAAACCTGGCACGTCCTTATATAAACACAAACAAACCAAAAAATCACTACATGACATAGTAATTTTATCCTCAAAAGTTACTGAGCTGTTTAACATCTACCCAATAGTAAAGTCCAACTCTACAGATGTCCTTTGTGTAAACTGATGGCTGTGATCGCAGCATTTACCTGTAACTTATGATGTTTAGATGATTCATTCATTAGGTTATGAAAATGATCAAAATTTCCTACAGCTGGATAAGAAGGCGTGTGCTGCCATACATGCAGTGAACCTGAGAAATCTCCTGGGGGCAGAGTGTCGCTGTATTCGTGAGGAGATGGGGGATGAGTCGGATGAGTTCCTTGACCTGTTTGAGAACGGAGTGTCATACATAGAGGGTGGAAGGACAAGTAGTGGCTTCTACAGTGTGGAGAATGCTGTAAGTTGTCACTTCTATCTTAATGCTGTTAATCATAAGATAAATCCATTTATGCCCTTTAAATTACATGTTGGTATGCAGATATTTATTGTATTGTATTTGTACCACATCCATAATTAAAATACACATTAATCATTTGGTGTGCTAAGTTATGTGCAGAGCATAATAAATAATAATGATTAATTAAATTTGAAATTAAAATTCCAACAATCTGTAACCAACATATATGTTAATGACTTACTTTATACATCAGCGTGAAATAGAATGATTGAAAAGATTGTACTGATGTACATGTATTTAAGATACTAATAATAAGTAACTGTGTTTCAGGAATATGACATAAAATTATATCGAGCTACTGGTGTGCAGACAGTGTTCATGGAGAGGGTAGGTATAAGTGTTAAATGAAGTAAAGCCTCAGAGGAATAAGATGTTGAATCATATTAATTAAAATTTATGAAATTATGATAAGTTGAGAGATTTTGTATTAATTGGTTTCAAAATAATGTAAAATTTCTGCTATGTATTTACATTCATAATATTCACTTGTTAATTCAGACTGCAGAAACAAAATTGTGAATATGTGCACATCTTACACATGTCCAGTCAACTGTAAACTTTTGTATTTGTGAATGTAAAAATTCAAATGAAATATACCTGCAAATGTTTCATGTGATACAGAATCGGTGATATCTGTTGATCTCTTCTTCATGGTATAGACATTCCTCTACATTTCTATTTGCACTTTAGCCTGAACATTTGTTGTTACATTCAAAGTTATATGTTCACAAATGATTTTGTGGATACAAATTTTGCAGTCAGCTGATATCAAGTTGTGATCTACTAAGTAAATTTGGATTGTTCATATATTCCATGTAGCATCCCTTTTCCTATGCAACCACTATAGTTGTGTTATGTAGAATGAAAAATCCATTTTACCTGTCATAACAGATATATATATGTATAGTTATTAAAGAAAATCTTTCTTTTTTTCAGTGTTTACCAGAGTTTTTATCTTTGGATAGCAGATTTGTGTTCATGTTGGATACTGGTGTCAACATATATATCTGGGTGGGAAAGACATCTAAAGCAGTCACCAAAACAAAGACAAGGTAAGAACACTTCTTCAGCATTAATCGTTGTCCCCAACCCATTTAAACCTTCATGCAGGAAATTAATCTTGTATATGATGGTAATATCAGGATATTGTGTGTGTTAATAGACGGTTAATGATCATACTGAAACATTATATTTTCGCCCTGTTTAATTCATGATCCTGTGTACGTTACACAGGGTGTATAAAATATGCAGTGTGTGAGTTAAATTTGGTGTGCACATCAATACTATCCGAATTCTGTATATACATTCATGTTGGCAAGTCTTGTGCTAAATTTTGTCAGATTGTCAATGTGATGCTTGCATATTTTGCATAAAATTTTGATTGGTTAACCGATTTCTGTGTAAGAAATTTCTTGTAGTGTCAATTTCTAAGAAACATTTTACTGTTACGGTAAGTCTGCCGAGACTTCTTCTTCATATCGAACAGTATGTTTATTTGTTTCCTTTCAATTTAGACCAGTTTGGATAGGTTTCAGGTTATACTGTATTTCACAAGTCCGGAATAGCATTACATGGTTAAGGTAGATTGTTTGGATCAGAGTTAATGTTGAAGGTTACTGTGGTATTAAGGTCAGTAGGTCACAAAAATAACATTTAATTGTTAAGTTTCTTTTGCTTAAGAAATATTTTTTCTTTTTATTGTAGACTTATAGCAGAGAAAATTAATAAGAATGAAAGGAAAGGAAAAGCAGAGATCCACATGGAAGTTCAAGACAAGGAATCAGCAGCGTTCTGGCGAGGATTAGGGGGAGCTCCACCAATGCCTATAGTGGTTAGTACAGTAACTCAAACATACCAAGGAGTCAGTGGTAGGGGGAGCTCCACAGATTCTTATAGTGGTTAGTACAGTAACTCAAACATACCTAGGAATCAGTGGTAGAGGGAGCTCCACAGATGTTTATAGTGGTTGGTACAGTAACTCAAACATACCTAGGAGTCAATGGTAGGGGGAGCTCCACTAATGCCTATAGTGGTTAGTACAGTAACTCAAACATACCTAGGAATCAGTGGTAGGGGGAGCTCCACCAATGCCTATAGTAGTAGGTACAGTAATTAATAAACATACCAAGGAGTCAGTGGTAGGGGGAGCTCTATAGATTCCTATAGTGGTTAGTACAGTAACTCAAACATACCTAGGAATCAGTGGTAGGGGGAGCTCCACCAATGCCTATAGTGGTAGGTACAGTAATTAATAAACATGCCAAGGAGTCAGTGGTAGGGGGAGGTCTACAGATTCCTATAGTGGTTAGAACAGTTACACAAACATACCTAGGAATCAGTGGTAGGGGGAGCTCTATAGATCCCCGTAGATCCCTTTTGACTATTTAGCAGATGTCAGATATGGAAGAAACTCTGAGGGGAAATTATTTATGAGGTTAAACGGTAACAGTGTTTCATGAATAGGAATGTATACGTCTTAGTAATTATTCTTACTATCCTATACTACTGGTAGAGACAAAGACATTTCCCTGATATTTACATTGGTAGCAGACATACATAATCCTAGCCCGATACAGAATCATTTTCATTGATTGGTTGAAAATGAACAAAATGAAATTGATTATTACAATGTTTTCTTAACAGGCAGCGACACTAGCACCGATAGAATACCTACCCAGGATGTATAAGGTGGGACTCGGTATGGGATACTTGGAACTACCACAAGGTAAAAACAGATCTCAAGGAATAATTCATTTGGTAACATTCTACATAATTTGAAATGCAGAATTCACTTCTGTAAATGTAATTGATGAACATGAAAATAATGTAGAATTAATAGGATACTGTCTAAAATGAAATATTCATTGTATATAAACATTTGCAGTTTTCGTCATTACTATCAACCCATGAAAATATATAATACAAATTTAATTGATATACTTGACCACTGTGTGTTTATATTGGGTATCCATGAAAGTTTGAACCACAAAAAAGATATAAATAGCTTCAAACCACTGGAGAAAGTACCTATAAATGGCTATTATATACAGTACATGGCTTAATAAGTTCAATATTACTTACTTGTGATTTCAGTTGAAATTCCAAAGGGGAAGTTAGTGCAATCACTGTTGCAGTCTAAATGTGTGTACATACTGGACTGTAAGACTGACCTGTTTGTATGGTAAGTATGTTTATATGTACATACTGGACTGTAAGACTGACCTGTTTGTATGGTAAGTATGTTTATATGTACATACTGGACTGTAAGACTGACCTGTTTGTATGGTAAGTATGTTTATATGTACATACTGGACTGTAAGACTGACCTGTTTGTATGGTAAGTATGTTTATATGTACATACTGGACTGTAAGACTGACCTGTTTGTATGGTAAGTATGTTTATATGTACATACTGGACTGTAAGACTGACCTGTTTGTATGGTAAGTATGTTTATATGTACATACTGGACTGTAAGACTGACCTGTTTGTATGGTAAGTATGTTTATATGTACATACTGGACTGTAAGACTGACCTGTTTGTATGGTAAGTATGTTTATATGTACATACTGGACTGTAAGACTGACCTGTTTGTATGGTAAGTATGTTTATATGTACATACTGGACTGTAAGACTGACCTGTTTGTATGGTAAGTATGTTTATATGTACATACTGGACTGTAAGACTGACCTGTTTGTATGGTAAGTATGTTTATATGTACATACTGGACTGTAAGACTGACCTGTTTGTATGGTAAGTATGTTTATATGTACATACTGGACTGTAAGACTGACCTGTTTGTATGGTAAGTATGTTTAGATGTACATACTGGACTGTAAGACTGACCTGTTTGTAAATTCAAGGACATATTTATTTTTAAAAGAAATTCACTGTATACAGTTCTGTCATCTAGAAATATACGGCATCTGAATTTTCTTTAAAGGATTGGTAAAAAGTCTACTCGGCTCATCAGGGCAGCAGCACTGAAACTTTCACAAGAACTCAACCTCATGTTGATACGCCCAGACTACTGTAGTGTGACCAGGTGTTTAGAAGGGTAGGTCACATTTTATTTCAGAATATTTCGCTGTCCAGATCTTAGATACAAGAGAAACTGGCCAGCATGTAACATCTAAGTAACCCCTATCCTCAGTGCAGGTTACTTGGTCTGTTGTCTTTTTATTTGTGATGGTAAATGTTTGAGAATAGTTTTGTCAACCAGCTTTCTGTTGTTATTATTAATCCTTACATACCACAGCAGATGGAAATGAATCGACTAAAACATACAAAAATTCATCTTATCTTACTGATTATTCCCCATATTTCACTTGGTAAAATGTTATGAAATTATTTACAAAAGTATCAGTATGTTTTGTATGAAATTGACTTACTTTGTTGCCTGTGTTTGACAGGACAGAGTCACAGGTGTTTAAGACAAAGTTTATTGGCTGGGACGATGTGATACCTGTAGACTACACCAGGACAGCAGAGTCCATGGATAGAAGGGGGCATGACCTGAAGGTAATACTAGGGCACAACCTCATTGTAATAGGGAGGGTATGACCTGAAGGTTATACTAGGGTACACCCTCATTGTAACACTGAGGGGATGACCTAAAGGTTATACTCTGGCACAACCTCATTGTTACACTGAGGGCATGACCTGAAGGTTATACTAGGGTACACCCTCATTGTAACACTGAGGGTATACAACCTCATTGTAACACTGAGGGTATGACCTAAAGGTTATACTCTGGCACAACCTCATTGTTACACTGAGGGTATGACCTGAAGGTTATACTAGGGTACAACCTCATTGTAACACTGAGGGTATGACCTAAAGGTTATACTCGGGTACAACCTCATTGTAACACTGAGGGTATGACCTGAAGGTTATACTAGGGTACAACCTCATTGAGGGTATGACCTGAAGGTTATACTAGGGTACAACCTCATTGTAACACTGAGGGTATGACCTAAAGGTAATACTCAGGTACAACCTCATTGTAACACTGAGGGCATGACCTAAAGGTTATACTAGGGTACAACCTCATTGTAACACTGAGGGTATGACCTAAAGGTTATACTCGGGTACAACCTCATTGTAACACCGAGGGTATGACCTAAAGGTTATACTCAGGTACAACCTCATTGTAACACTGAGGGTATTACCTGAAGGTTATACTAGGGTACAACCTCATTGTAACACTGAGGGTATGACCTAAAGGTTATACTCAGGTACAACCTCATTGTTACACTGAGGGTATGACCTAAAGGTTATACTCGGTTACAACCTCATTGTAACACTGAGGGTATGACCTAAAGGTAATACTAGGGCACAACCTCATTGTAACACTGAGGGTATGACCTAAAGGTTATACTTTGGTACAACCTGATTGTAACACTGAGGGTATGACCTAAAGGTTATACTCTGGTACAACCTCATTGTAACACTGACCTCATTGTGATACTGAGGCTATGACCTGAAGATAATACTCGGGCACAGCCTCATTGTGATACTGAGGCTATGGCCTGAAGATAATACTCGGGCACAGCCTCATTGTGATACTGAGGCTATGACCTGAAGATAATACTCGGGCACAGCCTCATTGTGATACTGAGGCTATGGCCTGAAGATAATACTCGGGCACAACCTCATTGTAACACTGAGAGTATGACCTAAAGGTTATACTCGGGCACAACCTCACTGTAATACTGAGGCTATGAACTTAAGGTAATACTCGGGTACAACCTCATTGTAACACTGAGGGTATGACCTAAAGGTAATACTAGGGTACAACCTCATTGTAACACTGAGAGTATGACCTAAAGGTTATACAAGGGTACAACCTCATTGTAACGCTGAGGGTATGACCTAAAGGTTATTCTCTGGTACAACCTCATTGTAACACTGAGGGTATGACCTAAAGGTTATACTCGGGCACAACCTCATTGTAACACTGAGAGTATGACCTAAAGGTTATACTCGGGCACAACCTCATTGTAACACTGAGGGTATGACCTAAAGGTTATACTAGGGTACAACCTGATTGTAACACTGAGGCTATGACCTGAAGATAATACTCAGGCACAACCTCATTGTGATACTGAGGCTATGACCTGAAGATAATACTAGGGTACAACCTCATTGTGATACTGAGGCTATGACCTGAAGATAATACTCGGGCACAACCTCATTGTGATACTGAGGCTATGACCTGAAGATAATACTAAGGCACAACCTCAGTATGACCTGAAGGTTATACTAGGGTACAACCTCATTTTGATACTGAGGCTATGCCCTGAAGATAATACTAGGGTACAACCTCAGTGTGATACTGAGGCTAGGACCTTAAGGTAATACTCAGATACAACTTCATTGTGATACTGAGGCTATGACCTTAAGGTAATACTGGGGGCACAACCTCCAAGTACCACGAAGATCTCCCTAATTCCTATTCTCGGAACTAAAAATATCTGCCTACCAGTTCATACATAATCATACTACTGTTTTCCTGTGTGATTTTTCTGGGATAATATTTCAATCCTTTTGTGTATTACTGATTAACTCAGGCTTTTTGATGTGATTATGAATACATTTTTTGTGTTGTGTAGGTTATTATGGAGAGAGATAAACCGAAGACAGACCTGTCAGCACTTTTCATGCCCAGACAACCCACCATGACCCTCGATGAGGCGGTAAGCTTCCACAACATTTATAGTTACTTACAAATCTATAGAAGCCTAGGTCTAACACATGGACAGGTATAAACCATTAACAAATCAATGTTTGATGTAAGAAATCTCTGGTCGGTTCAAATACACCTAATGTGACTGAAGTAAATTTGACAAAATAGTCAACAAAGCCATTTTGCTTTGTAGGATCAGCTGACTACTGAATGGAATGAAGACCTGGATGGAATGGAAGCATTTGTACTGGAGGGCAAGAAGTTTGTGCGACTACCTGATGAGGAGCTAGGTAGGTGCACATACGTAAACTTAATTGCAACACTGTTATATGTCAGTGGTGTATGACATAGTTATTACACTTGTTGTGAGTACTATGGTCTCATAATGATGTTAAGGGACGATTTTGTGCCAATGCCAAAGAACAAGAGCACGAGACCATTGCATCCTCAGCAGATTGCAATAATATTTAATAAAAATGTTTTTTTTTAATTTACACGTATTCACAGATGAAAACATAGAAAATTATATTTCAGGTGCAAAATAAAAATTTCCCAACTTAGCACTAGTAACAGAATGAGGAAGAGATGTTTCAAAGAGCTCAGTGAACGTGTACTTATAGCTGATCAGCGACTCCTGATTTATCATGTGATGTACTTGTAGACTTTAGTATATGTGTCTGATGTCTGTACTGAAGTTTATGGTTTGTAGGTCTGTAGTGTATAATCCACACTGAGGAATCCTATGTCTGTACTGAAGTTTTCAGTTTTGTAGGGTATTTCTGTATCGTTACAGGTATATTCCACACTCAGGATTGTTATGTGTTCCTCTGTCGGTACTGGGTACCACTCGAGAAGGACGATGACGATGAGGAAGACGATGATGAGGATGAAGACCCTGAAGCAGATGACTACAAATGTGTTGTGTACTTCTGGCAAGGTCGTGACACCTCAAACATGGGTTGGCTTACCTTCACCTTTAGGTACTTCAGACTTGGGGAATACAACTGAATTGCTTCGTTAGATATTTGGAAGAATGCTTAGCTTGAAAATAAACGATTAGGTTAGGATGAAAACACTAATTGTACATACCTGGTAGTTCCTGCAAACTAAATTTTATCCCTAATAGATTGTTCTGAAATTCACATTTGAATTATTACGGTCTTGTTTGAGCCAACTGAAATAGGAATGTTTCTGCTCTGTTTGACAGTTTGCAAAAGAAGTTTGAGACACTGTTCAAGGACAGACTAGAAGTAGTGCGCACACATCAGCAACAGGAGAATCTCAAATTCCTCTCCCACTTCAAACGTCAATTCATCATTCGTCGGGGCAAGCGAAAAGTGGGTGGAGGTGAGGTTAAGAGGACGGACATTGAATTCTTCCATCTCCGTGCAAATGGCAGTCCTATAGCTACTAGATGTATACAGGTAATACTTACTGTAAAAATGTCGTCTTTCATAACTTAGAGACTCATATAGCTGTAGCTTATCATGGTTAGTACATGATCTAGCACCTCTTCTGAGAGGTAGTACTTAGGTGTTAAAATGTCCTCTTTTATAGCTTAGTGACATCAACAGCTGGATTTTTATAATGGTCAGTGGTGTTGTGTAAATGTTAGTACATGATCTTTGACCTCTTCTGAGAGGTAGTAATTAGTGTTAAAATGTCCTCTTTCATAGCCCTGTTACTCCAACAGCTGGAGTTTATCCTGGTCAGTGGTGTTGTGTAAATGTTAGTACATGATATTTGACCTCTTCTGAGAGGTAGTACTATAAAGTGTAAAAACTTAGTTTTTCATAGCTCTGTGACAGCTTGAATTTATGCTGGTCAGTGATGTTGTGTAAATGTTAGTACAAGATCTAGCGATTCCTCTGAAAGGATTTCAATCTTGTTGATAGACTGGAACAGTGTACAGTAACCTGAGAAGCATGCTATTTGACAGTTGAAGTCAAATTTGAGATATTTTTATCAGTAGTTAAACTGTTATGTTAACACTTCGATTTTCTTACTGACTAAGTACTTAATATTACTTAACGGACACTGATATATGTATAGTTATATTTACAAAAGAGAAACTTAATTGCTATAGTTAGTTCACTATTACTTTTAAGGACAATATCATTAGATGGTGATACAGTGGACCATTTATTGTACCTATTTTATACCATTAAATCATTTTACACTTGTAGATTAAACCAGATGCCTCCTTATTAAACTCATTCTTCTGGTAAGTATTACTTCATTTAACAAAACTTTTAAACCTAATACTGTTTTGTCCTAAAATTTCACAGATCAACATCCAATGTGATATTTACCAACACATGTTTTCTTTTCCTTGTCCGTCATTCTAGTGAATGTAAAGATTCTGATTGGCTGACAAATCATGAACTACATGTATAAATAAAATCATATTTTCTATAGATTTTATATATTATTGATTTTACAAACTAAGAAAAAAACACTTCAGTGCTTGTTTGGATGTTTTTAAACATATTATAATTTTCATTTATAGTTATTTCTGTCATATATTTGCCAGATTTAGAAATGTCTTCCCAATATTTTTAAATCCACATTTTAAATTACCAATGAAATTGTCCCTTTTTAAAAACCACGTATCAACAACAACTAAATTATATGCTTTTACAGTAATAGTATTTTGAAAAATAAAATTGACCTAATTATGGAAACAGCTAACATGTGAATACATGTAAAATGTATTTTTCTCAACTTTCCAGCTATATCCTGATGGTGCCGTTTGATAGCGAGGACCTGATGGGTGTGGTCTATGTGTGGATTGGCAGCCGAGCAGAGCATGAGGAGGCAACACTGGCGGAAAAGATAGCATACAAGATGTACAAAGTAAGTTTATACAGAAGAATGATGCATATAATGTACATACAAGGTATGTAGAAGATAGTAAACAAAACATACAAAGTAGTTGTATACAGAAATAATGAAAGCAGTTAAATTATTACAATATTCTGCTGCTTCTTCAGGACAACTACACGATACAGATGATCAGCGAGGGTGAAGAACCGGTCAATTTCTTCTGGGTTGGCATTGGAGGCAAGAAACCTCACGACACTGTACGTATTGGACACTTAATCACAATCAAATGTGTATTTTTACCTGTATTTCTTTTAATTGATACACTTTGTCTGCAATGATTCTGAGAATTTTTGATATTCCTGAAAAGATAGTGCAAATGTTGAAAAGGGAATAACTGGTGTTTTTTTCAATATATATTTTCCATATCTGTTACATAATTATATAGACATAATTTTTCACTTTTCAGGAGGCCAAGTTTATGCAACATGCTCGACTGTTCAGGTGTTCAAATGAAAAGGGCTACTTTACAGTGTCGGAAAAATGTGCTGATTTCTGTCAGGTAAACCACGAACAATGATGATCTACCTTATATTCATATGGCCAAAAATGCTTCTGTTTCGTAAATGAATTCCCTGGAAGCTCTAGTTTTTAGCTTTAATATACAAAATATACCTCACTGATGTGACCAACCACGAGGAACAGACATTAAGTTTCTCGCCTATCATTGATCCTCTTCCCAGTAAGAAGTATTAAAATAGGCAGAGTATAAACTTATATCTAATGCCCTTAGTTTTATGACCTAACATACTTCAGGGTCTTGTGTTCCTTTTTTCTTGAAAATTTGTTAAAAATATTGCCAAACCCCTTGATAATGCCAAACTTTGAGTAGACAGATAGTGGCAATATTGTACAACTTTTTCTGTAATTTTGAAGACTTGTTTTTTTTATGTCTGTCTGGATTGGCCTGTACTTTCTGATATCTGTATTTTATAGTGTGTCTCTGATCTCTATTATATAATGTTTTTCTCTCTATCAGGATGACCTGGCTGATGATGATGTGATGATCTTGGACAATGGCGAGAACGTCTTCCTGTGGGTTGGCAAGAAAACAAGTGATGTGGAAATTAAACTTGCATTTAAGAGTGCACAGGTAATCAGGTCCCCAACCCTGTAGTAGAGACTTCTTTATAAGTCCCCAACTCCCCCAACCATTATTACTGCAGAGGACTTACAGGATTAGTCTCATGTCGTCCATCTATCCCAAAAACACTTCCTTGTTGTTTAATTGTGTACTTAAAACATTATAAATTGTCCAATAAACTATTCCCTCTGGTTTTCATTTGATTTAAAAGTTTATCTTGTGAAAACCTCAACAGAGTTAAGTTTATATTTATACCATAGTATGATAACATTGAGTTCTACACCTGATTTAATTTTGTTGTCAAATTTGACTAAGTTTGAAATGAAAAGTTAGTAGATTGCTTGTGTATAACATATCTCATGAACTGCTCACAAGATTCAGTTAATACCAGAGTATGGTAACATCAAATTTCTGATGTTGTAGGTATATATCCAACACATGCGTAACAAACAGCCCAACAAGCCACGTAAACTACTGCTGGCCATGAAGTACAAAGAGCTGAGGAGGTTCATCAAGTGTTTCCACGGCTGGGGCAAATACAAGGAAGTATTGGAGTGAATATATACAACACCACAGGTTTAGCTGCAGGAGTTACAGCATTCTGTTTAAAAGATCCAGTCTCTGACATGTTACAACAGGTTTCAGTTGTAGTGATGAAAGCTACATTCTCATTAAGGCTAAATTAATGTAACATTCAACCTATTTCATAAGTGAATTTGGATTAGAATGATGCCAACTGATACCAATAGTAGTTTCCTGTTTATTGAATGTGAGGTTTGATAGATGTGTTATTTGCCAACGAAGAAAATGACTGAAAACGTATGTAAGTCATTGAAATCATTGTGATTTGGTGCTGTAGATGAATGTAGAACCTCCAGCACCTATTGCCATAGTTATGTTGGCCAGCTGCCACACCCCCTGAGCTGGTCACAAGAGTTAGTCAGGTGCCACACCCCTGAGCTGGCCACAACAGCTAGTCAGGTGCCACGCCCCCTGAACTGATCACAAGAGACTGTTTAGTGCAATATTGATGTTATGCTATTTGTGAACAGATGATCTGCTGTAGAAGTGTGTGTGTGAGTTTGTCTGTGATATTGGGAATGTTTTATGCTGCTGCCTATAATAGCTTCCTATCTCTGTTAGTACTAGAATGTTGTTTTCTTAAGTCTATACATCTCTCATGTTTACCTGTTCATGTTAACAAAAGTGTTTGTTAATGGAGAAATAGTTAAAGAACAAATTGATGATTTATTGATGTTTGTACAGATACAATTTTGAATGTTGATTTGAAATTAAACAGTCATAGATTTTAATAATGGTAAATAAATTCATGTTCAAGGCCACAAACTTCTCTGCTGTATGGTTAAACCTTATTTATGTCCAATAGTAATCTTAGGTTTAATATTCCATGCTGTTAAATAACATTTGTTTGTGTATATGGATAACAAAACCAGATGATTAAAACCTCACCTCAGCCTGTCCTACTAGCTTCTGAACGAGGACACACCTGACTTAGGTACTGTCTGTTCTGAGATCATTACAGAAATCAAAGAAATGTATTTAGAAAACTATACAACAAAATATTAACATATTACTCCTTTTTATCATTTGATATTATTAAAGATGATATATATATATATATTTGTTAATAATGCATTCACCTATATAATGGCGTTGTAGACTTGGGTACCCCTCGGGAAATAAGGAAACACCATATTTTCAGTATTCAGGCCTGGCAATGAACTTCGTAAATCTTTGTCAAAATTTCAAAAATCAACAGAATTATAAAAACAGCAAATCATTATAGTAGGTTTTCAGAAGTGAGTGGTGAATGTTATGGAAATCACACAGTCATGTAATAGGTCACATCACTATTACTTGTATAGTGAAACCTGTGTAATCTGACATCTTTTATCTGACATAATGCTGAAATCCAATATTGGTTGAAAACTACAAAATTAGACCTGTTACAGGTATATTCCAAAATCATACCAATCAAATATATTGTCTCACATGATGTCGGATTAGACAGGTTCATATTACAGTCACTTTGGTGAGATTATTTATAATCATTTAGTCAACTTATACCCATTATTGTTAATCATGATGATGATAAAATATTTAAAGCTAATTAACATTGTTACAAGAATTCCATAACTTTTTATACAATAAAACAAGATTTACATACCAATGGCTTATTTCATCTTTTGAGTAAGTGCCAGTTAATGTACACAAGATAAGTTCTTGGACTTTCCTCATTATAATGCATAACTCATATACCAGTAAGCTTGATCATGTCATGGGCACAGAAAAACTATTTCAATACTTTCCTTGACTAATTTCTGGACTGCTGAACACAATAATTGTCTCGACTAAATTTGGACTACTGAACACAATAATTGTCTCGACTAACTTTGGACCACTGAACACAATAATTGTCTCGACTAACTTTGGACCACTGAACACAATATTAGTTAACAGTTAAAGTATGGGTATGAGGGATATAGCAAGTTTATGATCCCCCGAGGCCAGGACTATTTCCCGAGGCGAAGTCGAGGGAAATAGTCCTGGACGAGGGGGATCATAAACTTGCTATATCCCAAAATACCCACACTTCAACTGTTTTATTATACCGATACAAACACTCACTTACAATATTCTAAATATTATTAGACAACAAATTTTCAACAGTTGGGACACTTTATTAACAAAACTAAAATTTTCTTGAGAATCAACATCAGAAAAAAACAGTTTTCTCAATAACATGAAATAAAGGATATCACATGTACAATAAACAATAAATCACAGTTTTTGCTTGAAAATTAGCCAACTGTCTTTAGCCACCAATATGTCCGACAACTCGCTCTCGTCCAACACGGAAAACCTGGGGGGTCACCATTTCTGTTGGCGTCTGTCAACAACAATGCGAGGTGAAGATCGGTCCAGAAAGTATCGGCTCCGCTGGCCAGAAATTGCCGACATCATCCGATTACTCTGATTGGTCAATATTCGGTCAGGCCCCGTCTACGACGTCACTCAATTTCCCACATTTTCCGAGGGAAATTGTTTCAAAACTATCGCACCCCTCCAGACGAACTATTTCCCTGGCATGTAGTTAGAGGGGAAATAGCTTGTTTATGTGGATACTTTTGTATAGTGTAAAATAAGTAGAGGTATAATAATCTCGACTAACTTTGGACTACTGAACACAATAATTGTCTCGACTAACTTTAGACTACTGAACACAGTAATTGTCTCGACTAACTTTGGACTACTGAACACAATAATTGTCTCGACTAACTTTGGACCACTGAACACAATAATTGTCTTGACTAACTTTGGACCACTGAACACAATAATTGCCTTGACTAACTTTGGACCACTGAACACAATAATTGTCCTGACTAACTTTGGACTACTGAACACAATAATTGTCTGGACTAACTTTGGACCACTTAACACAATAATTGTCTTGACTAACTTTGGACCACTGAACACAATAATTGTCTTGACTAACTTTGGACCACTGAACACAATACTTTTCTGGTTTAACTTTGGACCACTGAACACAATATTGTAGTGAATTTTGGGTATAGTTATCTCCCTTAGACCGATAACCGCACCGACAACATCGATGTGACATTTTGGTGCAGTCTCTTTACATCCTGATCTCAACAAGACAACACGTGAGTGATTTTCCTCCACATTGTACCCGATAGTAGTTCCCTACTACATGTAGTGATGGTGTGTTATTACACACACCAAATCTTCTTACTTGGTAATCAGAAGTGCGTCGAACTGACGTCAAGTTTTGTTAGGCTATAGTTGTTAAGTTTATATTGTAGAATAATTATTAATTGTACTGTTAGGTTTAGATTACATTAGGATGTAAACTGTTAATTGTTAAATATTTGTACCCCTTTGAATTTTGTACTGTACAGAAGGACGTCTAGCAATAGGAATGTTTTTATACTGTTAATGTGCATAATTTTGTAATTGTTTATTTACATGTATTGACTTGTTTCTTTATTACAACACAGAAACACTTGTGTATTTTTGCCTCTCCTCCCAAAACGTCCTTTAATCCTGCCACTGCGCTACTGACTACACCTAAGGGTGGTCAGTATGTCAGTAGCCAAGGTCATCAAACAAGTAGCTGGTCACTCTAGGGGGGGTTGGGGTACCTCCATGCTACTTGAGGGTAAAGCTTCTACTGACCTTCGGGCATTGGTTCATAAACGGAAATAGTCCTGTTTTGACCCTATCCCGAAGGATGGGAGGTATGTAAGGGGTCAAGGTCAGGGGTCCCATATGGCAACATGGCCTACTGGTGGTTCCTAACAACAGTTCTCACTACCTTACTATAAATAACAAGGAGGAAGCAAACAAAAATTCAAATATTATTTTATTACAAAAACAATTAAACTGGTATTTACCATATTACAATGGTTGCTCTGCAGTGTTTGTCCTTACAATGCTGCATTAGACAGTAAACATACAAATGTTTTATATGTAACCATTCTCATGTGAACACATCATTTTATTAAGTATTCTTTTTTATTTGATTATTTCAAGACCACAGTTTTCCTTATTTCAACTGATATGGAGAAAGACAAAGATGTCTGTTGTTTCTATTACTAAGCTAACCCAATTTGTCTGACACTTCCTGTCGAGGGAGATGTTTTCTGTCTCAAAAGCTAATTGACACTTCCTGTGGGAGAAAGATATCTGTTGCTTGTATAGCTAGGGTTTCCCAGTTTGGTCCTTAACCTATTGGCATTCCTGTTGGAGAGAGATTTCTGTTGTCTGTATAAATAAACTATCCCAGTTTGTACCTACCCCACTGACATTTCCTGTTGGAGACAAATATCTGTGGTCTGTGTAGCTAGACTATCCCAGTCTGGTCCCTACCCCATTGACACCTCCTGTGGGAGAGAGATGTCGGAGAACTGATAGAAGGCTATATCTCCATGATCAAGCACTGCCCAGCAGACAGGAACACCATCCTTAAATGATCCCTTTGTAGTCACAATCTGCTGTAGACTTGGCGGACTTTCGTGGTTCCTGAAATGTCAAGTAATAAACTGATTTAGAAGTAGAATAACAACTGTATATTGAATGTATGCCAACTATCTATGTCCTTTTTCTCTTAAATATTCTCATATATGGCACTAACAAAAATGGTTTTTAGATTGATTGCTGAGTGATCAAACTTACTTTGAAACACACACTCTGTAATTAGGAATGCCAGGCCTCGACTTTCTGAACTTGGCATCTGGCAGGTAAACATCAAACATTATTCCACCAGTAACAGGTTTGTCTCCCAGGGGCCTGAACAGGTAAAATAAGAAATGTAACATTAACCATAACAAATGTAAATATACTAAAGGCATATCTATTCTGCTCCATAGACAATAACAATCTGAGGTAGGGCCACGATGACATACACTGGAGCAGTTTAAATCTGACACAACCTGACCAGTAGGTCTGCATAACACATAGTACAGGTATAAGTGAAGGGGTATTCTAGATTTATATCTCTCCAGAGAAAATAACAATGTCACAAGACAAACTATTTCCCTCAGCCTTCGGGTATTGTTAGCCATTCAGGGACAATTAAAAGGACTATCTCCCTTATGCCCTTTCTATAAGTGTTTTATCATTATCACCACTTGTTTTGTACAAGTATAATAAAAATAAATGCTGAATAAAAATATCATGAATTGGACGATATCAAGGATGATATCTCACCAAAGGGGTGCATTTGACAATATCCAGAGATTGCTCAGAAACTGACAGCAGTTTAAGAGAATTTAAATCTTCAAAAATTGACAGTCTCTTTCACCCCTTGTGGATGTTTTTTTGTCAATAAAGCAATGAATTTCAACTCATATGCTTAAGGTCAGAAATGAAAATAAAACATAATTTACCTGGGTTTCATTGTAAGATTGACATTTTCAATGATATGCAACCTGTTTAGGATATTTCCTGAAACAGAGAAAAATCCAACATGTACCAGGAAGTCAAAACACTTGTTTTACTTGTTGTAACATTACCGTAATAACTTAAGACAATGGAATTAGAAAATCTCATTCAATAGGCACGCCAAATATATTGAAAGATATTTTGAAAGTTTGTTGAATTAGTTAAACATCTTTATCAATTCACTGTGACTTGTTTTGTTATAATTGTATGATACGTACGTGTGGATGTAGAGTCAGTTGGTCTTACTAAAGGTGTTATCTCCCCTTCCCACAGACACTCGGCTGGAGAGAAGAACGCACTTTCATCCTTCAAGTCTCTGATAGCCATTTTCCTTTTAAACTCTCCCCAATTTGAGGCAGTTATTTTTCTCTTTTTGTGAATCATTTCTGCATAGGAAAATTCTAAATTGTCCACACTTTCCTGCTGCTGTTGTCCACGATACATTTTATGTTTTCTTTGCTGTGAAAGATATGCTCGGGCATCAAATGTATTTGGTGCTGTACTGAAGTCTATGCCATGTGGTAGTAGATCAAGTTTGGGCATCTGTAACTCCAACACTTCAACACCTCCAATGCTAGGGAAGCCTAACTCGTCAAAGTCCCATTGGGAATAGGGCACACATACTCCATCAGGCTCCTCCATCAACTCACTGTTCTTCAGTTCAGCACCAGGTAGATCAGCTGTCCCCGAAGTGTCCCAGACTTTGTTGTCAAATAATCTGTCATTACTCACTCCTTCAGTTACAGGTGGTCCATCCACCTCCATAACTGATCCACAATTCTCTGGGGTAGAACATTCCAGCTGTTCTTTCACCGTTTCCCTACCTGAGTCTTCTGAACTGACTTTGACCTTCTTATCACCAAGACTGGGGCTATCAGATGGGTTGTCTCCCTTATGTTTCCTTTTCTTTTTGTCAATTTTAACATGCTGGTCTAAGTGGATTTTTCTTTCATATGTTGTGACATCCAGGCTGTGAAAGATCATTTCAAATTTATAGAAAATAGAAGATATTTTTTTCTTCAATCAAGGTTGTGTGGGTATCATACATCATGTAAACTTCTGTATTTGTATCAAGATGTAACAAATATGAGTAGAAGGTGTCATTTCATCCTGTCTTGTCAGTAATTCTGGATTACATTGAAAACATGCCGGATCTGATGAGTTACTGATAGCAGGGACCTTGAAGCTGACTTAAAGGAACTTTACATTTTAAACCCCTACTGTACATCTACGCGTAACAATGTAAAGTTTCAGGAATTTTAAACTTCTGGATTCAAAGAAATTCCTCGGAAATGAAAGTGTGGATAAACAGACACCATGATTATCATAGCTATAAGTATTTTAGGACCCTGTACGTTTTGAGATCCGACACAAGTTGCCCTGAAGATGTGAATTGAACCCAAACTTAAAAAAAAAAAAAAAAACAGCAAATTTCCATCCTGCAAATATTACAGCTGTAGTGGAGTTCTAGTTACAGATGTGGTTCTTGTGACTTTCGAAATCTAATACTCACCATCCTTGATGCCTCAATACAACATAGCCCAGTCTCCTCAGGTGAGCATATACTTGGTAGCACTCTGATGTCATGGTAACAGTACCGAAGAAAGCAGAATAAGCCTGCTGGATGCTGAGAGGCAAACCTTTATAATTCACCACCAGTGTGTTCTGTAAGATAAGAATGTTGATGAAATTAGGCAGCAGGCAAGGATACCATTTTCTTCAATGATCAAAAACTATTCCATTTTGATGTCATTGCTCTTTTTTTCTTTCAAAAATCAAATACCTGGTCCTTTTTTAAGATCTCGACCCCACAATGCTTCTAGACTTTTGGTTAGTGCTTTGAAATCATAGAATACATACTCTGTATTTGCAGTGTATTCAATCTGCTAACACAGTTACACAAAATACCTGTTAGAACACCATGTGGAAGGATGGTCAAAGTATGCAGGGTAGCATTTTACTGTTATCATTAATCTTATAAAAGGAGTGTTCTATGGATTTCACTTACAGTTTCCATCAGGAATAGTGCCTCCTCAGGAAACAACCATTTCCTACTGCTGTCTTCAAATCCCATGTATGTCCAAAATTTCCCCTGTAAATATGGAAAACTAACATAACTATGTAGCATCTTCTCTAATGATATATGAAACACATTAATTCAGTAAAGTTAAGAAAGAGACTAAATCATGAGTTTTCATCATAATATAGAAATGGTGACAGGTAAACCCGAAAGTATTGTGAGCCAATGTTTTCCCACTACTTAACAATACCGGTACATGTTTTGAAGTCAAAACTACTTCTGATCAAACTTTTTCCCTTTTTTTCATTAAATGTTGTTATTTTACCTGGAAAGATATCAATTGGCATTGGTTGGAAACATAACTTCAGCTCTGTAAGAGATTTCAACTTTCATTGTCTGATTTTTAATCCATTGGATTAGGGAACTTTTCAAAGCATAAAATACTTTTCTAGCACATTTTCTAAAACAAGAGGCCCAGAGGGCCTTATCACTCACCTAGATACCTAAGCAATCATGGCAAAATGTTCTCCAAATGAGATCCAAGGGAATATGCCAGGCCCCAAGGCCAATCCTTGTAGCATATCTGTATTAAATTTTTTATGCCCAGCAATATTATGTATGGTTATGGGGTGGGAATCTCAACTGTTTCCAAGCTGTGACTCAGAAACTAGCTTCATGGGTTGTGGCCAGACCCCAGGATCAATTCTAATATCATGACTGCATTCGTCTCTTTTTGCCCAGCATTTGTATTTATAGTTTTGGGGTGGGGATCTCAACCGTTTCAAAGTTTTGACCCAGGGGTTAAGTCTGCAAAGGTGGGTCAGACCCTGGGATCCATTCTAATATCATGACTGCATTAGTCTCTTTATGCCCAACAATTGTATATATAGTTTTGGGGTGGGAAACTTAACCATTTTGAGGGGTTAAGTCTCCAAGGCTGGGGCAGACCCCAAGGCCATCCTTGAAGCATATGAGCATTAATTTCTTTATACTCAGCAAGTGTATGGTTTTTGGGTGGGGATCTCAACTGTTTCCAAGCTGTGACTAAGAAACTAGGTCTCTAGGGGTTCGGTCAGACCCAAGGGTCTATTCTAATATCATGACTGCATTCGTCTCTTTATGCCCAGCATTTGTATATATAGTTTTGGGGAGGGGATCTCAACCGTTTCAAAGTTATGACCAAGGGACTATGTCTCCAAGGGTGGGGCCAGACCCTAGGGCCATCCTGGAAGCAACTGTGCATTCTTCTCTTTGTACTCAGCAATTGTATATATGGTTTTACGTTGGGGATCTCAACCATTTCCAAGTAATAAACTTTTTTTTGGCCCCACCCCTTAGCCCGGGGGGTCGGCAACAAAATTTGTACAATTTTGAATCCCTACCTCCCATGAATGCATCCGACCAAATATGGTCGATATCCATGGCACAGTTCTACAGAAGAAGTCGTTTATAGCAATATAGCCAAATTGCTCCCTTTTGGCCCCGTCCCTCAGCCCCCTGGGGGGTCAGCTCCACCATTTGTACAATTTTGAATCCCCACCATCTAGGGATGCTTCCAGTCAAATATGGTTGATATCCATCACTTAGTTCCAGAGATGAAGTCGCTTTAAGCAATATAGCCAAATTGCCTCTTTTTGGCCCCGCCCCTCAGCCCCCTGGGTGGTCAGCCCAACCATTTGTACAATTTTGAATCCCCACCACCTAGGGATGCTTCCAGTCAAATTTAGTCAAATTCCAATCAGTGGTTAAGAAGAAGAAGTTGTTCAAAGAAATTGTTGACATACAGACAATGGACAGACGATGGAGGCCACAGTATCACATAATCTCACCTTGGTCCTTCAGACCAGGTGAGCTAATAATGAAATTCACACAATTTCCAAGGGCACTTAACCACTTTTCTTTGAAAATCTCACCATTTCCCGTTCAAGTTCAACCAACTGGAGGTCTTTGTTCCATTCTCCTTTCACCAAACCACCCCTAACAAAAAAGGAAATACATGATGTACCAGAGAAAATTTAGTTTCTAAAATCTTTTTTCATAAGGAAATTCATTGATTTCTACAGAAAGTAAAACATTGGCTTCTGATTGATAATTTTATATTTGCTTGTCAGTACTGCATCAACAAAACTATTAAATTAGAAAAGAAAAAAAAAATCTTACTCTCTCTCTACTCTTTGTTCTCTCAAGACCTTTGATCTCTCCTGACTGAGAGACTCTATCCACTTAGACTGAAGAAATGATCCATCAGGTTCAAAGTCCTTAGCCCCTCCTCTGTTTGGTACAGTCTTGTCCAAGGGTCTGCGATACTTGAAAAGTTCTTGAGCACTAAAATGAATGTAAATTGAATATGTTATGTTACATCAACTTTATTGCTAACTTCCTTCTGCATATTTATTTGGAATATGTTCGATTACATCAGCCTTGAAACTTATATTCATTTATAAAACAAGTATATTTTAAATCTACTCAGAATCAAACACAAAACTACAAAGATGATACCTGTATATGCTTGTTATTGCTTTGTATAATACATGTACCAAGCTTTAATGGGTGGTGCTAGAACGACTTTCTCTGTAGCTTGGCAGTTTGTAGAACAGTTTGGGAAGCTGGAGGTTACTGGTTTGATCCTCAGAGGAAGCAGTAGTTCACACTACTCTTTTACTGTGATACAAAATGATGTTTGTGACCATCTTTACAGTGGTGAAAGGGCATTATCAAAACCTCTGGGTTGAAATGGGGTTCAGGAAATAAAACATTTTAAATTGAGGGAGTAGTGCGACAGGTTTTACTTGTACATTTGATTACAGCAACCTTCGATTTCTAGCTTTACACCAGTACTTATATCAATACCCGGCCTACAATGCAATATATTAAAAAAAAACTTTTCATCATCAGAAAGCTAAATTATCGCAGCTAGCTTCACACCAAAGGGAATTTCTTTACTTATTAGCTCGCCCCACTTGATTGAGAAGCAGGCTCTATTGATAATGTTACATTTCGCTCTATCACCTATGTTACACTTGTAAATGTGTTTACCCCAAATAAGAATTATCTTACAACCTTTTATTTGGAGTGATAAGGAAAATAGGAAAATATCTAATGATAACCTTCAAAGACAAAAAAAGGAAAACTTTAACATAGCAATAGTAATAAAACTCCATATATTCATCAAAATTACCTGAGAACCTTTTCTTTCAACAAAACTGTGTCCATATCTGGCACACTATAAAGAACTTGTATCAAGTGGGAAATGTTGTCTGCACCCACTGCACAAACACATGGAATGGGATTTTTCAACTGTTCTTATTTGACAAGTATTGTAGAAAGTACAATAAATCACATTCGATGTTTCACTGCCTACATTATTTTTCATATGACGTTAGATTTGTTAGATAAAAGATAGAATCGATGTTGCAGTGTAACTTTAGTCTCCACATGTTTTTCACAAATTTTGGAAGCTTCCGAATTTGTACTGGATTTTCGGAATATCTCTTGACTTTCCCTATTGTTTACATTTACATCTAATCACATTGTGCGTTTGATTGAAAGGAAGAAATATACTAGGTGAAGACGAAAGTGGATCTTTTACACGCTTAAATACAATGCGCAAGCGCAGCTTTTAGTTTACAATGGAATGTCAACCAACTCCTATGCCGCTTCAAAATGATATTTTATGAGATTCTGGATTTGTAATACACTTAAAATCAAGAACGATGGATCGCCAATATGCAAATGGTAATACGGGATCTGTAAAATATTGCACATATTCATATTTTAAAGGGAAAACCACTCGCAACTGCAAGTGGTGACCCAGTAACTCAGGTAAACAGTGCAGGCGCCTAACATGCTGAGGATGGTTTCATGTGACGTAAACGACAATCCATCGCTGTTGAGTTACGGTCTCTCTAATCAAGAGTGACGACCACAGGGAACACTCAGACGAATTGCATTGCACCTACGGTATCTAGTTCAGCTACACGCATACGCACACTAAAGCGTTGGGTGACCAGTTTCGGAGCCCCTAACAGGTGTAGAACACTCTGCCGATTGAGCTATATAGCTATATTCACCTATAAATTATTGCTGTATTGAGCTTTAATTTCTCAGATTTCAATTTTCATTAAATCAAAGCAAAGTCGCATAAAACAATAAGGTTTATGGTAATGTTGACTACAAAAAGTTTACATTTAGATGTTTATTTTCATTTTTCATGAATTTATATGTAAAATGTCCTATTTTTTACATCATTAATTTTTAAAATGAATACTTACATTTAATGACTTTTGTTATCAACCTAATGATAAAATCTTCTTTTAAAAGCGACTTTGTTTTGTTTTCCTTCAAAAAGAAAATCACATGAAAATAGCTCAAAAGACCTATTTCAGATAGGTCAATAGAGCTATCATAGGTCTTAATAGCTATATAGCTCAATCGGCAGAGTGTACTGGACCTGCCTAAGGAGGTGACATTGCTGAATATAGTTCAATATTGTACAAGAGAAAGCAGCGCACATCACATCATCTACCTTATGCTTAGTCTTTAGTTTACCTGGGCAGTCAATTTGCAATCACCTTCTTCACTTCAATGACAACTAATGGACGCATACGTTTTTCTGACACATATACAGCTGTAGATTTGTATACTTGTTATCATTTTAAATAATAAACAGATATATTGAACAAAACATGTAGCATATTTAGATAGTTAATGAATAGGCAGTACCTCATACATGTTTGTTCGACATCACAGATTTCCCTTTTTTTAAAGTAATATTATTAATTTGTATGCATTATGTACAACATATATACAATGAGTGCCATGTAAAACAAAACACCATATAAGGATGTATGGTGTTACTCAACATTATTACAGGTCGGCAATATCCCTTTTGATGCTTGTTGTAATATCTGTGAAACTTCCAAAAATAACACCAACATGTAATTCATTTTTGTTTCAAATCATTGATTTGGTCAGTGGATAGCAATTAATGACAAAGCCAAACACGATTCTCAATAGACCTTTGTATGATACAAGGTTCGTCATCACATGAGCTTAAAAGTGAGTGAGTTAATAAACAGATGGCAGAGACAATTCCATGCTGTACAATTATTAATTATAATTATAGGCCTATAGCTTTTATATCAAGTATCTTTAAAATTGTAGGTTCTCCTTCAAGGAAGAAGTGGTCAAAAGAAGAGAGCAGACAACAAAGTCTAAAGGTGAGATAATTAATCCTTCGTAAACGATACCACTTCACTGGTTATATATTTGCCAAAGAGTTAATTCCTTATGTGTAATCTTAATAATAATTATATGCTTTGTTTTAAACTGACCTCCCATGGTTGATTTGTTTTGTAGATTTCTAATACAGCAGTGGTGTGATAGCTGATCAGTAACACACGTAATTAGGTATCATTAGTGTTCACTGTACCAGTTCTGTGTTACAGCAGTGGTGTGATAGCTGATCAGTAACACCCCTAGTTAGGTATCATTAGCGTTCACTGTACCAGTTCTGTGTTACAGCAGTGGTGTGATAGCTGATAAGTAACACCCCTAGTTAGGTATCATTAGTGTTCACTGTACCAGTTCTGTGTTACAGCAGTGGTGTGATAGCTGATCAGTAACACCTGCAGTTAGGTATCATTAGTGTTCACTGTACCAGTTCTGTGTTACAGCAGTGGTGTGAAAGCTGATCAGTAACACCCGTAGTTAGGCACATTAGTGTTCACTGTACCAGTTCTGTGTTACAGCAGTGGTGTGATGGCTGATCAGTAACACCTGTAGTTAGGTATCATTAGTGTTCACTGTACCAGTTCTGTGTTACAGCAGTGGTGTGATAGCTGATCAGTAACACCCGTAGTTAGGTCTCATTAGTGTTCACTGCACCAGTTCTGTGTTACAGCAGTGGTGTGAAAGCTGATCAGTAACACCCGTAGTTTGGCACATTAGTGTTCACTGTACCAGTTCTGTGTACAGCAGTGTTGTGATAGCTGATCAGTGATACCCATAGTTATGTATCATTAGTGTTCACTGTACCAGTTCTCTGTTACAGCAGTGGTGTGAAAGCTGATCAGTAACCCCCGTAGTTAGGCACATTAGTGTTCACTGTACCAGTTCAGTGTTACAGCAGTGGTGTGATGGCTGATCAGTAACTCCTGTAGTTAGGTATCATTAGTGTTCACTGTTCCAGTTCTGTGTTACAGCAGTGGTGTGATAGCTGCTCAGTAACACCCGTAATTAGATATCATCAGTGTTCACTGTACCAGTTCTGTGTTACAGCAGTGGGGTGAAAGCTGATCAGTAACACCCGTAGTTAGGCTCATTAGTGTTCACTGTACCAGTTCTGTGTACAGCAGTGTTGTGATAGCTGATCAGTGATACCCATAGTTATGTATCATTAGTGTTCACTGTACCAGTTCTATGTTACAGCAGTGGTGTGATAGCTGATCAGTAACACCCGTCGTTAGGTATCATTAGTGTTCACTTTACCAGTTCTGTATTACAGGAAGCTGCTGTACATGAGGTCTTGCCTGGCTATGAAGATTACCTGTTGCTGTTGCAAGAAAGAAACAGGTTAAATATATTACAAACAATTTACAAAGAAATGGCACTTTACTGTTTAACAAGAAATACTAAATAGAAGTTACAATATACTTGTAAAATAACTATGGGAGAGAAGAGCCAATGCATGTCCTTTGTAGACAGGGTCCTCAAGAATTGTGTTCAATGAAAAATGGATACCTATTTGTATGTAGGGCATCCAATCAATGGTTTAGATGAGAAAAGTATCTTGAAGTGTACTCAACATGAACCAGCTTCACCAGGTAAGAAAGTGGAAGACATTTGAATTAACTGTCTACTTTTTTCACTCCTTAATTCTCATCAGGGCCTTAACAAGTGGAACTGGAAGGCAATTGATACAGTTTAATAAAGTCATCCATCTACTTAACTTGTGAAGCTGGTCATATCTGTACACACTCCCACCTACTATGTTTTGATAGATCTGATCGTTACAGATATTTCATTGAATACCCTAGTGTGTTTACTGGTAATATTTTTTAAAGAAGGGCTATTAATAGAATACTACAATTACCAAGCAAATTAAAGATGATCTCTTTAATCTTTCCAACAAAATTAACCCAAGAAGTGATAAAAGGGATGGGAGCATTTTCTTTTGGAGATGGTGGGGTTGGGTAATAAAATATATACTGGTAAATAATATGTTAACTTTCTTTAACTTGTATAGTGTTTTGAATGTGGTCAGTCGCTCTATATGTTTATTGATTGGATCATGTGACAAATCACAGCACACAAATGAAAGTTATCAAATGATTTCACCAGTGACCCTTAAAATTTTAATTTCTCTAGGTTATTGAAGAAAATGAGGAAGAAAAATAAGAATCAAATTGAACAGGAGAAGAAAGAGAAAGGATTTTCCATTTATGTGAATGGTGCAAATTCTGGTAGACGGCGGAGTCAGAAAACTCCTGTTGCAGACAGCAATGAATATTCTGACCCAGCACCTAAGTCGCATAGATTAAAAACAGCTGGAGGTAGGTTGAATTCTTCCATCTTATTTAAAACGTAGGCAAAGTTAAATACAACAGGAGTATGTTGAAATTTCTTTCCTGCCTCACAAAGCATACTAGTTGACAGCTATCCCAAGTTGAACACTGAGTCAAACCAGTTAAAAATAACTGGGTGTAGGTTAAATTTGTATCCAAGTACTTCAGTTGAACTGGTTGAAAAAAGTTAAAAGTACTTTCGAGTTAAATTCTCTCTCTTTACCTATAATATTCACTATTTAACATGAGCTGGAAGTTTATTTGTTAAGCTTCACCACATGTACATAATAGGGTACATCCATGTATCCGGTTGAAACAGTTGAACCTGTAAAGAAAACCACAGGCACAGATCTGAACCGAGGCTAACCTCAGGAAAATTTTGCACAGGTAGATTGAGGGGTCCAGATGTACCTGACCAAAACTAAAATGCTGACTATTGCTAGTTTGTGTTATTTCTTTCTAAAACAATGTCACGCCACATGTAGTTTTTAAGATACATTATGTAATTCAGTGAACGCGTGAAAGAAGGGCATAATATTCTTGATACATTATTTTTAGTCTCCGAAACTGCATTTTTAGCTCTACTTATAGAACAATCCAAGTGTGTTCGTTTATCGTGGAATATTTCTGCGCCACACATATCATTTCAACCGGGATACACGAATGTTGCCATGGTCTGTAATTAATCAAACATTATGGAGAACATATGTATATATTATATATTTAATGTTTCATATAAATCCACCTGAAGAAGCCGGAAAAGGCAGAAAGGCCTAGCAGTAGATCTTACACATTTATTATTTTATATTATATATTTATATACAGCAAAAATCAAGTAGTGAGACAATCCTGGCTACAGTTCATTAAATACTTTCAGAACTTGTAATTTATATGCTACAGATGCCCCTAGAAGAGTTATAGATCATGAATACCTCAACAAAAGAATTGAAGAGAAAAAGAAACAAGAGGAACAGAAGCGTGTAAAAACAGCCCCAGCCAGGGAGCGGCGGCGTAACTGGCTGAAGGAGTCGGTGGAGTTACAGACAGCTAGAGGGGAAAAGTGCAGGTTAAAAGCACCAGGTATGTATCATGAGAAAACTGTTCAAGAGATTATTTAAAAAACAGACATTATAAACTAATATAACATTATTTTTATTTGATGAATAAGCAGTTAAGTGAAGAAAATTTAAAGAGATAAAATTTTGCTATGTTCACTTGACAATAAAAGTAATGATCTCTCTGGCACAGAACTTGTCACTGGGAACTATGACGATGACTTTGAAGATGATGAAGATAGTGAAGATAGTGATGATGATGAAGATTATGACAGGAGTGATGATAGTATGGACGATGACAAAGAACAGGTATTTTATTTCAAAAGGAAGTATTTATGCATCAGCCATTATTTCTGCTTAATATTAAACAAAAAATAAAATTTTAAAGAAATGATAGATAGATGTATTATCTTGTTTTTTTCTGTAATTGGAGAAAATTCTTTGATTCTTATTTTGTAAAAACACAATTTTCTAGATGAAATCAAAAATGTCTAAGTACCTGAAGAAGAAGGTAGAAGTTAGTGATGAGGAGGAGGGGCGTGTACGATACAAGCGAAGACTAAGTACACCTAGACAGCAGCCTCCTAAAGCCCGGCCGCGGGAACAAGAGTCTGATTCAGAAGAATCATCAGGGGATGAGGAGGTGAAAGAGAAACTCATGTTGAGTATTGCAGATGTCAAGGTTAGTTCTAACCGTGGAATGGGCTGGCATGGACAAAGGCAGATGTTTGTTGTAAATTAACAAAATAAGCATGAAGAGAGGCCACATGGTTATTCTTATATATATATAGTTTCATTTTGAATTAGACATTATAAATAATATATTCTGTTTTGTATTTCCTTGTTTGAATTTTGATTCGTTTATATCCCATTGGTTGTATTGCATGAATTGCATGAACAAGGCATATCATTAAGACATATGATGTAGATGTATACCAATCATCACAGCATTGTTCAAATACTTTCAAATATTGTAGACAACAAGGCCAGTCAGATCTGGTTCTTTCTTTTCCAAATGCTTATGAATAAAATGTTTAAAGACTCTTTTCCAAATTAAAGATATAGATTACTGCAAGACTTTTGGTAACCATGAAGTTTATTGGAGGTCCAACTTTTAACAAGTAATTTTTTCTTTATGTCTGATGTTTGGACTTTCTCAAATTAATTCACATTGTATCGATGTGACAAAGTTCGAGACGTGACAAAGTTGGAGACAATATGTTTGATGAAAATTAACATGTTTAATTGAACACAAAATAAAAGAAATAAAAAATGTTGGTAAGCTTTTAGGAGGTACCTTAAAAACCCATGTAATGTTTGTAAAGTGCTTGTGATTGAGTACAAGGTTGTTTCTTTGTTGTTGTACATTTTACACAACATGCAAATTACATAAAACAGTAACAAAGGATTAGTACAGAACTTCATAGTTAATGATATGCCTTAATATATTGTCATTTTGTTAAAGTGTTGATGAGCATAACATACCAGATGTCTTACATTTATTTGCAAAATTTGAAATTTGTTGAAATACCGGTAATATGCATGTACTGTTCTTGATATTTGTCAATTCCTGTTTATGTTTTGAAAACTATTATGTTTTCTTACTGGTAAGGATGAGCTTATGATAACTATGACATGCTGTGCACCAGTTTTGTTTTCATACATGCATGTTCAAACACTTTTCTTCAGAAACTGAGGAAAAGTTTATCAATGAATGCCAGCATCAAAGAAACTTTGGCCAAGGATGTCAGTTCAGTAAGTTTGTGTTATCTTTATCCCGCAAACTCCAATAATTCGTTTTTTAACCCAGCATTTTGCAAGCCTGTATACCTGCATGATGGCATGGCTATTTATTAAAGTGAAAAGATGTTGAAACTATTGAAAAAAATAAGAATGTTAAATATTCATGTAATCTTAATAACCTTTGTAATCATTGTAATGACTAGATGATATTACTATCCAAAATGTTATATAAGATATGAACAATTAACAAATTTGATAATCTCTTTCTCTTAACAGGATGAGGATGATTCTGCGAGGAGCTCTCCAATCCCTGAAGAGGATGAAGAGGTGGAGGAGGACTTGGTCCCTGCAATGGACAGCCTCAGTCTGGAGCATAAAGTCAGCAAATCTATATTTAAACCTACAGACACCATTGTCCTGGAGCTAAGTGCTCCCCCAGTTCGAAAAGGTACAAATAAATATATATGTCATACAACTTGAAATCATACTTACTCACATTGTGAATTTAAAAAAGTATGAAGTGTTTTCCGCATCAGTATCATTGAAATTAAGTGTATTGTTCTTAAACGTGTCATAAAAAGCTAGGTATTTTCATCTCCTAGCAACGCCCTTAAATGATCTTAGCTGTTAATAGGACCTTACACCTAAACCAAACCAAATGATTTCCTTGCTATTATCACCATTGCCTATCAGATTGAATATTTATTACATGTTATACTGTAATACAGGGAAATTGGAGAAAAACTTGTCAGTAGCAAGGAAAAAGGATGTGGAAATTGATACAAGCTATCAGAGTAAATCTTCCAACACCAGCTCGAAAACTCCTCGAGCCAAGTCTGCTGTTTTACAATCTAGTAAGTGGGTTGTTGTCATCTGTGTCAGTATTAACATTATAACACCACTTCAGAGTAATGTTGTCATGTTTGAATGCCACAAAAAAGGAAATAATGTTATTGGATTGATCAAGAAAAGCACATATAAACCAGAATTCTGAAAAGAAGTTTAGTTTGGCATAGCATCTTATTCTGTAAGAACAATTGTCAAAATTCTTTTAATAAAGTTAGTAATGACAAAAGGATCACAAAACTCAGCAGTAAAAAGGAGTCAGAACCACTGTGTTAGTGTTCATCTCCATAGCATTGATATGACTACTGACATACCATTTATCTGCTTAATGACATTCTATACCTGTAAACGATGTCATAATAAAATGTATACAATTTTTTTTAAATTTCTGATTAAAGCTGTAGTCAAATTGAATCGCTGAGGATTTATAAATGATTGAACATACATAGTAGCTTGTCTTTCTTTGATTCAGATGGGCCATCCAAGAAGTCGAATCGTCCACTATCAGCCAATAGGGTAAACCGTGACCACCACACTGACACCCAGGAGGAGGCCTCGGCCGTGCTGGCCGCACTGAAGGCTGAGAACGATAAGGCAGCCAAGGGTGGACAGCCACAGATCCGCAAGTTACCAGCCACACCAGTTAGTAAACAGGTAGGTGTCGTCTATATAAATCTGTTGTTTTATTGGTCCACATCTGCTCATCGTTCTATTGGTACATCATACTCAGTGTCTAGGTGTTCCTATTTGTATTAGTCAGTGTCTGTAGTTGTCTATGGAATATTATAGATGAGTAAAAATGTATTCAACTTTTGTGTTTATTTGCTTACACAGTTTTTGTGGTTGTATTTGAACCGCAAAAATGTATATGATTACAGCAAGCAATTGTTTGAACAATTTGAACATTACTAGCAGAATGTTACAATATATAATACACATAAAAAACCATGAGAGAAGAAGCCACAACTGTTTGATGTTATCACTGGTCTGGTCAGCAGTGGGCTTCTTACCTCAGTGGTCAGAACTTGACTATTAGTGTGATATTTTGATGTTTGGTACGATTTTGGTGACTCAGCATAGTAGATTAACAAGCAGGAGACATATAACATTTAAGGTAATTGGATGTACTAAGCACAGTATTAAAACAAACTGTCTATTGTGGGTAACAATAAGAAAAATGAAAAATCATTGTATTATAACTGTCGTAGCTACCAGTAGTCTATACTTCTGTATAAATAAAGGATACAGTAATATAACCAGTCAGATTTATGATTTCGTTGTAGGGTCCCAAGCCATCTGTTAGTAAGGATTCGCCGTTGAGAAAGTCTGAAACGAGAAGATCGGGACCCTTAGCCAGTCCTCGCTCTAAGCCTGCTACTGCCTCAAGGGACAGTACTAATGACTCCAAGAGCTTCCTGGCTGATGATAGACTGACAAACATTATGAAGAAGGTCCTCATGATGCAGCCAAAGTAAGAAAAACTACTTATAGCCTTGGTTAGAACAGATGTTTGAGCTCATTCTATGTCATGTTTTTTAAGTTTAATATGGATCTTGTATAAGGCTAAGTTGGCTAACTGTGAAAACTGTCTTTTCTTCTTTAATTTCTCTTTAAACACATTTTGAAGGTAACACTACTTCTCTCTTAATCAACATGTGAGCTGTTCAGAAACTAACTTCTCAAGTCAGAATAACCTCACATAATGTTATGCACTATCTCTACAGACAGCAGAAGAAGTTGATGAAGGTTCTAGGAGACCTTGATGACTCCATGGAAGATGAACTACAGCACATTCCCAAACCATCCCCAAGTCAGCCAGTCAAAGCCACTAAACCTGTCCAAGACATGGTACAGAAATCAGCACAGAAATCAACTCGTAAATCCGTGCAAAAACCTGTACAAAAGTCTGTTCAAAAGTCTGTGCAGAAATCTGTGGAGGTAAGCAGGCCCCATACAGCAGCTCACTATTCTCTTGTAGAAAGCAGTGAAATACAACAGCTCACTATTCTCTTGTAGAAAGCAGTGAAATACAGCAGCTCACTATTCTCTTGTAGAAAGCAGTGAAATGCTTAAAGCTCACTATCACCCATAATAGGTTTCAACATTTACAACACTCAGATTAATAATCTATTCAAGGGATTGCCAATGGGTTCTTCTGAGCTGAAACTTACTTCATATCAAATTCAAATGAATTTGGTAACTCTTTCAAGGGAATGTTTTGTCACATAGCCAAGGATATGTGCAGATACATTTGTATTCTGAAAATTAAGGGTTCCAGGCATCCAAAAAGATCCGAAGTCACATAAACCACCTACCTGAATGATTATTTTATGCTTGGAATTAACACTTTTTTTCAGAAATCTTCCAACAAGATGGTGGATGAAGGTATTGAGGTAAACCTTGAGATCACATCAAACTGGGGTCACCCTGCACTGCTGGGTCTCACTGAAATACAGTTCTTTGACGTAGATGGTCATCTTGTGCCAGTCTTTCCTGACAACATAACTGTTCATGGAGCCCAGGAACAACAGTCACCAATCAGTGTCCTCTTCAACGGCAAATACAAGGTCAGTCAAAGTTTTCCTGGCATCATTAGTTGTCTAATGCTTCTCACTAACTTCTGTTAGTAGAATTGTGAATATTTGATAAAGATAAAATTTTGTTGAAAATGGAAAATGTAGGTAAGTAGATTTTGGTATTTCAACACCATGTAGATTAAAGGGGCATCACGCTGAAGTAACTTTTTTTTGTGTCTTTTTTCTAAATACTACATAAACATATCAAGTGAGACTCCTTATGGAAAATGCCGATCGGATTTGGCTGAAATAGATTCATAAAAATGATTAAATCTAAGATAATCATCGGTATTTCTACCTGTCTGACCAACGTTTTGTTAAGGGATTTCCCTCTACTAGCGCATGCGCATAGCACACCATTTCTTTGTAAACAAAATGACTGGCCGTGTGAAGTAAGCCAAAGAAAAGTGTTGTACCGTGTCAGCTACGAAGCGAATAGTTGCCAAATGGTCAAAAGATAGCGCAAGGGGTACGTTACGGAATCATTATTGCCAGTGGGAAGTATTCAAAGCAGAAAATAACTGCCCTAGCAGTCAGTACGGTGCATGTTTTCTTCCGGATAGCGGCCGGTTAAGCTGAAATAAAATCGACAGAAATGCTAGCGCTGTTTATGTTATGAATAAATATCTAAAACTATTAACCTCGCTAGTATCATTGTGTGAGTTTGAACACAGATGAACTTAGTTTAATATGTTAATGGGCATGTATCGGAGAGAGTTTACTTTGTGTTTTTTTATAATTATACAGTGGTTTATGCAAACGAAAGGGATAAGTGACTGGTTAGTTTGATTTTGCCATGAGGCCCCCCAAGGGATAACTGCTGTGATGGCCACGGCGTATTCTGTTCTCTGATCCTCTGTCGGTGCTCGGGGTCAAATGAGATACGTGCGCTATTAGATTTACATAATTTATAATATTACCGGGATCAGTAAAATGGTATGATTTAATTATATTGCTGAATTAAACGATTGTTTTTTGTTTTGACATGCAAGTTTTAAATTAGTACTAATATAATACCCGGCCTGCCCTGGCGCGACGACGCAATATATAAAAAAAAAATCGCTCTTCGTCAGAAAGCTACGTTATCGCAGCTAGATTAAAAATGTCAAAATGACGGACCAGGATGAATAACTGAGGAAGGAGAACCTACTTCTAGTAAATAGGATCGCATAACACTTTTTTTTTAAATCGTAATTTTTCAACAGTTCATGTTTTCATATGATGTTGACTTAGAATGTATGATCATGTAACAACCTTTTCTCTATAAAGAATAAATTTTCGACTTCAGATAGAATCGGAATACGTATTGAAAACAGGGGAAAAAATATTTGATTACGTTATAAAAATGGCGCGTGCTGCCGATAACTACGGCTTCTGTTTCGGACCAAAGGAACTGATTAAAGAAAAGTTGTCTCAGCATAAAAAGGTCCATTTAAAAGTATGCTTTAATCTCTGTAAAGTATTGAAAAAATATAATTATCAAGTATCTCAACACGTTCCTTATTGACACATATTCTACATGTACACGTAGTGGTTTTGCCATACAGTTTATTGTGTGTGATGGTTAATATGACTTCCTAAATGTTAGCGTTTGGAGACAGTGAAAGTGGGAAAGAGAGTATACATAGATTTATATTCATGGTCTAGAAAAAAAATGGCCAAAGACATTGAGTTGTTTAATGTAATAAATAAATTCACAAACGTTTCCTTTTTATATTCGCGTGTAGTTTGTCATTGCATATATGCACTTTATGTAAACATTTGAAAAGGGATATTCGTCTCGTGAATATTCCTTTTTACAGAAAGGTTTGTCCCATTGTTGAGGGAGTGTTTAGCCCCGTACCACCTGTACCGGTCACGGGAGAAGGCTGTGATAAATTGTAAAAACTTGTGCCCCATCCTTTGTTTAATTTTATTGGCAACAAATTTATGTTAAAAGCTAAATAAATTTAAATTCTTAATATTGGCAAGTGTGCAATTAACTTCTGATGATGAATAATTACTGTTCAATAAGTTTGAATACGGAATTAGAAATCATATAACTTGGTTTCATAGTGCGGTAAGAAGTTGCAGTTGCCTGACGGCCCCTCTCTGAGGGCCCCTTTGTAAACCGTTTCATCTCGCTCGCACCACTTGTGTTTGCTGCCTAATCAGGTGACGTTATCGGCGCTATTTTTAGCCGGGCTTTCCCGAACAATTCAAGTGGTCAAACTGGACATTTGGAATGGACTATGAATATGGGGATAGCGAGGTAACATAAGTGGAAGTGCATACAATACATACATTCATTAAAAAAAAACGCCTTTTCACGTGATGTCCCTTTAAACGCAGTACCAATATATTGAAGTTTTGATGACAATTGAATTAAATTGTTTTCTTTTTCGTAGACGAGTAAGGAGAGGAATATGTGGCTGTGTAACTACAGACGGGGACATCCAGTTGAGCTGTGTATCTTACTCCCTCACAGCTTTAGAGGTAAACAACTGGACATCTCAAAGGTCAAAATCTGGAACTACAACAAGAGCATAAATGTAAGTACATAGGTACCCGTTTCACAAAGTCTGTGATTTCATTCCATTACAGGTTGACAGCATGTTGATCCAACAGAATCTCGTTCACAAATCTTAGTTAATTACAATGATCATTAAAGGTATGTTTACCAATTCTATTTCAATGCTTTTATTTTTGCAGGATCTTGAGATCGGAATCAAAGAGACGAGAATGTTCATCGGAGGGATGTTGATGTTTGATGGCCCTGTAGATAAGGGCTGTGGAAACCAAGTGTTTGACTATGGTGCTGTTATAGACTGTCGAGATAGACAGCCACCTTCCAAATCCAATACTAAGTCACAAAGTAATACAACTCAGAGCAAACCGCCAACCTCTCCTGTGTCTAGAAATCGTAATGCTAGTCCTTTGTCAAAAAAATCCCCCACCCCAACATCACCAAAGATCAGACATGAGGAAGATGCAGGTGGTATTTTACTGAAGCCCACACTGTCACCAAGATCACGGGGTGATAGTACGAAGAAACATTCCAGTTCCATAGAGCCTAGCACACCCACGGAGGATTACAAAAAACCACCTCCATTCTCCCGATTGTCATCAAATGAAGACAGACGTCCACAGAGCGAGTCATCCAACTCATCCAATGAGAATACAGCTGTTAGTGGGACCAAGGTCTCCAAGGATGGAGTCAAGGTCAGAAGTGAGACACGAACAATGAACTATTCCGAAAAGGATAAAAACAAAGACTTACGAAGGCCATCTGTGACTTCTGATAGATCTGGATCTGAAGCAGATGATGACAGCAGGGGTAAGTTTGACTTATTATGTATATATTATAAATTAACATTATCTGTTAAATTGAACATTCTTCTGACTAAAACATATCAACAGATGGAGGAGTTACTGTGGGAATATTGAAAAACTAAATTGATCCGTGGGATATTTATTGGCCGGTTTGTGTACATTTGTTAGGTATACATATTCACATGTTATAGGAACCAGGATTCTGGTCACCTGTTCACATGGTAGGAGTAATAGAGACTAGTTACATATTCACAGGGTAGGAGTAATAGAGACTAGTTACATAGTCACTTGGTAGGAGTAATAGAGACTAGTTACATATACACATGGTAGGAGTAATAGAGACTAGTTACATAGTCACTTGGTAGGAGTAATAGAGACTAGTTACATAGTCACTTGGTAGGAGTAATAGAGACTAGTTACATAGTCATATGGTAGGAGTAATAGAGACTAGTTACATATTCACATGGCAGGAGTAATAGAGACTAGTTACATAGTCACTTGGTAGGAGTAATAGAGACTAGTTACATAGTCACATGGCAGGAGTAATAGAGACTAGTTACATAGTCACATGGCAGGAGTAATAGAGACTAGTTACATAGTCACTTGGTAGGAGTAATAGAGACTAGTTACATAGTCACATGGCAGGAGTAATAGAGACTAGTTACATAGTCACATTGTAGGAGTAATAGAGACTAGTTACATGTTCACAGGGTAGGAGTAATAGAGACTAGTTACATGTTCACAGGGTAGGAGTAATAGAGACTAGTTACATATTCACATGGCAGGAGTAATAGAGACTAGTTACATAGTCACATTGTAGGAGTAATAGAGACTAGTTACATGTTCACAGGGTAGGAGTAATAGAGACTAGTTACATATTCACATGGCAGGAGTAATAGAGACTAGTTACATAGTCACTTGGTAGGAGTAATAGAGACTAGTTACATGTTCACATGGGAGGAGTAATAGAGACTAGTTACATGTTCACAGGGTAGGAGTAATAGAGACTAGTTACATAGTCATATGGTAGGAGTAATAGAGACTAGTTACATAGTCACATGGCAGGAGTAATAGAGACTAGTTACATAGTCATATGGTAGGAGTAATAGAGACTAGTTACATATTCACATGGCAGGAGTAATAGAGACTAGTTACATAGTCATATGGTAGGAGTAATAGAGACTAGTTACATATTCACAGGGTAGGAGTAATAGAGACTAGTTACATAGTCACTTGGTAGGAGTAATAGAGACTAGTTACACATTCACATGTAGGTATAACAGGGATTAAAGTCACATGTTCACATGTTAGGAAGATAGAGACTAGTTACATATTCACATATTAGTATTAACTGGCATTCTGGTCATATACATGTTTATAGAGTATATTGAGCACATTGTCTAATGAGCCTCTTGTTCAGTAATAAGAATAGCTTTATTGAATCCGATATAATGTTCTCAATGTCTGTCAAACCCTTGTTTGTCTCGTACCTAGCAGACTAGGTCAAACTTCTTTACATACAAATGTAATGTGAATATAGTTTAAATTAGATTTGTCAATGTTCCGTTATTGTTTAACATGGAAAGGCAGGACTTCAGCATGGTTTCTATGTATATATCCAAGATGGTTTCTGTATGTTACAAATCAAAGTAGTGGTTTCTGTATGACAATATCAGATCAGTGGTTTCTGTATGTGTTACGCATGTAAATATCACTGCAATTGTTTCTGTATGTAAATATCACTGCAATGGTTGCTGTATGTTAATATCACTGCAATGGTTTCTGAATGTTAATATCACTGCAATGGTTTATATATGTTGATATTACTGCAATGGTTTCAGTATGTTAATATCACATCAATGGTTTCAGTATGTTAATATCACATCAATGGTTTCTTAGTGTTGCAAAGCAATTGTTTTATATTATAAATATCATAGCAGTGGTTTCTGTAACATATTACAGCTATGGTTTCTGTAACATATCACAGCTATGGTTTCTGTAACATATCATAGCAATGATTTCTGTAACATATCTTGGCTATGGTTTCTGTAACATGTCACAGCAATGGTTTCTGTAACATATCTTGGCTATGGTTTCTGTAACATATCTTGGCTATGGTTTCTGTAACATATCTCAGCAATGGTTTCTGTCACATATCACAGCTATGGTTTATGTAACATATCATAGCAATGATTTCTGTAACATATCTCGGCTATGGTTTCTGTAACATGTCACAGCAATGGTTTCTGTCGCATATCACAGCTATGGTTTCTGTAACATATCATAGCAATCGTTTCTGTAACATATCACAGCAATGGTTTCTGTAACATGTCACAGCTATGGTTTCTTTAACATATCACAGCAATGGTTTCTGTAACATATCACAGCTATGGTTTCTGTAACATATCACAGCAACGGTTTCTGTCACATATTACAGCTATGGTTTCTGTAACATATCTTGGCTATGGTTTCTGTAACATATCTTGGCTATGGTTTCTGTAACATATCACAGCTTTGGTTTCTGTAACATATCACAGCTATGGTTTCTGTAACATATCACAGCTATGGTTTCTGTCACATATCACAGCTATGGTTTCTGTAACATATCAGCAATGGTTTCTGTAACATATCACAGCTATGGTTTCTGTAACATATCAGCAATGGTTTCTGTAACATATCACAGCAATGGTTTCTGTAACATGTCATAGCTATCACAACAATGGTTTCTGTCACATATCACAGCAATGGTTTCTGTAACATGTCACAGCTATCACAGCAATGGTTTCTGTAACATGTCACAGCAATGGTTTCTGTAACATGTCACATCAATGGTTTTTGTAACATGTCACAGCTATCACGGCAATGGTTTCTGTAACATGTCACAGCTATCACAACAATGGTTCCTGTCACATATCACAGCAATGGTTTCTGTAACATGTCACTGCAATGGTTTCTGTAACATATCTTGGCTATCTGTAACATGTCACAGCAATGGTTTCTGTAACATATCACAGCAATGGTTGCTGTAACATGTCACAGCAATGGTTTCTGTAACATATCTTGGCTATGGTTTCTGTAACATGTCACAGCAATGGTTTCTGTCACATATCACAGCTATGGTTTCTGTAACATATCACAGCTATGGTTTCTGTAACATATCACAGCAATGGTTTCTGTAACATATCACAGCTATGGTTTCTGTAACATATCACAGCAATGGTTTCTGTAACATATCACAGCTGTGGTTTCTGTAACATGTCACAGCAAAGGTTTCTGTAACATATCTTGGCTATGGTTTCTGTAACATGTCACAGCAATGGTTTCTGTAACATGTCACATCAATGGTTTTTGTAACATGTCACAGCTATCACAGCAATGGTTTCTGTAACATGTCACAGCTATCACAGCAATGGTTTCTGTAACATATCAAAGTAATGGTTTCTGTAATATGTCACAGCAATGGTTTCTGTAACATATCACAGCAATGGTTTCTGTTCTGCACATGTTCATATCAAATCTGTAGTTTTCCACACTTTCTGTATGTTACTTTAAGTTCAATATGAATGTTTCTGTGTCAACTGTGTACATATATGTGACAGAATTCCTTTAAAGTTTTATATGATGAGATAAAAAAGGTGACAATTTGCATTTTCTTCCTTGAATATATTTATATCACAGATACGATGAAAAATCGGTTATAACCTGTCTGTAACCTGTGATTTATCAGTTATAATATTCGGTAACTTGTGGTATATCTGTAATAACCTACCTGTTACCTGTGGTATATCTGTAATAACCTATCTGTAACCTGTGGTATATCTGTAATAACCTGTCTGTAACCTATGGTTTATCTGTAATAATCTGTCTGTAACCTGTGGTACATGTGAAATAACCTTTATGTAACTTGTGGCTTATAATCAGTCATAATCTTCGGTAACCTGTGGTATATCTGTAATAACCTATCTGTTACCTGTGGTATAGCTGTACATCTGTAATAACCTATCTGTTACCTGTGGTATATCTTTACATCTGTAATAACCTATCTGTTACCTGTGGTATATCTGTAATAAATATAACCTATGTGTTACCTGTGGTATATCTGTACATCTGTAATAGGCTATCTATAACCTGTGGTATATCTGTAATAACCTATCTGTTATATGTGGTATATCTGTAATAACCTATCTGTAACCTCTGGTATATCTGTAATAACCTATCTGTAACCTGTGGTATATCTGTAATATCCTATATATGTATCATGTGGTTTATCAGTAATCTGTAATAACCTATATGTAACCTGTGGTTTATCAGTAATAATCTTCGGTAACCTGTGGTGTATCTATAATTACCTGTTGTTAACCTGTGGTTTATTAGTAATAATCTTTGGTAACCTGTGGTGTATCTATAATAACCTGTTGTTAACCTGAGGTATATATATATCTGTGATATTCGTTTGCATATTTATATATATTTGGTCGTACAGAACATTGGATTATTCACACATAGGCATTACAAACATTAACTTTGCTATTCAGTTTCTCCCCATTAAAATTTTAGAAAGTTGAGAGGTATGACATGGTATATCTATAACAACCTAGATCTGAACGGCCAGTTTTGGCTGATAAGATCTTGATCAGTTATACACAGCTGATTTTGTTGTATCTATAGCCCGAGTGTTGGCCGTGTTGATCTATATTCAGTGATGGTCCCCAGGGTCTCAACAATAGTATTAGATTATCCTGTAGATAACTGTATACAGGTCTGCCTGTGGCTTGTGTGAGGCACTGTTCAGACGAAACTCGCCAATCACAATCAACTTATAGATCATTCATATTAATTTATATAATGACATTAAACTTTGTATGTGTAGTAAGCCTTCACTGACGGGTCCTGTTATGTGAATAGGTCTGAAAGTGTCCAACACTTAGTGCTATTACAATCCCCCCACACTTAGTAACCACAATAACACAGTTTTCTGTTCACTGACATTTCCTCATCAATATTTAGTGTTATTTAGGTTTTTATTGGTTTTGTATTAAATCATCCTGATGGCACATGCCGGTGATCCATTCACAACTTCATGGTTTTTTTCACTGTGGTGAACCTATTTGTTCACGTTGATTAATCTGCGTGTACAAGGATTGTGTTCCAAGGTGTGAGAGACCAAAAGACTAGATGACAACCAGACTTTGTCTTTCGTAGACAGTTTAGTAATGTAGAAGACATAGATAGGAAGTCTTGACAACAACGTGTGTATAGATCGCTATTATCTACTGTAACTTTGCAGAGAGAGTCTTTTCTCTGGTGACATACTAACGTGTGGAGTTCCTTGTATATAGTAGAATGACATGGTCTGATACCAACACTTTTGTAGGAGTTTATTATAAAAGTATGATACCTAAGAAAGGAAATGGTTTAACTCAGAGGGGAGAGTCGAAGAAACATCCTAATACAATGACAGGGAGATAGGACCAGGACACAAACATCATGGAGGAGGTCAGGAGTCAGGATTCTGAGAACAGGAGAAGACAATCTCGTACCCTGCCTATATTTAATGTGAGATCTCATCATAAGGAAACCTTGCCTCATGTTCCTCTACGAAAGAGAAGGACCTGGAATGGAGAAGAGGAGAAATTGGCTCTCCAGAGGATCCGGAGGAATGGTGGACCTCCAGGTCTGCGGTCCAACATTTGGTCCAATGTTATTCCTCCTCCTCATGCCAGGAAACCCATCGTCAACAGCTACCCGGGGTTACAGCTCAGTCTCCATGGAAACATGAAGAAGCCCACCCAGACACCAACTAAGTTATCCATCAACGCAAAACTTTTTAATTCGTTAGAGGAACCATTGCCAGATCTGTCACCACCCACACTGACTCGAGACACTGGTATTGGGGTACTAGACAGCTACAGAGGGGTAACATCGACACGCGGTCCATACACGAGCATGGCAGCAAACACGAACATGGTGACTTTACCGAAACTTAACCCATTTCACAAGCCAGTGGAAAGAGACAATAGTCATAGAAAAGAAAGTTTTAAGGAAAGCAAGCATGTTGCATTTGTTTCTCCTCTTTGGAAAAGTTTGAACAGTTCATCTACTGAGCATAAACATTCTAGTTTGTATCTTATGGAGTTGAACAAGGGAGTTTCAAAAGGTAAGGTTGTATAATTGTTATGGAAACACTAACAGATTCCAAATAGAATCTAAAAAAGTGTAAACTTTATTTATTTTACAACAATTATGAAACATGTTATTACAAGTTAAATTAATAACTCTGTGTTGGCCAAGATAGAAGCATGCAGGAGTCTTCTTGTGGGAGGAAGCCGGACTACTCAGAGAAAACCCACATGGTCAGACAGGTGACCAAAAAATCTTTTCATGTCCAGTCAGGGAGTTAAACCCCAGTCACACCCCACCACTCAGCCACCTTGTATAGTATTGAACCTAATATAGTCATTCATATTTTGCAATTGTTATCATTTTCAAACTTTTATATTGAGCTTATCAATATATTTACCAGTGGTAAAGTGTGAAACTGAAGTATTATGATGTCTTGAGAGTAACATCTTTTACATGGAATGTTTTTTTATGTCATATATCTGGTCAAAAATAGAAGGAAACAAAAAGAAATTAAACATTCATTTGCAATAAAAATTCATGACCTGCAGAAACCTATCGTTTAAGTTGTTTTCTGTGGTATTACCTAGCTATACCTATAGGTATTTATGATGTTTTACACACCTAGTACCCCACTCCACAACTGGTATCCCCTCCCCCTCCTCATCTAATGTACCAGTACCCCCCACCCACCCACTGCCAGTATTCATGGTGTCACGTTTACATTTAATTTAGTAAACTGTATAAGTCAAATCGTCAGGATTTAACTTTTAAAGGTATGCTCTATACTTAAATACTTGTACCAATCAATACCTCAACATCCCTTGCAAAAACAGTATACCATACATTCACCTTTCATTTTCAGTATACATTCATATACGGCCAAGGGTTTGATATTAACTATGTATACTGGTATTACTACTCAGGTAAATATCCTGTTACTCTGTGCGGTGCGATTTTATGTATCAGTACACATTGATTAACTCCATTAGCATACCTGTGTGTAAAATGACATATCTATAAATATAACAGGTCATCTGTGCTGAATGTTCAGGAGTTTTAATGAATTTGAATGGCACCTGCCACAGGTAACGGTTTGTGTATTCGTATAGCCATGGATGTTGTGGTTGGACAGGTTATCAGTTTGGTATATAAAACATTCAAGGAAAGAGAACCTGTTTGTCTGAGATGAAGAGGCAGGACAAGTCGAATATGGGTGTGTATTTGGTCATCGCCTCATTCACCTCTCACAGTGGTCTTTTCACACATTGTCATTGTCTCCCACTTCCCCTTATCACCTCGTACGTCTCACGGCCATCATCTCCTCGGACCTCTCATGTGTCTCCTGTGTCATTTCTTACCAGCAGTTTATAGTTACTAACTTATCTATCTGGTGTCAAACGAATCCATATGTTTTTAGCCACATGTCAACAAACACATTTTAATTCACACGTCAGTGTCATGTCTTCTTAAAGGTTGGAATGACTAATTGTATGCAAAATATTTGATTATTTGATATAAATCGTTACAGTTTAAAATGTCTTATGTGAGGGGAAAAAAAGAAGACATTTTATGGAAAATACTTTTAAATTTGCACGTGCATATTTATTTACAATGTGCTAACGAAACTGTCATTGAGGTGTTGTATTTTCCATAATAAATGCTAAGTATGGAAGCAACATTCACTGGAGTTTATTGGGGCTTCTCTGGGTAGATGGTTATTTATAATCAATATGGCACCACCATAGCCTTGCGGTGTGTGGTATAATTAGATTGTGGACTTACTGGCCGTCTTAGCACATGCATGTTACCATGGTGACACAGAAGTTGCTGCTCATATATACAGGTGTAATACCAGATATCCAGGTGTCTTAGTACACAGGTGTGCAGGTATAACAGGTGTCGTTAACAGGTATACAGTTGTCTAAGTACACAGAGGTGCAGGTATCTTAATACACAGTTGTTCAGGTATACATGTTCCTAAGTACACATGTATACAGGTGCAACACCAGACATGCAAGTGCAAGTATAACAGGTAAACATATGTCTATATATACTGTATACAGGTGTAGCACTGGTGCTCAGGTATGGTACCCATGTGTTGCGCAGTAGGTAAAACACTTGTATCTTACTCTATGGGTATAGCAGAATCAACATCCAATGTAAAAGTACATATTAGCTCAGTAGAGGTGACATCTGGGGATACTGAAATGTACATGCTGTGATGCTGCCTTTCTGATTGGCTGAGGAAATATTAAACTACCTCTGAAAAGAACAATTTCTTCTACTATCGTGATCATAATAGGATATTAACGTTGTTATCCTGTACAGCATGTACAATACCATACTTCCATACCGCCACTGTTTTAATATACTTAATATTGTGTAGCATGAAGATATCTTATTACTGTATACAGGTGTTCTACAGGTATATCTTAATACACAGGTGTTCTATAGGTATATCTTAATACACAGGTGTTCTACAGGAATATCTTAATACACATGTGTTCTACAGGTTTATCTTAATACAAAGGCGTTCTACAGTTATATCGTAATACACAGGTGTTCTACCGGTATATCTTAATACACAGGTGGTCTACAGGTATATCTTAATTCACAGGTGTTCTACAGGGATATCTTAATACACAGGTGGTCTTCAGGTATATCTTAATACACAGGTTTTCTACAGGTATATCTTAATTCACAGGTATTCTACAGGTATATCATAATACACAGGTGTTCTACAGGAATATCTTAATACACATGTGTTCTATAGGTATATCTTAATACACTGGTGTTCTACAGGTATAGCTTAATACACAGGTGTTATACAGGTATATCTTAATTCACAGGTGTTCTACAGGGATATCTTAATACACAGGGGTTCTACAGGTATATCTTAATACTCAGGTGTTCTACAGGTAAATCTTAATACACAGGTGGTCTTCAGGTATATCTTAATACACTGGTGTTCTACAGGTATAGCTTAATACACAGGTGTTATACAGGTATATCTTAATTCACAGGGATTCTACAGGGATATCTTAATACACAGGTGTTATACAGGTATATCTTAATATACAGGTGTTCTACATGTATATCTTAATACACAGGTATTCTACAGGTATATCTTACTACATTTGGTGCCTTTAACCAACCCTGTTTCAGGTACTTGGTGAATGCTGAACCTGGGTTAAAAACAGTGATGTTTTCAGGGGCGAAGACTTAGAGTAAGGAGGGAAGAATAAGCGAAACTGGGCTGGGTTGATCATTGGTGACGAGGTAGCTCAATTGGTAGAGCATCCGTCTAGAGTTTGGAGGGTCTTGGGTTCAGTGAGCCAGAGAGAGAACCCAGTAGGGCGCAATCAGTGTCACTCCACAAAAGTGTTTCTTTCGTTTGTTCAGAAGCTCAACATTCAGAAAGGAAAACAAAGCATACAAAACCATTAGCATCTTCATAATACTTGTAAACAAAGAAATTGATAAAACAGGATTTTTTTTTATAATCTTCACACATGAAAAGAACCCTGGTCTGGCCATGCATTTATCCACTCCTATTACTCATGTATTCACTATTTAGGTTGTGGTCTAAATAATCTGGTTTAGCTGTACAGGTACATGTCTGCAGTGACCAACGTCATATTTCCACAGGAACGTCATAAAGGATACCTGGTAGTTAAAATTTGGTGTCTTTTGTGACATAGATAATGGGTTTGTCTCACTATTGATTTGAAAAAAAGACATAATTGTATATACATGTATTTTGAATTCAACATTGATTTGTACAGGTGAGTCCAGGATGCCAAGCAGACCACGAGGGTCAAAAACACCAAGAAAGTCCAAAAGAATGGCTGCTAAGTTGGACGGTCATTCGTCTGAGGAGGCAAGGGACTCATCGCGATCTGTCAATGATAGGTAGGTGGTCGGTTTTAGTTACCGTTGTCGGTCACTGATAGGTAGGTGCTATTCTGGTCACTTTTACTCATCAGTCCATGATATGTTGGTGGTCAGTTTTAGTTACCATCGTCAGTCATTTATAGGTAGCACAGATTTTATGCCTGTTAATTTTACTCACAATTATCATAACAAATCATGATTTCTACATTACAATTTGATTGTTGTAAATAAGTGATGGGGTCCCCTCTGGAGAGCAGGTGTCATTAGGAAGAGTAACAGAGGCTAGCAGGCCAAAGTTAACATGTGTCAAGGGGATCCTGCCTTCACCTGGTGTTGACCATTAACATTTTGGTATACTATACATATAAGGCTTTTACCACATACACATTATCCTAATGCATGATAGGTAAATGTTCAGGTGTCATTTGGGATATTGGACGATGGAACCCTGTGCATTATTGATGAATTAATTGGTGTATAACGACCGGCTACTGTGCACTGCTGTAAAGGCAGGTATATCTGTATGGTGTTATCATAAAGATTGTCTGATGTCACACCGTTAAAATTAATCATTCATACAGTGAAAATTGGTTAGAGTTTGTAAATAGATTAAAAATTCACATGCACATGACTGGTTAGCTGGCATACAGGTGAATTATCCTCTGTAAGTCCATGACAATGTTGTGACCACTCACGGTCAGCTGCTGTACAGGTAAGTCGTCAGATTAACACCTGATAGTGTAGTGACCAATGGTCATCCATGTAGGTGTCGCACTTTTCTCACCAAACTTGAGAATTTGAATTAATTTCTAATACAAACATCCAAATTGACTTGGAAACTATAAATATAGAGTTGTAAGAGATCAGTTTATCTGTACAGTACTGCTTATTATGTAAGTGATTAAAATAATCACCAATAATCAAACTTATAAACATGCTGTGTATTTCAAAACAGTTGTGACAGTAGTGTGCTAAAAGATTTATTTCATATACATCATTTAAGTCAAATTGTCTATGATATGTTGTCTGGACAGTTTTCATTACTAGAACACTACGTATATTGGTCATTTTGGTGTCATTAGGAAAATAGGAAGTTATATTTTTCCTTCATTGTAACTTCTAATTACATGTACCAGGTTAATATGTAGAGTCAGAAAAGCCCTAGACTAGTCCAGGTCCTACCCGGTAATCTCATATCCTGTTCCATGGTTACAGTGCTGACCAGCGACCACCACGTCCGGTGAAGAAGTCAGAAGAAAAGCCCCCCGTATCGCAGTCTGAGGATCAGCGAGCTGAGGTGTCCGTGTCAGTCCATGACTCAGTCTCACAGAGTCAGGGGGACACGTCCATGATACAGCAGTTGAAGCAGATGAACCAGAGGTAAGACTGGGCCCTGAACTGAACTAGAGGTCAGTTTAAATCCTTGAACCAGAGGTAAGACTGAGCCCTGAACTGAACTAGAGGTCAGTCTAAATCCTTGAACCAGAGGTAAGGCTGTATGCACCCTGCTCTGAACCAGAGGTAAGGCTGCATGCACCCTGCTCTGAACCAGAGGTAAGACTGCATGCACCCTGCTCAGGCATTGCATTAAAGTTGAGACCTGAACTTATAGAGGTAATTCTGAATCATGCTTGAATAAGATATATAGCTGAAATCTGTTGTGATATTGAGGTAAAGCTAACCCTTACAATGAACAAGAGGCTGAAGCTGAACACTGCACTGAACAAGAGCTAGTCTAAACCATGGACTAAAGGATATGTAAGACAGCGAGCCATGTATTGTATTTTATAACCATCATTGCTTTGCAACTGTTAATATGAAAATGGTGTATGAGGAGAACCTATTCATTACAAAAACTACCCGGTAGTTTTGAAAATAGAGATGATATTGACTCACAACATTACAAGGATCTGACCTGCCATAAATTCTTGTACATTCTTTTCTAGATAGATCAGTCAAATGTTAGTGACAATTTGTATTATTTGATCTTCAGAGAACAAAAAAGGAAAAAAGACATTCCAAAGTGGCTGAAAGCAGAAGATGTGTCAGGTAAGCAAGTGCAGCATCAATCTTTCGTTTCGACCTCAGCTTTGGAACACAACATCAACAAACATCCTTCAAATGAAACAAACAGTCATGAACTTATTTGAAATATCTCCTAAAAATCTTATTATATTTGCTTTTTGTTGTTGAACAGGAGCTTTTGAGAATCCAGTAGCAAGCCAAATAATATCTCAGCCAGACCCTGTGAGCATGACAGAGGCTGCACCAGTACGAGAGGACTCACCAGAGACTGTCGACCAACTCATCGAGGAGGAGATGGCCATGTGGCCCAAGTAAGTAGATAATCGGCTCTAGTTTCTGTATAGATCACCACTTATTTGTGGTCTGTATAGCTCTGTTTTCTTTATTTATGCATATTGAGAAATGAGTATTTTTCCAATATGAATTTCTAAGTTGAATTTAAGAAACCAATTTAACATAGCAAAAACTATTTGCTTTGTTAGAATAGCAGGCACGAATCTGTAATATGTTAGATGCATGTGTCTTACTTTATAGACTATATCCTCATTTAAATATTGGTGTACTTTACAGAAAATCAGAATTAAAAACAGTGTTTAATGAAGACAAGCCACCCCTAAAAGGTAAGTAACCAGTTATATAGGAATACCTTGCGTATGATATAAGATATCTCAGGTAGCTGTTACATTGGTCTTAAGTTATCAGTGATCCAAGATATCTCAGGTAGCTGTTAATTTGGTCTAAGTTATCAATGATATAAGATATCTCAGGTAGCTGTTACTTTGGTCTAAGTTATCAGTGATATAAGATATCTCAGGTAGCTGTTACTCTGGTCTAAGTTATCAGTGATGTAAGATATCTCAGTTAGCTGTTACTTTGGTCTAAGTTATCAGTGATATAAGATATCTCAGGTAGCTGTTACTCTGGTCTAAGTTATCAGTGATATAAGATATCTCAGGTAGCTGTTACTTTGGTCTAAGTTATCAGTGATGTAAGATATCTCAGTTAGCTGTTACTCTGGTCTAAGTTATCAGTGATATAAGATATCTCAGGTAGCTGTTACTTTGGTCTAAGTTATCAATGATATACGATATCTCAGGTAGCTGTTACTTTGGTCTAAGTTATCAGTGATGTAATATATCTCAGTTAGCTGTTACTTTGGTCTAAGTTATCAGTTAGCTGTTACTTTGGTCAAAGTTATCAATGATATAAGATATCTCAGGTAGCTGTTACTCTGGTCTAAGTTATCAATGATAAAGATATCTCAGTTAGCTGTTACTTTGGTCTTAGTTATCAATGATAAAGATATCTCAGGTAGCTGTTACTTTGGCTTTTGTATCAATTATATCTTGTGCGATGTATATGTTGCATTTAATCGCCAGGATTATCAATTAATTCACAAGGACACATTTGAATACAGAACAAGTAGAACAAGTATATATTGTATATTTTATCATTTTAGGCAACCACAACCTTTCCTCATATGTTCTAAGATCTGTGTGTCTGTTTTGATTCAGTGTTATGAAACGTAACAGAGATAACTTACTGATATTTCCTACATTTTGTGTTTGCTGCCATGTCTGTCTACATTTTGTGTTTGCTGCCATGTCTGTCTACATTTTGTGTTTGCTGCCATGTCTGTGCTACTTTCTGCATCTTAGGAAAATCTCTACTTTTACATTTTGTTGGTTACAGAAGGTGACAAATCCAACTCCACACCCATGCAAAAGATTCAGCAAAACCGAGCCAAGTGGCGTGAAACACAAAAAAAGAACCTGGAAGAATCCTGGGGATCTCTAAACATGTTTGACCGACATCAAAAAGGCAGAATATCCATGGACTTAGATGGTAGGTATAATTGTCGCAACAAATACGAAACTCTTAAAATTGAAACTTGAAATATATGCTATAATAATTTTCTGACAAAATCAAGTATTTGGAAAAAGAGTGGGGCTGGTGAGGGATGAAATGATCAGAAGATTTATTTGAAAAATATAGGTACTGTTTAAAAAATGACACTTCTTTTGTTCCTGTGAGTACTTGAGCGAAATATAGTATGAATTGTACAACTGCAACTCTATGTTATAGATGATGCCTTAGATGAGTATCTGAAGCCACTGGGAAAGCCCCAGCCCACCATCGTTGAGGAGGAGGGGGAGACTGTTCCAAAAGATCCTGTTACTGAGACTGAGGAAATATCAGTTCAGTAAGTAACACAGGAAACTATTTCTTAAGACATGTCTATGAAGTTAGTTACATGAGTTACATATCTATGAAGTTAGTTACATGAGAGACTCTCTCATGACGTGTCTATGAAGTTAGTTACATGAGTTACATATCTATGAAGTTAGTTACATGAGAGACTCTCTCAGGACATGTCTGTGAAGTTATTTACATGAGAGACTCTATCAGGACATGTCTGTGATGTTTTTTACATGAGAGACTCTCTCAGGACATGTCTGTGATGTTATTTACATGAGAGACTCTATCAGGACATGTCTGTGGTGTTATTTACATGAGAGACTCTATCAGGACATGTCTGTGATGTTATTTACATGAGAGACTCTCTCAGGACATGTCTGTGATGTTATTTACATGAGAGACTCTATCAGGACATGTCTGTGATGTTATTTACATGAGAGACTCTATCAGGACATATCTGTGATGTTATTTACATGAGAGACTCTCTCAGGACATGTCTGAAGTTATTTACATGAGAGACTCTCTCAGGACATGTCTGTGATGTTATTTACATGAGAGACTCTCTCAGGACATGTCTGAAGTTAGTTACATGAGAGACTCTCTCAGGACATGTCTGTGAAATTAGTTACATGAGAGACTCTCTCAGGACATGTCTGTGAAGTTAGTTACATGAGAGACTCTCTCAGGACATGTCTGTGAAGTTAGTTACATGAGAGACTCTCTCAGGACATGTCTGTGAAGTTAGTTACATGAGAGACTCTCTCAGGACATGTCTGTGAAGTTAGTTACATGAGAGACTCTCTCAGGACATGTCTGTGAAGTTAGTTACATGAGAGACTCTCTCAGGACATGTCTGTGAAGTTAGTTACATGAGAGACTCTCTCAGGACATGTCTGTGAAGTTAGTTACATGAGAGACTCTCTCAGGACATGTCTGTGAAGTTAGTTACATGAGAGACTCTCTCAGGACATGTCTGTGAATTTTGTTACATGAGAGACTCTCTCAGGACATGTCTGTGAAGTAACATGAGACTGTTTCGCGGCACATGACTATTAAATAACATCAGAGACTGCCTCTTCAGGGGTATCTTTGGAGTAAGTAACAAGTTTCAGTCTGTGAGGAAATGACAGGAGTTAGTAACATCATTGTCTCCTATGTTTAGCAATCATTTGGACAATATTACATGCAAACTGATACAGCATATGTTGTGTTTTTTAAATGTATATATTTACAACATACATATATATATATGACCTAAGTTTCTGTGAACTGTCTGAGTTTCCCTGATTGACTCTGTATACCACATCAGCATGTACATGTCTGATACATACGATACACACCAAGGTAAATGAGGATGTATATATCTGTTCCAGGGACGAAGACTTCATCATTCCAGAGCTGCCCTATGGTAAAGACTTAGTGATAGACATTCGATCCACATGGGGAGACAACCACTACGTTGGTTTGACAGGAATAGAGGTATTCTCCAGTACAGGAGAGCCAGTGGTCATCACAAAGGTCAGTTCTGACAGGTCATATAGAGTGAACTGTGGACTTACTACTATCCCATAGCATTGTCATCAACAATCAGATCAATTAAACCTGTATATTATTAACACTTTTTGTCCTCTTTAATATCTTCAATTTCTTAAGGAATTAGTTTTGGAAACAAATGAATATTAATAAAGAGATGATAAATTAAGTGTGCCAATGTTTTTTATCAACAGATTACAGCCGACCCCCTGGACATCAATATCTTGCCAGAGTACAACAAGGATCCTCGTGTAGTGAGCAACCTGATAGACGGTGTAAACCGCACGCGGGACGATGTCCACATGTGGCTGGCCCCATTTAACCATACAGGCAAACATCAAGTGTATATCATGTTTGAGAAACCATGCAAGGTAGCAATGATGAGGATATGGGTAAGCATTTTTCAAAAAGCAAAAAATTGGTAAAAATGTCCTTATTGAGATGAACTGTTATGAAACCTTCAAAATTACCTGAAATGAAAGGATTGATTTAATTAACAGTTTGTCATATAGAAATTTGGACTCTAATCACTAAAAGGAATTATTTAATTAACAGTTTGTATTACAGAAATTTAGACTATTACTAAAAGGAATGATTTAATTAACAGTTTGTAACATAATGTACATGAAGCCTAAGCCACTGTATTATTAATATATTATCTGGAGACACTCAATTTTAATAAGCTCCACACTTTTATTTTAGAATTATAACAAATCAAGGATTCATTCCTATCGGGGTGTGAAGGAAGCAGTAATCATGTTGAATAACACTCCAATCTTCAAAGGCGAAATAGCAAGGGCCTGTGGAGGCATAGAAGGGGGCACGGAAGCTTTTGGAGATGTGAGTATTAGGGGCCTGTGGAGAAATATATAGAACTGGTTGGGGATGTAAGTACTGGGGCCATAGAAGGGGTATAGGTGTTTCAGTACTGAGGCCATAGAAGGGGTATAGGTGTTTCAGTACTGGGGCCATAGAAGGGGTATAGGTATTTCAGTACTGGGGCCATAGAAGGGGTATAGGTATTTCAGTACTGAGGCCGTAGAATCAGTATGGAAGTGTTTTGGAGTGTTGGTATAAGGGGCCCTAGAAGGGTATGCAAGTGTTTTGGAATGTCATTATTTGAGGCTATAGTAAGGGAATAAAAGTATCTAGGGATGTCGGTATTTGGGGCCATAGAAAAGGATATACCAGAAGATATGTTTTGGGATGTGAATATTTTGGCCAGGGGAGGAGTACTGAACTGTTTGAGAATGTAAGAACTGGGGCTATATTGGCCTCTTGTTTCCATGATACTGGTTTCTGTAAGCCTATAGAGGGGTACTAAACTGTTTACGAATGTAAGTACTGGGCCCATATTGGCCTCTTGTTTCCATTAGACTCTGGTTTCTGTAAGCCTATAGAGCAGTACTAAACTGTTTACGAATGTAAGTACTGGGGCCATATTGGCCTTTTGTTTCCATTAGACTCTGGTTTCTGTAAGCCTATAGAGGGGTACTAAACTGTTTAGGAATGTAAGTACTGGG